CAAAACGCCCGTCAGCAACCAGCATATCCGACATTCCGAATGAGCCGTGTGTCGACCACATCATCCGCGAAAGAGCAGGCAAAACCGCGCAAGCGTCGACTTGGGTGCCCAGTCCAGCTGAACTAAAGACATCCCGCGACGCATCATCAGCCCAGTCGTCCGATTTCTTGTTCCTGCTGCTTGTCTCCAGGTCCGACGTGATGGGGCTCCCTGTCAATGCTTCCCGTCTAACCGAACAACAAGACTCCAACAATGGGGGTGGGAGGTGGCCCTTCCCGCATCTTAACTTGAGACAGGTTGGGGGGCATCAAGAGACAAAAAACAACCAATGGATGCACAATGCGTTTGGGCGAGATTGGAGATTCGAGAGTGGGCTGGGCACCCTTCACCGAGTGTCGTCGGCCAGCTCGGTGTGGCTGGACCATCGTTTCTTCTTTGTTGAATTCTCTCCTCCGGGGCAAAGCGTGGACGCTGTGATGGGATGCTCCTCACCTCGGTCCTTGACGAATCGCAGCCTCGTCGCAAAACCGAATTCCCAATTAAAAAAAAAAAAAAAAAAAAAAAAAAAAAAAAAAAAAAAAAAAAAACACCACACCAACAGGGAGATTGAAAAAGCAAAGGGACCAAAGCTGATTTTAAAGGCCAAAGCCAAGACAGGATCGGCCCGCAGGTGGGCAGCGCGCCGCCGCCGCCGTCGCCGCTGTCCCCCCTGCTACTGCGCTCTTTTTAATCAACTACTTGCTTGCTTGTTTGTTTGTGGTTGTGGTCACTGGTCGCATACATTACCAGATCTCGGGGTAGAGCGTCCGCTCCAACCGGCCAGGCGTTTCGGCGCAACTGGGAATGGCGTCGATCCGTTTGGTGTTGGCGCCGGCGCGGGTTCGTTTGCTGTCTCCGTCTGGTCTCTCTTGATGGGATAAAAGGGGGCACTGGGGGGGTGACAAGGACTGCAAAGCGGCCCCGTCCCCCCCATCTCTTTTCACGCTGGTTTGGCGTTGGTGTTTCGATCCGATGTTAGTGTCATCGACGGCCGTTGGCATTATTGCCCGACTAGTGTAATGTGAGTTCGAAGTCTCTCTTAGTTGTGTCTGTGTGTCACTACCTAATAAGAAGAGAGGAAGAGAGAGAAAGAGAGAAACAGAGAGAATGACAGACTGAGAGTTGGTGTGTGCTAGCCGAGCCAGTCCGCTCATCCACCCCGGCCGCCGACCGACACACACATGAATCGTCCAGTCCAAGTCCATTCTTGGTTCCCGATGGTCCCCTGGTAAGAAGCTGAGGCCAAGTTTGGATTTTCTGTCGTTACGCGCGCTTGCCGCACCCAGAATTCACGCTTCACTGTTCAGACCCCATCCAAACCAGACAGCCCTAATGGTAATCTTGTCTTGTTTCCCAGAGTTTCCCGCCGTCTCTCTTCTTCCCAGTAGCCCCCCCTCCCACCCCCAGTTCCCTTGCGACACCGACGCCGCGGCAGACATCGGTGCCTGCATCTATACAGTCGTACATGACGCCATGCACATCGTGCATCCACTGATCTCCTCTGGTTCCCAGTTCAGGATTGGTAGCAGCAGGACGAGTCACGGAGACGGGAATACCAGATATTACCTTGGTCCCTAGAGGGCCGCACGGCCAAATTTCCCGTCCTGGTTTTACCTTTTCCTCACAGGCTCGGCAAGGGCCCTGCAAAGCGGGCAAGCTCGACAAGAAACAGTTGAAGGGTTCGGTTGTCGTGGCACTCCGAGAGCCGTGATTTGCTGGCAAAACCATCACCACTCGCAATCAGAGTCAGGCCAATTTGCGAGACATGGCACTGCATACATAGCACCAGATCATATGCCTTTGACCCCCCCCTGGTTCCCGTTCTGCTTTGGTCTATCTGGTTAGGTCGAATTGGTGTCTGGTCTGGTCTGGCCGGCCGTGGTATGGGGCATGGAACGGTTTAGCATGGGGCCCGTATGGGCAGAATAACGAAAAAAGTATGGCACGGCATCGCATGGCATGGTCCGGTCACCACATACTTTATGATGGCTAGGCCTGAAGTATCGCCTCGAAAATATGACAGAAGTTGGTGAATGGTCACGAGCCGGCCCCTGGATCCCTTCCTCATCGCTCAAACAGGCATCTTGCAGCGGAACAGCCCTGGATGTCGAATACACACCCCAAGGCTTTTAGTCTCTGACCCCGCAAGTCGCCGCTGGAGGCTTTTTGCTCTCGTCGTTCTCTGGAGTCTGAGGTCATGACTGCTCACCCACACCACCCTCCCGACAAGTGTCGACATGGAGTGAGAGAGAGAGAGAGAGAGGGTCCTCCTCCTCCGTCTCCGTCTCCCGGCAATGCACATGCTACAACCATGGGATTGCTGGAGCTATGTGATTCTATCCCCGGCCGGGCCCCTCCCCTCCATCTCATCACCTCCCCTCTGCCAGCCATATCCATAATCCATACCATCTGCATCCATGATCCAGCACCTGGGCCCTTGGCCTTGACAGACTTCCCAGCAAAGCAGATCCCAACAAGCTAAAGTAGAGTTGGACCGACAGGACCGGCCGGCCGGCAGAAGGGCCGCATCTCTCACTTCCTATTCCCAATACCCCCGTCCCACTCTTCTCCATCCGTACCTATCTCTGAGAGCTCTCTCACTCTCTTCTGTGCGTCTCGTGTTTCTCTCCCTCTCTCTCGCCCGCTCCCCCCTTCTAGTCTCCTTCTTTTGCTGCCTTTGCTGCCCGGTAGTACGACGGATCGACTGGCAACTCGTCCACGTACGCCTCTACGGATACATCCATCCATCCACCTTGCCTCGCCTTGCCGTCAATAACCTGACCTGCAGGCCCGGCCACCGCACACGCATCCCCCGTCCCATTCATTCCCCCTTCTCTCCTCGGACGCGGCCGACCTCCAATCAACCTACCCACCCCCCCTTGAAGACACACTTTGTTGCTAATGCATCCGTGAGCTGACACATCCGGGGAAGGGCTTCCGGCAACAGAACCCAGAACCCAGAAATACCCCCCCCTTCCGAGGCCGAGAGAGCCTCAATGAACCTTTTTTTTAAACCATCGACCCAAACGGCGTCGTCTCCCCGTCGTTCACGGTCCCCGTCCGCCCGTCCGTCGCCCGCTATCCCGGCAATGGCTTTCGCATCGTCGCCCGTTGACTCGCCGTCGTCGTCCTTCTTCGCCGCCGCCGCCCCGGACCTTGACGGTCTCGCCCAGGCTCCAGCGCCCGTCGCTCGCGCCATCCTCGTGGCCCTCTGCGATGACCGAAGGGTTCGAGCCCAGGCGTTGAGGCAGCTTGAGCGACTGCTGCGCTTCGAGGCTGATGTCCGCGAGGAGGAGGAGGAGGAGGATGTCGTCAAGAGGAGCCCCAATTCTATCTCAAGTCCGTCAAATCCAAAAAAGAGAAAGGCAACCGGCGAGCCCAAGATTTGTGTTCAGTGCGACGGCATCTTCACGGCCGATGAGAACAGCTTTGGGTCATGTTGGTACCACTCAGGTGAGCAAGCAAAGCATGCAAACCCAGCAGCAGAAGCAAAAAAACAGCCTCGCAGAGCCTTTTTCAGCTCTCTCCATCTCTCTAGTTGCCTCATTTCAACTAGTGTATCTCCTTTTCCCAGAAGAAACACAACACTATACGAGCCGTCAGAAGGGCTCTTGTTCTTGTCATTGGAAGGGTAATACTGACTCGTGCACCCACCCCTCTGTTTAGGCGAGCTGGAGCTTTGGGATGAGACGCAAATACCACCAACAATCTGGGACGAGGTCTCGTCAGACGAGCTGGACACGGATTCCAATCGCCTAGAGTATCCCGCGGCGTTCCGATGGTGCTGTTGCCAGAGACTGGGCGACAGGCAGGGCTGCGTGCGCGGCATGCACGAGGCCAACCCGGACAGGAGCAAAAAGGGCCGCGGCAACGAGCTGTCCGACCTCGAGGACGATCCGCTGGAGCTCGACGACGCCTCGTCGCAGGAGCTGGGACCGCCACCGCATCAGCAGCACTACACGATCTCGAGTTCACCGAAGGATGACCACAAGCCGACAACGGCAACAATGACTGTGAGAACAGTGACAACGACGACAACGACAACGACAGCGCATCACCATCATCACCACCAAGAGCAGTGACGTTCGAAAAAGGTTTTCTTGGATTGTTTCTATTTTATTTTAAGGCATGTCTGTGGTCCATGTCAGAAACGAACTCGCTTCCATGGTTCGGGTTCCCCTGCTTCTCGGACGAGACTGGTTTTGGTAGACCGGTCAAGGAAATTATTATGGTTTCGGTCAATCGGATGGGCTCCCGATCTTCCCGACCGATCTCGGTCAACCGGTCGACAAGGACACGCGAGATTGAATTGGATTTTTAAGGTGCTGGCAGGGCTGTGAACAGACTGAAAGGGAGTCAAAGCGGCAACTGGGCAAAGTTCAAAAAACGGAGCGGAGCGGAGCGAAAGCAAAGCATTTTCCAGGGAGAGGGGGAGGCATAGCATTTGGCAAAGTTTGATACAACAAGACACTTGATGGATGAAGCAAGCAAGCAACATTGAAATTGGTTGGGCAAGAATTAGAGGGGGCGACACTATTTTACTTGGGGGCAGCTTTTTGCCCAATCGGCCATTTGGTGCCTGACATATTGACCAGGCTGGCATGGCATTTCGCTGCCCAGCATGAGGGTGTCCTCGTCAAAGACACCACGGATAATGGAGGCAGAGCATAAGAGCATATCAAGTGTATTTCAGTAGTGAAAGAAACAATGATGTGAGGGCACTGAGGGGGGAAAGGGGATAGCGAAAAGAACGGGGTCAAGATTACCCCCCAGCGCAGAAAGAACATCGATTTACGTAGTAGAAAGACGAACGGGGCAAGCCCAAGTTTGCCAGCGATCCAATATACCTTGCTTTCAATTTACACGAGCCTAAAAACCACAGAAATTTGCATGTACTGATCATTGATGAGGTGAGGACAACAAGCGAGCTGCCCAACTAAGGCGGCATTCCCAGGATCGAGATGGTCACATTTCGCCTCATGGGACTGGCGGTGGCGGAATTCGCATGGTCCGCCGCCGACGACGACGACCGCGGCGGCAGTGATGAGACGAACCGGAAGTGTCCTGCCCAGAGCGGTCCGATATCATCTGCAGCAAGCGCTCAAATCTGCAAGGGACACCAGAAGCGGCCTAGCAATCCCGCTCCAGGGAATGTGAAGCTTGCCAGGCTTGCCAGCAGCAATGTAGTGTACACACGCCAGAGCGAACGAGCCAGTAGGCTCGCACCCGGTGGTCGCACAGGATATGTTCCCCCCCAAAACCCGGACCAGACTCCAGAGTGTGTGTGTGGCTCTTGGGGGGACACAAGACGCACCGCCTACAGGCTACTTGCCTTTCGTCAGCTAACCAGCCGCTGGACCACCACCCCTGGGACCATGGGTAATTGCCCTGTAGTCTGGGCTCTAGAGACTGGAGAGCCGTAAGCTTGCGGTGCCACAGCAGGGCTCTGTATGCGAAGAGCCCAATGAGGCCACCTGGCGAGCAGGGATGACCCTTACCATCCGTGATTCCCCGGCAAACCCTGATCTACGGGAGGCCGGGGAGGGTGGCACGGGGGGGCAAGCCGGGTACTTGTAAAAGAAACGGGTGTCTGTGGGAGTTGAGTGAAACCCCCCCGGCCGTACAATTCTAAGAAACAAGAATGAACACAATTCCCCAAAAGGAGGAAAGTGACCCCAGTGAACCCTTTCGGAAACTGGTTTCTATCCCCGTCACTCCGGGTTGGGGAAGTTGTTGTGGGACTCAAAGTGGGCGTGGTCTACACTAGATGGTAGTCCCCGAGTGTAGGCAGTTAATTGAGAACGTAGAAGCCTCTCGAATGTCTACGAAAGGGAATGCTTGCGTACCATCTGCACCGTCGAGCAAGTTGCTTCAAATTTGGTTAAAGGACTCATTTTTCAGTTGTCACAATTCGCTCGCGCTTACTCGGATAAACTCAACGACTTATTTTGACTGTTACTTAGCTACTCTACTTATTGGACCAAAGAGACTAGTGCAAACAATAATCCGCCCGTGTGTCCGATATCGCATAACACAATTTTCCCGGCCCGAAGAAAACACCACACTATCGGCGCGACACGGCAATAACAACTAAAAAACAATGGTTGATCAAGTAAGACTACGAGCCGAACAGACCGCCGCCCCGAATCGGGAAACAGCGGCCATGTTGGAAGCCGTTTCGGGTACCGATGCTCGAAAGGTCTTGTTCGCACTCCGCAGGGAGGATGAGCGGGTCCGCCGGCGAGCCGTTGACCTGTTGCAGAATATGCCAAGGACGGATGTCTGCGCCAACTGTAAAGAGACGTTTGATGTCAACAGGAACGCTCCTCATGCATGTCGTTAGCACCCTGGTCAGTATAATGAAATTCCACATTCAAACACGTATTCGGAATGAGCGGGTATCGTAACGCTCCGTGTTACTACACTTGCTTGGCGAATAACATAAGGACATGACGCTAACGCATGAATAGGAAAGTTCGAATTGGACGAAGACCTAGAGGTCTGGGGCACAATCGATGAAGTGGAAGAGTTTTACGAGATGGACAGCGAAGAAGCTCGGTTTGATGTTCCCGAAGGCTTCAGGTGGAGCTGTTGCCAACGCGTTGGCGAGGTGGAATGCTGTCAAAAGGGGCAACACGTGGCCGTATTGGAACACGGTCCTTTGGCGTTGGGGAGTTTCGGTGACGGTGCCAACGCGTTGGAGATCACAGGGAAGCAAAGCCATGGCAAGCGCAAGGCTGACGAGGATATCGTCGGCATTGCGCAAAGGACAAGGACGGGGTCTCGGCGGATATGACACGGGGACTGTTGCTTGAGTGCATGGGGAATTCGAAATGCGGTTGGCTTTGTCACTTTGACAGTCTGCGACACATCATCTGGTTCTACTACACCGTATATGGCAATTGCCAAGCTCTCAGCCCTTAGGGGATGCCATTCCATCGTCTGCAACCAAACGGCTGACAGCTGCATGCGCGGAACTCCGGGTAACACATCACACGCAAATCCATGTGGGGATGCGTCCGAATCAAGCAGCGGTGCCTTGCGCTGAGAGGCTCAGTTGCGAGTTGAGGGCTGTCAGAAGTCTCAAAGAACGGCTGACTCGCTGGCCCGTTCCAATGATCACCGGCTGACAGAACTTTCGGTGTAATTCCGACATGTACTTGTACACTTCAAAAATGAGGAGATAAGGCACCAAAAACGAGGAGCTAGATGTTGAAGTCCAAGATGACAGGAAAGACTTGGAAAGCCCCGAAAAGTCTAAAAGATCAAGTTTGGTCGCAGAAATAGCCATTCACGGAGTCTCGAGGGCACTTGATTGAACTGGGTACCGCGAATCATTCCCCAAAGTATGGACACAGGTGGGCCTATTGCGGGCGTGAAGATGGAAGTGCCCGCTGCAGAACCCGCTGCAGAAAATCAGGCGGCCCAGGCCGTTCGGACTGCCCCCGCCGCATTTACGAAATCTTACATAGTCGTGAGGCTTGATATTGGCTGGAATTCTCGAGTCATGGGAAGAGGTCTAGGCCTCGAAGTGTAGGGTTTCTCAACAGACTTGATTCAACGATAATCGTCTGTCCGACAAATATGACCTCGGACTCATTTCTTCCCACATGTGCTTGTACTTGGGCTATCTTGGATATCATTTGATGAGCGAGAGTCGTCATTGTCGAGTCTTTCCTGAGCTCGGCATTGTATTTGGGGGTTAAGATTGCATTGCGGTTGAGGAATGCATGTACAAGGATAGTTCTGGCGTGCTCTAGGCCTGATTTGTTCCCGCTGTCTTTTTTCGATCCTTTCAAGAAGATGTACTTGACTGAGAGTTCGATGTTGCAGTCATTAAACTCATTACTAAAACTCTGGTCCGAAGAAGCTATCATTTCAAGTGGCAAGACCCAACTCCAAACTCTTGTTGCCGTTGTTCGATGCCATAGTCTGTTGAATAGGTACTGTCATCAACATCTCTTCTACGCCACAAGGGTAATTGTGGCTTTTGAGGCTTTGCTTTGTGGGCAAGCTACTCAAATGGGGTAATCAAAAGCTCACAGAATGAGCCAGAGCCATGCATAGTCAGGAAACCGTAGATTCGACTGGAGGCATCTATCATTTCTAGCAGGTGGTAGAAATGTCTCGCAGTAGCCTCGAGTTGGAGGAATCGAGTATCAGTTTATGGACTCATAAAAGGAATCTGAGACACTAGTCCTCGCTCAGAGCTTTTTCTCTATATGTCTCATCCAGTCATCTCACGGTCTGAGTCAATCGTCGCCAGGCTTGCAACAGTTGATTTTCGAATTGTCAACACGGGTCTCTCAGCAGCCAGACACGACAACCATCTGCACTACATTAGGCTCCGCGTTGGTATCAGTTGTCATGTCTCTCAAGTATGCATTCATCTTTGAAAGCTCTCTGACGGAGAACTAATAATGTCCCAGCATGCATGATGTTCCCATAGAATTGAAGGAAGCCGAAAAGTCATCTGATAACTCCCAGAGTCAGTCAAACAAGCGAGAACATTCTGAAACCCCTCCCGGTTCTCCCCGACAGCCATCCCTAAAGGTAATTATCTTAATTTCATCAACGAACTATTGTATCAAACTGTCACTGATAACGGCAATAGAGAGTCAGAAGGGCGGAGCCAAGAGAAAAAAAGTCGCCATTACTGTGAGTCAAGGTTTTCTCCAAACGAATGGAAATGAGGGCATATCATTGACTTTATTGTAAACGACAGCCAGCTTCCACCAGAACTACGAAATCAGATTTACAACTTCGCTTTTACCCGTTCTTTCGTCAGGATCACTGGTCAGTCGGTTTACGGCTACACTTGTGTCCGTTCAAAGTTCCTCTGGAAGTGCAAGAACGTGCGACATTATTATGCAGGGAATGAAGAAGCAAACTTGCCGGTTGCGTTCCTTGGAGCCTGCAAGCAAGTCCATGCTGAAGCGCGTGCGGTACTCTACGCCAACGACTTCGACATGGAAGGCATGGAGACACTCGCCGTCTGGCTCAAAGACCTGGGAACTAATACTGCCTGCCTGCGAACTATTACGCTTCGGACTGAAGCTCAGATGCGGTTGACGTTATCGTCCTCAAGTAGTTTCAGGGCCCAGCAGGACCGGTATCGGGAAGTCTGTCACAGGGCCGCCAGGATGTTGGCTGGTGCCGAGAATCTCCAGGCCCTGGGGATACATTTCTTTTACAACCAGATGATCGGCGCCCCGGCTCCGAGAGCAATTCTCAAGCGACCTGAGCCTGTTTCCGGCTGGATTGGTATCGCCCGCCGAGTTGCGGAGGTACTTTACCATGATTTCCGGTCGGTGTACTCCAAAGGGTTATCCCGGGGTCGCACTCCTGAAGACTTATGCCGTGTCATAAAAGTCAGCCGGAATAACTGGTGGTGTAATCGTCACGCGTTGACCCCACACAAACTCAATGCCAAAGAGGCAAGAGAGGCCGAAGAGGAGGTTGTAGAGCATTTGAGGCTTCTTCTCAGGAGGAATCTCGAATCTCGTCTGGTTCATCGGTCTTAAAGGATATTGACTCAAGGCATCCAGTCGTCACACTTGTATATTTGACTAGCTTGGTCTTCAGAAAGACGGCGGCCTCTGTAAGGGGAGGTGGTGCTACATAGGCTAGCTAAGTTAATCATACTATCCGTGTGTTCCATCATCCCGAATAATAGATTTGTCAAAGATTTCATATGTAAGTCGTTACTTGAGTTGCGACTGACTCACTGCTTAAGCATTATCTCGAGAGTGAGCATCATCAAAGGACCTCCCTTACGTACCCCTTGAATGCTTCTTGCCATCGACCTGAATGCACACGCCGGATAAAAGACAAAGCCACTACAAAGAAAATCTTAGAAACAAAGAGGAATTTCTGGAGTCTCAAGATCAAATGTCCGTTAAGGTAGCAGAGTTGCGAAGTTCTGCTCCTAGCGGCCGGTTATATCAGAGCATCAACACTCCCTGGTATCTCACGGAAAGAATCTGCCATCGACAACCCCCAGCCTGACACAGACACAGCACTGGCAAGCATCAATTCTTCCAAGTAAGCAACTATTAGTTACCTGGTATTGAAGTTCAGCTGACTTCTCAATTGGAACGTCGGTAAACAGGCCTGCAGAGCACCTTCTCAAAATACCTGTGCGGGTATGGCCTCGTCCCCGCACGCCTCCGTTCCAAACTGCGGACTCCATCGACGGAATACCCAAAGTTCTTCAATCACCCTACTGGAAGAGGTATGCCTGAGTTCTTTGAATTATCTGAAGTTCACCGAGTTCGACTGATATCAATACTAGATTCTGGAAGATGACAGTCATAAGCCGAAACGCTCGTCGCTATTGTAAGTTTTTCAGCGCGGGCTTCTTTGCGCGTGGTTCCGAAAATAATTAATCCTCAAATGGAAAAGGCATATGACCCGAGAGATCCGAAACATGATATATGAGGCGGTCTTAGCCTCTACGAGCCGGATTCGTATTTCAGGTGAACTCGCCTACACCCTTGTGTCCTCGAAACGATCAACCTTTCGATTACGACGAGGGAATCTAACGCAATTCCCATTCACGGAACAAGTCGATCTATCGATCCTTCAAACTTGCAAGCAGGTACTGGCTGAGGCACGTAGCATCGTATACTCTCGAACCATCGACATTACGGATGAAGAGACGCTTCTTGTCTGGCTACGCGACATTGGGCCGGACAACAGATCTCATCTACGCGACATTGCCTTGCTTATGCCGAGCACTTATCCTCAGTGCCCATTCATATCTGTTCGACAGAAGATGGTTATGACTAGGAATCCCGCAATGCTTGAAAGCTCTCCGAACCTCAAGCGAATCCGGATGAACCATCTTGGATTTGAAGGCATGATCGATGTGAATAAGCGCCTCAAGCTTCACAGAGATGAACGGTCAAGTCCGCTGGTCACTGCATCTCGTCACATGGCTAAATGGATGTCCGTATTCTTTCGACCCCTCCTGTGCAGTCCGTCTTTCCGCAGTCGAAGTCCTTCGGAGCTTTCTTCCTTGTTGGTGCTTGAGGATCGCGCTTACGATACCTGGCATCTTTTGCGCAATAACAAGCCCGGCTTTGGTTGGCCGAGTCTGAAAAGGGAGTTGGACGAGGCACATGCATCATTTACTGAGCACATGGAACTGCTACTTGAGAGAAGTCGGAAGAAGAATCTCAGACGTCGCCAAAAGAAGCTTCAGCGGCGTAGCTAATGTGTCCAATGAAGGGATTATCGTCTGGTCGCGATGTTCTCATTGGAATCGAAACAGATAGCAGTACGTTATGAGAATTAAAAGATGAGGATACTGGTAGCTCTAGCGCACGGTCGGAAGAGCAAGCCTCTCGGTGGGCTGACCTCGGTGAGCAATCGGTCTGGCTCACGCGATACTCGGTGAGGCTAGAGAGGGTTGAAGCCGTCATGACAAACAGCTTTCCGTTTCACATAGAGATTCTATGTTACATGTATTTTTTCAAAATCTGACATGGAGTCATAAGTGGTCCCAAACTCTGTTTCCTTTTCGCAGCTCAATTACTAGGCAATGACCTTGGTGGTCTCAAACGTTGCGAAAGATGTCCCAACTCACCGACCCATTTGGGTCCACCCATTATGTGCCCTCACTACTCTACAGTTACGGGAAATATGGCTTTCTGTAAACAGGACCTGTGACGCAGCGGGTAACATCGTGAGTGAATTGCCTCGCTTGCACAAGTCGCAAGTTCCGGCCTCATGAGACATCCCTCTCTACGCCTGAGGCTTGAAGAGTCTTCAGGGATTTTCGTAGGCTACCCATGGGTAACGCCGAGCTTTTGTGAATATTTCTCGTCGTTTGTGGCTTGTTTTGTCGGGCAGGTATGTGTAGTCCCATGCGGCTGGTTGACGAGCCCTCGGGTGACTATCGCCACACGCTCACAATGGTGCGCACCAGACTGAGCAAACCTTTCTTCAAACGCCTGTAGAAAAAGAGCTTCCCCCCCTACGCAACGAACACAAACAGAAACATCGATGACTGGAATAAATACTCTGCAAACCGGGACGCCTAGTTGAGCTAGGTAAGTTGAAAGGGGAGCCCGACCACTTTTCAACATCTGAACCAGATATACTGACCTCTTGTTATCTAGGCAACACCTTCGTCCATGAGCTGCAAAGCTTCGCGCAAAACGAAGTCTAGGCTTCGGAGGGAAAAGAAGCTTCGCGAGGTACGGTATTATAACACGACAGTGGAAAGCCGCGAGGAAGAGCATGTGGTCTTTGACTAACTAAGCTAACATGAACGGTCATCTAGCAGTCCCAGAGTGTAGCACGTTATTTTAAGCATTTTCGGTTTTTGTATGTGTACCCGAGAGCTTGGTAATTGAACGCGAACGACTGACTTTGCCATACAGGGACCTGCCCCCTGAGCTTCGAACCAAGGTCTACGACTTCGCTATTGTTTGTTGCGATGTTGTCTCAATCACCAGGATATCTCACAAGAATGGCTGCACCAACAAAAAACAGCTCGCCATTCTGCACCATCAAAACTGCGGATTAGCAAAGCGAGACACGCAGCCCATCGCCGGGCTACTTCATACCTGCAAGAAGATTCGCCACGAGACGTCGTTCAAGCTCTACAATAGCAATGCCTTTGGCCTGTGCGACGTGCCAACACTCATCTTATGGCTCGAGATAATTGGGCCCGCAAATCGAGCAGCCCTGAGAAGTCTTGAAATTGAGGGAGACGGTTTTGATGACCTACTCCCCATCATATCATTGTTGGATCCGGAGGGCGACTTGGACAGGTACGACTCAAACCCCTCCATTGGAAGGGCTTCCCCAGGCGACCCATACCGAAAGGAGACTGCGAGAGTCGGCGATCTTCTTTCTGAATCCCTCGTTCTCGAAGCGTTGCACCTTCCCTGCGGATACAAATTCTGGCAGCTCCCGCCTCTAACGCTCCGCCAACGCGATGCAGACAACGCGCCGTGGCAAACCAACATGGCGCGCCGCATCGCCGAGACTCTGGTCGAAGACTTTGCACTCTTTTTCCGAAAGCGCCTTCTGCTCGACAACGATACTGAGCAACTCTCAAAGGTCATTAAGGTCGATATTGTACGCCAAAGGGACGGCGACATGCCGGCGAGTCCAGCGATAAAAGGCGTCTTGACCCAAATAGAGGAGGGAGCAGAGTACTTGAACTTACTACTCAAGTACATCCAACACAAACAGAACGGAGGCAAGCCATGGCCGTTCTGTCTCGCTGAATGAACTTACTAAGCGTGATGAGCTCATGCTCTGGAACCCGGAACACAATGTTGGAATAAATGGTCGAAGCATTTTTTTGAAGGGCGGCAACGAGACGGCTTTTCTGAATCAAGCCAAATGTCAGTAACTAGCGTATCATGTTACTTAGTACAAAGGATCCCCTAACATGGAGATGAGCTCTTTATATGTGCAGTCTCAGCGGTCCACACAAATGAAACTCAAGTTTACAAAAACTCCAGATCAACACATCATGTTTCCGAGGAATCTCATAAATATGGCCAGGTCATGGACAATGCGCAGGGAGAGTCCAGCGGGTTCGAAGTCTGCGCAGCAAACTCTGTCGTCATCGACTGCATGCCTTATGCTTCCGTCACGCAAGTACTCTCAACTAGGCCTTGCAGCGTCCTCCACGACAGCGGACGTCGATGCGCCTTGCGGTACTGGGGAATCATCCCTACGACCACAAACTTACAATACTCACTGGATGGGTATCGAAGCCGGACGAGAAGCTAAGTGAAGCCTTCCGGTAGCCACTGAAGTTCCCCAGCAATCCTTTTCCCCCAGAGACCTTCTGCGACGCGAATAGCTCGGCAGTTTCCGGGTCGGGCCCTTATCGAAATTATACAAATACAGCGGTCGAGTAAAAGCGTCAGATAAGGGATCTATGATGTTTCGAGTTTCTAGACCTCTACGGCGCGATGGTTATTACGGGTCTTCGTAGTTCTTTCGGCGGTCGTCGAGGCTCCGTCCGGGTCGAAGTCGGGTCTCCAGCAACTGCAAACGTCAACGCTCAACGTCTCTGCAACTACTAAGTAGATAATTTTGTGCCAGATTTCCCAAAAGTACTGTTTTAATCTTCTCGATTAGCGAAAGTTGAGAAGAAGTAGCAGGGAATTCGACATTACCTGTTCTAGGTCTGGGTGTTGTGGTGACTGAAAAGTCCGCGATAGGGATGTGTGGGTTTGCCCGTTATCACCACGTCTATGCAGGCATTTGCAAAGAGATCGACCAACAAAGAGACAATGACAATAAATGTCTTACGTTGCAAGTTGCACCGTGTTGGATTATCTAAGAGTCAGTTGTTAAGGGGTGATGAAGAACATCCATCAAAGATTAGATAATCGTAACGCTTTGCAGATCCGACACGACTCATTACGACGCTGCGAAACTGTATCAAGTAAAAACAGCAGAGAGCCTGATTATCAAGATGAAAGAAATCTCAAACCCGAGAAAACCGTGGCCGAGACTAGAGAAACCGAAGTCGTCCAGCCTCGGAATGCAATAAGCATTTCGCTAGCGTCCCTGCACCTCGCTTTCCCGTCTCCACATCATGGCAAGGCGCATTTTTTTTTCTTTTCAATGGCGCCAGAGGGCAGATTCCCGACCCCGTCTCGAAGCCTGGAGGCCTGTAATCCCGGTCATCTTTTTCCCACCCCCGGGAACTAGAACCTCGTCCAGACTCTATAGCATGGAAAGGGGGAAGGCGACAGCGGCGCTGGACACTAAGAGCCCTGTTGATGGGGTCTCGGGGAGTTGCGATGACAAGTGTCAAGCCTCCTTGGCGCGAACCGCCCCAGCCCACTGGTTTGAGGCTTCTATGGAGGCGACAGAAGGATGGAGGAGAAGAAAAGAGGCGAAGGCTCAAGGATTCAAAGCAGCAGAGACATGGATAACTTTATTGGGTGGATACGCGTATGCTTAGGCCTTAAGGTTGTTGGTGCTCCAATTCTCTAGTGCTGGTTTCTTCGTGGCTTTGTCAGAGAAGAAGTGGGAAACCGAGACCGAAGTGCCGTTCGCCTGGGGGGGCAAGGGGCTGTGCTACTTTTATCTCTTCCCCCATTCCAAGTTCCCTAGCAACAATAGTAAGGTAGAGTAGGTAAGTAGTTTTCTGTGTCTGACTGCACAGTGAAGGAAAAAAAGTGTCCGCGTCGCACCCATAAACCGAGACCGAAGGCATTCTCACACAATGCGCAGCGTGCGGCTGTGTAGCGATAGGCCCGACACTATGGGAATGAGTATCGAAATTTCATTCAGGATACGGTCAATACGTGTAAATGCGAGATGATACAGAATGCGAGATGTTTGTATATAGATGGAGTCTGGTCCGGATGTTGTTGCCGTCTCTTTTTCAATACAATACAACTAACACAATCATCACCACCATCGCCACCATCACCATACAAAAAGTCCTCAATCTCGACTTTGACGAACATTCGTCACTAACGACTCTACAAACCAATATCCACTCCCCTTATCCTCCCCGATATTCAAAATGGGTCTCTTCGACTCCAAGCTCAAGTTCCCCATCCACATGGTCCAGCTTGCGCTGGTCATCGCGGCTCTTAGTCTCTCAGTGGCACGCATCTTCCTCCCCAACCGCCCCAGGGGTAGATCCGGCACGATGGCTCTCGGCATGGTAAGTCTTAAGCTTCATTCTACCCCACAAACCAAGCAATCGACTAACAAAATCTTCCTCAACCCCAGGCCGCAAAGTCCCTCATCATCATCGCATACCAAGTCCTCACCGAGCACGTCTCCTCCTTTAAACGATGGGGCAGTCTGAAAGCCAACCTGATCCTCAACGGCATGGAAGTCGTCTTCTGGGCCGCGGTCGCCTACATGGGTATTCAGGGCAACACACAAGCAGCCTGCCTGGGCGTCAGCTGCACCATCGGCTGGATCGTCGTCGTCATGGGAATCCTTCTCAGCATCGTCGCCGGCTACGCCACCATCATCGCCTGGCTCGACTTCCGCTACTTCAAGGCCAACGGCGTCCGCCGCGGCTCCATGAAGCAGACCGCCCTCGGCAGCAGCAGCGACAGCGAGGGCGGCCAGTCCGCTGAGCGCATCGAGATCCAGCAGCAGAGCAAGCCCCAGGCTTCTTCCCCTGCTCCTCGTCCCGCCGTCGCCCCTGTACACTTCAACAACAGCCAGCAGCAGAGCAACCAGTACGATGCGCCTCCCTACGGCCAGCACTATGCTCAGCAGTACCAGCAGCAGTACCAGCAACAGTACCAGCAGCAGCACCCTCAACAATATCAGCAGAGCCAGCAATACCACAACCAGTACCACAACCAGTACCAGTACCAGCAGAGGCAATGAGTTGGAGGAGAGGTGGACTTTTGAATTGAAGAGGACTTTCTGAGCGATTCAGCATATCCAGCGGGGCGAATTGGGATAGGGATACAAATTTCATTTGTTTTTACAAGCGAGTATGATTTTCTGAAGAGACCGGGTTGGTCTGCACAGCCAAGGGATAATGGCGTTCACGTTAGAAGGGAACCATGGGACTTTAGACCAGAATATCTGGGTTTCTTCTTTGTAAAAGCCCTCGGAGCATAGAAACCGCCTCTGCAGAAGCAAGGAGGCGCAGGAATGGATTTGAGTTTGAAAGCATTCTTTGACAACTAGAAACCCGTGTCTCAATTTGGTTACCGACTACAATAAGGGTATTTAACTCAAGAGAAGCATGACCTGGAAGAAAACAGAAGATTGAACAATCTGTTTCGGGATGAAGTGGATAGAAAGTGGCTGCATAACGGAGGATAAGGGGAGGGACGGGGTTCTTACTCCAAGATCATTTTTTCCGCCATAGTAATTGCAGTTACTTCCTTGAAGCTCCTGTCCTTGAGCCGTCCGGACCTCCGAACAAGAAGTTTGAGATTTTGTCGCCAAAAGGCACCACCGACGAGGGTACTTCTTGGCTCTGGCGGACTTTCAAAGGCTTACGACTGTAGGAACGAGGGGTCCATGATTGGTCCTCCGTGGCTCCACGACCCGACGGCCTGCGCCTGGACGATGGATGATCCCTTATCACCTTCCTGAGCTCCGCTCTAGTCAAGTTCGGCCTCTCCAGCACTTGGCGCCGCAGCTCGGCATCGGGCCTGCCGCTGGAGCGTCTTCTACCTATCGCAATGATCTCTCGCAGGGGCAGAGCTTTGAGATCAGCCGGTACCACATCACTCACCTGGCTGACGTCTCCCTGGGACCCTTCAGGCCGATATCCAGCATCGTAGAATAGTCCAGCTAGTTCGGGATACGCGTCTGTAAAATCATACCAGAAAATAGGGTTGCTGATAGCGGACGCGTTCTGTGCATTGAGAGCTTGGGCTGGACTGCTGTTTTCGATGATGTTCTGCAGGAGCCAAACCAGGTCTACTGCAAGGTCATCCAGGAACCCCTCTTCCTCTATATGCCTGTCAACAACATACGAAAGAGCAATCTCGTTTACGAGAGCCGGCATCGTCAAGATCGTTGTGGGAGAGGAGTCATCCCCAAAGCAGAGACTCACAGTCGGCAGCATCTCAAAGCTACGCTCAAATGCCATGGTCCTCATCTTCACCGGCCACACCTGTCCCTCTTCGTCGGAGACGCCGAGAGTGTCCGGTTCACCCGGATAATTAAGCATTCCGCTGGCAGCAGCCGCCCACGCCTTCATGACCTCTTGGGCATAGGCCGGGCAGATGACAGTAACGTGGGACGCAGAGCGGGAGTCATGGCCGTACGCTATCAGCGCCGCGTCGCCGCAGACAGCGTACTGAACGTGTGAGAAGGTGTTTCCGAGGCGGTGGAGGACTTGATGTGTTGATGCTGGGCTTATGTCGGGTCTGGGAAAGGAGGGGCTGGGGGCTTGCAGGTACGTTTGAGCTGGAGATTGGGGGTCTGCGTTGACCCTGTAGGGACAAGATGCACCGGGTGTGTTATGGCGCAATCGCTGACTACCACTTTGGTTTGACGTTTGAGAGGGAGAAGAGGCCATGTTCCTGGGGGGATCGCGACAGTGGCTGAATGGACGTTTCAATGCTTCGATGACGTGGAATCGACCACTGCGCCTGCAAGCTGCCTTGTCTATAGAAGTTGGTGGACTTTGAAGCAGGAAATCAAAAATACCTGTCGTAGAAGCTGTCCGCTGTGTGCGGTTTCACGAGAAGCGGAGGCGGGTCGACACGGGGAATCGGAAAGCAGATCTCAAACTAGAGTTTGTCACTTTGGCAAGACTTCATGCCGTGAGGCCACAATACGGGGAGGCAAGGAGATGATGTTGACATGAAAGTGGGAAGTGGGTAGACTTGATAACTGGTCTTCTTCGTTTGCCGCCAGCTAGAGCTTGGGGCGAGGCGAAGCCGAGCTTTTATGTAGATGCACGGGAATGGCCTAGCAGTGTCAAACCACTGCGAACAACTTGGCGATTGATGGGCGACAATGGGATTGAAACTTGAGTCTGTATTTCTCAGATGTTCTGGGACTGTAAGAGAACAATGTAAGTTAGCGTTTTCTTCGCCTTTGAGCACGCGGCAGTGCTTGAAGCTCCATGGATCAAGAGGCAACAAAGGCGGCGTTCCCCGTTGCCTCGTGTAACTTGGAAAGACATATTTCCAGTGACGCCTGATGCAGGACCTGGGGAGGAGTCGACACTAGGAAAGTTGTACCGCCAAAGCTTCATTCATTTCATAGGCCCACGTTGAGTTCATAGTCGTCTTATGCCTGGCGGGTCCTCTAGATGTTGCGTTCCCGTCCACCTAAACGCCTAATCGTACAGTGCTGGCAAAGTTCTCGAATCCCGCCTGAGACCGTCCCTGAATCATGGCCCTTAACCTCCTCACAACTCCTCTTCCACATCCATGGAGTCACCGTTTGATTGATCCTTACCCCCTGCCGGTCCGTCCTTCTTAGGCATCGTCGCTTCCTTGTCGATCATCTGTCTCGAGACGGACACAATGTTGTCCTCAATCAGCTGCTGACCAACGTCCTCCAAATGCTTCTTAGGGTCGAGCTTGCCGACATAGCGGGTCTTGAGCTGATCCTTCGTCAGTTCGGTTTCTTCCTTGACACGCTTCTCGTAGCCTTCCGCAAGGCTGACGAGACGCTCCAAGCGCTCCTTGTTGCAGTCGCCCTCATGTCTGAAGTCGTTCATCTCCAATGCCTCGGTCCAAACATGTTTGTGCAGGTTCATGAGCATGTTCTCCTCGAGCGCCGTCTTTCGGTAGTTGATGCCGATGGAGTAGTAGTGTCTGTTCAGACCGTGAATGAGGGCCTGGATCGAAGGTTTGTTGAGGTGGCCCAAGTTACTCGTGCTTTGCCGGGGCTCTTGACCCAGCATAAGGGACTGAGGGTTGATCAGGCGGAAGGCATCAATGACAACCTTGCCCTTGACGGACTGAATGGGGTCGACGACGACGGCGACAGCACGCGGAGTCAGCTGCTCGAAAGACTGCTGAGTGTTGATATCGACGGATGAAAGCCAGCATCCAAAACCAGGATGGGAATGGTACCATCCAACGACGGCCTCGGGTCTGTTTGCAAAATATATATCAGTATCTGCGACTGCGATATGGCTCAGGTAGGGGATGGCGGGGTCCGAACTCACCTTCCGGTTTGTCTCAACATGTCCATCATCTTCATCTGGAAGACAGGGTCGACGGCCTCTACACTAACACCAGTACCACTTTGGGGCATGGCGAAAACATCCACCACGCGTACCGTGAAGTCGTCGACGAACTCTCCCAGCATCAGACCCATGACTTCCATAGGAACACCAGCACGGCCGTGTCGCAGCATCTTGAGGAGGGCAAGGGAGGAGATGTAGACAGTCTCGGAGTTGTCGATAAGCTGTGTATTGTCCTGGAGTGCCGCGTCAGTATAGGTTTGCCAGGGCGCTGACAATCGGAGCTGTCAAGGCAGCTCGTCGAGGTGGGATGCTCTTACCGTTCCGGGTTGGCTGCCCAGGCCACCGAGACCCTGTGACTGGAGCATGTTCCTGAAGCGCTCCATTGCGATGATATGGTCGGTGTTAAGGAGTGAAAAATGCGGTAGCGAGCTGGCGTCGTCGAAATGCTGTCGTGGAAGGAGATGTGCGCGGCGGTTTGGAGGGGCGTAGGTTGAGGTGATGGAGGTAGATGGAAGCAGCTGGGTCGTGGAGTTGAGTGGTGTTGACGACAGCTCTGAGCAGCCTGGCGAAAATGGTCCTGGCGCGGAGCTAGCCTGGTCCGGTACGTACTAATTCTGTGCCTGGCTGACAAACAGTCACGTGCTTGACTTGTGATATCAGTGCCGGAAAGAGCTTCCTTACCTCAAAATCCCAGGGCTATCCAACTTAATTTGAGTTTAACTTATATGAAATCAAGTTGAACTCCAGTCAAGTATTCGAATAGATCATTCGGGTTGATTTTCCCTCTTAGTCCTTGCTGTGAATATACGTTTGACGACTTGTCACTTGTGCAGCTTGAAATGTTGAGGTGTGAGAGGTTAAGCCACACATTTGCCGCATTCGGCTAGACCGATCTTCTGGGGCTCACCAGCCACAATCCAGCTCCCCTCCACTGTGTTCAGTCTCGAAGGATGAGTTCATCATCTACCATTCGTCGAGCTCCCAGTAGGGCCGACTTCTTTAATTAGGGGCTTCGTACTAGAGACGAAGCCGACAAGATACGATGAGCGGGATGTTTAAATTTCAGTATGGTTATTTTGAGCGATGGGAATCTTGAATGTGGTCTCCGTCCAAATGACAAATCGACGTCACCGAAAGCCCCGGCAAAGATGTTTACGCCCCATAGCATCCACTCAACTTCGCACCCTGCCGCAAGCCCACCTCAAGGATTAGGATTTGTCGTCTTCCATTTACTAAGGACCTCATCAATTACAACCGCATCACTTTACCCCCTCAGCACTGAGGTGACTCCGATATGAACAGTATATCAACGTCCGGTGCCGACTTCACCGGCCGCTGACTCGATCGGGTAGCAGCTCGGCGCGTATCATGAATCAATGGCCGGCGAAGGATATCCATGCTAGCCCCCAGTTCACCATCTTCGCTTAACAAAGCCGCAATATCGTCACTGAATCCCCAAATGTGTTTAATGGTAGGAGGACGCCCAGAGACTAAACAAACCATGACGGATTTGAGTTCCGTAATTTCAAACAAACAGGCAATTCATCTGAAGAAAACAACAGATGAGACTAGACACACTCAGAAGGTCCGCCCAGATCGACCTGGTGGGAGAAGACCAGAGCCTCGAGAGCTGCAGGGAACGAAACGTCTGGAAAAGTGTGCTCTTATTTGGGGTATAAGGATATGCGCAACGGTCCCGAGCATCGAGCCTCGGTGGACGGATCTCCTGCGCCGAACCTGCAGAGAAGAACACACCGCATAAATGAGGAAGGATGGCGGTTCCCATCGCCGAGCCAAGAAACCATCGTTGTAAGCACAACGCGGCGATGTCACCTTCGAGATGTCAGCCCGAACCTTGGAGAAAGACGCATCTTTGTGATACGTGTTTCCGCCCACTATTGAAGAGATCCTCTTGCGACTTGTCTTACTACCGAAGGATCACAAGACGTCATTGTACATGGTTGACACAGCGCAGCATCGCGACATTTACGCTTTACAAATTGCGAAAGCCGCGGAGAGGAAAACGAGTCATGTCGAACTCAAAGAAGACGCCCATCTCAAGTGCGCTCGTCGCTCCGTGATCCTGGCACACGCGACAACTATGCTCTTAGCCCCAACTCAATCATGAGCGCTCCTCGTGCAGCGCACGATTGAGATCGATGTGCCCTGTTCCCAGGCGGTCAACACTAGACGTTCTCGTGCTTTCCCACTGCCATGCCAATCCCACAGTCTACCTCACTACAGCGCCGTATTGTAACGTGAATGGTTCCTTGGGATCTCAAGGAGCGACTGCTAGCCCCAGAAGACATGATCTAAGATCGCCATTTCTCGCGACATTCAATGTCGCACTTCATTCGCAGCACGTACCAATCTTCGAGTACCGGCCGACAACATCTACATCGCTATAACTCCTTCAGTCACAACGTCACCTGGCTGTGCCTCCTTCGGGGGAGGGGCGAAAGTGAGAAACAGGACGATGGATTCGATAGCGGTGGAAGACGAACAAGCAGCGACTCCAGACATCCACACCGTGGACCCAAACGAAACGCGACAGCCACTCGTCATCGGCGTGACAGTCACGGCGCTGTTCCTCTCGACTCTTGTCACGGCCCTCAGAGTCCACGTCCGCGCTTTTCTGCTGAGGAAATGGGGCTGGGATGATTCGGCGTTGGTGGCATCTTCTGTGCGTTTGCAGTACTGAGTTGGCTTCAAAGTCGATCATGGAACGCTGACAACTCGAAACAAGGTCCTCGTATTCTTCGTTGGGCTTCTTATGCTTATTAGTAGGACAATTCTTCATGGCGTGAGATGGGAGGTTGTTTGCTGATCAGTTCGGTGATGCAGATACTCACTTCGGCGACGGGTTACACCAAGCCACGCTGCCTAGAGACAAGTTTCTCAAATCTCAAGAGGTACTTCCAGCACAGTCGAAGGCGTTGAGAAGACAGAAGAAACTTACCTTGTATCCAGATCGCGATCACAGCTGTCGCCATCTACCAAGTCGTGCGTCTCCCCAGATCGGCCTGACGAGGGCGGCACAAGCTAACTACCTTAACAGGCCTACCCATTGATCAAATCAACTTTTCTTCTTCAGTACCGGCGCGTCTTTCCATTGCCAGCTTTTCAAAAGTTATGCAATATTTTCCTAATCTTTATTATTGCCTTTGGGATATCGCAGGTGGTTTCAGTCTGCCTGGCCTGTATCCCGCTCAGGAGCCTCTGGGACCACACAATACCCGGCCGATGCATAAAACTTCTCGACTGGTGGATTATTGGGTCATCGATAAACCTTTTCACCGACATTGTCATCTTCATCATGCCACTACCGCTACTGCGGACGATACCCCTGCCCATGAGGCAAAATATAGTGCTAATGGCCACGTTCGGACTCGGCTTCTTGTACGTCTTGCCTACCAGTCGTTGTACGTTCCCGGGTCCTCCGCTGACATGTCTCACAGCACCTGCGCGATCTCAGTCATCCGCCTCACGACACTAAAGAGCTCATCAACCTCCACCGACGCAACATACAACACCGTCATCGCCGGAATTTGGTCAATAACAGAGCTAAGCTGCGCCATAATCTGCCTCTGCGTCCCGACCCTCCGCCCTCTCCTCGGCGGACAAAACTCAAGGGTGCGACCGCCCTCCTACCTCCGACCCAACATCGAAGAGAGCGCCGACACAGAGCTCTACACGCAGTCCGACGGTGACGGTGGCGTGAAGAGCAAGACGCGGCGATCGCGAGCCGATTCGTGTGACCACCCGACCAGCGACCACAGGGAGATCCATCACGACGTCGAAGCCGGTGGCGGCGGTCGAGCTCCGCATCCGCGTATAGATCTGAGTGACGTACCCGGGATACTGCCCCCTCCCGCGGTGCACATCACCCCGTACCAGAACTCGCCTTCGTACGAAGGCTCCCCGCAGCGAGAGACGATACCCCTCACGAGAGTCGAAACCGAGGAAGGCGTACGATTCTTAACCGTCGACGCACCCGAAACAGAACTATCTACGCCGTTGAAACCCCCGCCACGGCGACATACCGACAGAGGACTGAGCCCGGAGGACGGAGGATATTTTGGCGCCGTAGTATGGGACGCGTCGGGCCAGCCGCGATTACCTAGTGTGTCTCCTGTGGCATCGAGGAGTAGCTTGGTTCGGGATAAAGATGATTCTGACAGGCCTAGCTAGCTGTTAGAAGTGACGAGGAACGACACCGGTTTACTTGCTGGGTGTTTGGGTATTTCGATGATGACAGGCATACTCAATGATATCACATTAGCAAAGTATGGCGTTTCGGTATAGATCAAAGGCGACACTTCAGACGTTCATGAAGCAAGGATTATGAATAACTTACACCAATGACAGTGAATGGCCTTTTGAAGAACATGGGATAACTCTCGAACTTGCAGACAAGGCAATAGAAGCCAGGCCACAAAGTAGCGTGAAGCCAGCCGTTGTCTTAGACGGGTGTCATGGTGCGGAACATTGCGCCAACGTACGAGGGCTGGATGCGTTGTGCAACATAATCAGCGGTGCTTGCTTTACCTCATGAGAGACACTGGAAAGGCAGTGAGATAGTACTTCGGTTGGTCCTCACAAGCACAATTCAACATCCATCTCTACCAGCCTACTTTCTCTGAGGAATATAGCATCGCTCAGCGGAAAGCAACAATCTGTCACATATTACTCAGTGTAAATGAAATCGCTACTGACAAGGCACCACCACGCCTTGGCTATCTATAATACAGCCGACGATTTCCTCCCGCCGACAAAATACTTTGCAAGGAGTGTATGAGAGTATCACAAAAAACCACAAACAAACAACAATCCCAGAGTTCCATGCTCGGAAATTTCCTCAAAACCTGTCCTTGAACGCCCGATACTCTCGCACTCCTCCCGCGAGCCTGCTGACTTGAACCCAACGTTGCGTCATTGGTGGTGCGCTGCATCTCTGCTTTTGCCACCGCGGAAAAATGGAGGAACATGGGGCCTTTCGTAGCACTATTCCTTTTTGGCTTCCTCTTCAGCCGGCTTTTCGTCAACATCCATCTTGTCCACCTCGGGCTCAGCAGCTTTGACCTCTGGTTTCTCAGCGGAGTCCTTTTCTTTCTCGGGGGTAGATGCTTTGGCTTCAGCAGCTGGTTCTTCTGCTGCGACCTCAGGCTTGGACTCGTTGGCCTCGGTGACGTCTGGCTCCTTACTTGCTGCTGACTCAGTCTCCTTAGCAGGTTCCGTGGTAGCGTCGGTGGCTTCGGTTGTCTCTGTCGTTTCTGCGACAGGAGGCTCAGCTGCAGGCTCGGCGGAAGGCTGGCGTGAAGAAGGCTTGTCCGCCTTTTCTTCCTTCTCGGCTACCTGGACAGGTTCTGCCTCAACTTCTTCCTTCTTGATTGTAGTAGTGGCCTCCTCAACATCCGCTCCATCTTCCATGCCGACATCACCGTCCTCGTCGACGGCATCCTCATTCGAGGCTTCTGGGGCGGCCTCTTTCTCTGGAAGTGACTTGTCTGACGTATCTTCGGGTTCGGCGGGGTTCTCAAGAGTAATGTCGGCATCCACAATCGGATCAGCGTTGGGGGCCTCTTCACCCTCGGGGGCACCATTTACGGGTGAAGGTGCCCCGCTATCGACCTCGCCTTCAGCTTGCCGGTAGTCACCAAATGTGCGCTTCTTGGCATTCCGAGGGCGCGTCATGCCGTTTGCCTGATCCATATCTTCGTCATCGCTGTCCTCGAATTCCGCTTCGTTACGGGTGCGCTGGTCCCATCGGCGTTGTGTCATTCGATCGTCGGCGTGTTCGTCTTCGTCCATATCGTTTAGCTCGGCTTCTTCCTCGTCCGTCATGCCACCAAAGGGTTGGCGAGGCACATCTTGCATCTGAACGGAGGGGGCAGGCTGGGTATGTCTTAGGTTGTCGATGACAGCGGCCTTGATCTTCTCCAGATATTCGAAGCTGTTCGAGTTCTCCATATTCGATGGGCGCACATTCAGTTCGAAATCGGGGGCATAGTACTAAGGTAGGATCAGTCAACCGTTTTTGGCCAGAACAAAGCGAGCGATGGACCTACTTCGTAATATTCGTTGTAAGGAAGCGTCTTAGGCAGGTGCTTGCCAACGAGTACACCAGTTTCAAATGCCCATGTGCGAGCAACGTTGCGCATGGTGTATCCACCACCTCCCAAAACCAAGGTCGGCAAACCGAAGCTCTTGACGTACCCCACACAGTTGGCGTGGCCCTCCATACTGAGGTTGAAGCAACCCAAGCGGTCGCCGGACAAACTGTCGCCGCCACATTGCAGTACAACAGCTTCGGGTTGATAGAACTTCATGACGTGCTCGATAACCGGTTCGAAAATTGACTTGTACGAGGTGTCGTCGATACCATCGCGAAGGGGAAAGTTGACTGCGTAATGCTTCCCGGTGCCGATACCAATGTCGCGCAACTCTCCGGTACCAGGGAAGTATTCGCCGTATTTGTGGAAGGAAACGGTCATTACTCGGTCAGTCGTGTAGAATGCTTCTTCGACACCGTCGCCATGGTGGACGTCGATATCGATGTAGAGGACGCGCTTCTTAAAACGCAGCAATTCGAGGATGCCGAGGACAATGTCTAGAGATGATTAGCAGGCGCTCAAGGAAAGAAAATGACACTGAACGGAATCTCCAGTACCGTTGACGTAGCAGAAGCCACTGGCCTCGCTCTTTTTGGCGTGATGAAGACCACCAGCCCAATTGACTGCAATGTCGCACTTTTGACGATTAAGACGGGCGGCACCCTCCATGCTACCGCCAGCGCTGATGCCACAGAACTCGAAAAGGCCGTCAAAGACGGGACAATCATCTCCGACATTATATTTTCCCTGTTCCTTCTGGTAGGCGTCCATGTTGTCGGGAGTGACCTTCTGGAGGAAGTCGATGTACTCGTCTGTGTGGAACTGGGTCATCTCTCCCCTCGTCGCAGGTTTCGCGCGCTACATTCGATGAGTTAGTAGCTACCCAGTCGCGAGGACTGAGAAACACAACATACATATATCTCCATGTTCTTGAATAAATCGTAGTGCATGATTAAGCTGTGTGCGAGGCGTATGCGATGGGGCTTCATGGGGTGACCGGTAACATAGGCATAATTACCAATGTCGGAATCGTAGAAGTAGGCGACTTTCTTCGGCGTCGCAGAGCCATTGGCCAGGGCCACCGAACCGAGTTGCGACATTGCGTCGGTCGGCGATCTATTCGCGATGGTGATGTCGTTGGCTATGTGTATATGGGGACCGGGCAAAACCGATTGGGGTGGGTGGTGGGAGGGAAGGATTGGGAAAAAGGTGAAAGGTGCGAAGGCTGCGCGTGGGAGCTCTGATCGGCTCGGCCCCAGATTTCCCAAGGCTGCGTGGGACACAGGCGACAAGCCAATCAGCAGGTGCGATGACATACAAGGGTACCTGAGTGGAGGTCCACCACAGTCCAATGAAGTTGTCGCACGCGGATCTCGGCAGAACTAATAGTCCGATGAGGGCCCGCTCAGAGGCGGCAAGGAAGGGCTTCGCCGGGCGGAAGTGGGTCGACTCGGGAATATGCCCGGGTACTGTGGAGTTGAAAGCCGGAAGACGGTCGGATGGGCCCGAGCCAAGAACGTGACTGAGAGAATTGCCTCCCAGAATACAATGACTGAGTCTAAGGTGAATCTTGGAAGGATTCAATATCATTAGACGGGCCACTAGGCACAATGCTGCTTGTCATCACATTTGTTTTTTCCCGACTCCTCGTTGGCTAACTGCCACGGACTAAATGCACGCAGATGAAATTCGCAGGGTCTCTATTTTGGGTTTAATTGAAGTCAAAGTTCTTAGTACGATATCCGCTTCTCACTCCATGAAGGACAAGTCCAATCGGGATTGTGCAATTGATTGCGGCTGAAGCCAGAGCACTGAGATGAAAGTGAGACTGTGTGCTCAAGGTATCTAGATAAACAACCATTACGGAAAGAATTTGATCAATGGTCATTAGAGATATGCCCCCGGGATGTCAGGATCCTTACGAGCCCCTATCTCATAATCAACTAACGACGAGGCAGGCCCACTGCTTCCCTTCCGAATTCAATGGCACCTCCTACTTTCAACCATTTCTGCTGACACCCATTTGTCGACCCTCCTTAATCATCGTCTCCGTGGTCACCATGATCTGATTCTGATAACTTCCCTTGATTTTTCGATCTCTGTGGCCCAATTCCGGGTCCGCCGTGATGTGTGCGTAGACCGAAGGCATGCTACCTGACTGACTGGCGTTCATGTCTTCGAGGACGAGCTCTTCGGTGCTAACTTCGCGTTGTCCACTCTTGAGCTCCTTGAATGTTCCGCGCCTCATGCCTGAGGAGGGACCGTATCGATGGTACGCACTGGTCTTGGTGTGCGCGGACGAGAGGCCTGCACCCGGAAGCCACTTGGCGAGAAGGGGTCGGATGGTCGGCAGGGAGGCGCATATGATGGAGGTGTTGAGCTCGATGGCGGACCAGATTGCGGCGCCGATATTTTCCCACGGAGGGTCATTGCTGGAGACCGCTGTGCGGAGAGTGAACATGCGATAGACTGAGATAATGCAGACACTGGAGCGAGATTTCGAAGGTCAGCCTGTGAACCCGAATGAAGCCACAAAGCTGGTTGTACCAGTGTGAAGCATGAAGGCAAAGGGAAAGGTATAAGGGACTGGGCGGGGTCGCCACTCACAAGAAGCCAAGACAAAAGATCCCAAACAGCATAGCCTTCTGCTTTCTTGGAAGTTGAAGCCTCAGAACGGAGGGCAAAGGGATGCAGAAGATCATGAAATCGGTTGCTAGGCTCATAGCCGATGAAAAGTACCAGATGGGTAGCGTGTTGAGACAGAACCCAGCGGTACTGGGCACGATGATGGCCATGGGCAGGCAAGAAAGCCCGAGAAGGGTGGCCTGGACACACGCCCAGGCCACTACGTATACCATTGCCCAAAAGCAGACTCTTTGAACAACTTTCGAGACAAACACACGCCGATACTGGAGCAAGAAGGACACCTTGACGACATTCATTCCCATATTGTAATGGAGAATGACAATCAGAAGATACTGCATCCTTTTAAGTCAGTGGTTCTTAAACAGTTATTCGGTCTGGTGCTGGTGGGGGCTGGGAGATGTGCAAACCTTCAATTGCTCCATGGTCTCCTCTGCTGAAACATTTTCAACATGTCTACCCATTCCATATTTGACTTCTATGGAGCTCAACAGTGTTAACATATTGTCTCGGTGCACTGCTTGGGGGTGAAGAAAGTACGAAGCAAAACGTACCAAAGACTGTGCCGATTCCGACCACAAGAGCAAACAGCTTGCCAACATGTTAAAATCGCTGTAAAATGGTAGAATAATCTCGGTTTCTCTTACCATGGCGATCAACATAGTCCAGTCATCTTTTCCAGCGGTTTTGAGGAGAACTAGGCGAGTATAGAGCCGAAGTGAGAGGACCGCGGCCGAAGCAACAACAAAGCCAATGGCGATACCATTTACAAGAGGACCATTCGACTCAGTTCTAATATCTTGGGTTTCATTGTCGGCCATGGCTGCGGGAGATGTTTGCCAACAGGTCGGAACGAACGGCGAAGACCAAGGACACTGACCGATCTTGACCTGAGACTCCCGCGAGGATGGGCAGATCGGCCCTCGAGAAGCAACTTTATGATATATTTTTCCAAGAACGAGAAAGAGGAGCAAAACGTAGGCGTACTGAAGCTCGAAAGGCTTGAACGGACGCCATTTCGTGCAGGGGGCGGGACGTGTGTGACTATGACCAACTTTCCGCTGTAGCGAGCCTCAAGAAAGACTGGTCCGCTGGCTGCAGGGGTGGAGTCTGTGTTGCCGGGATAGCAGAGATCACTGAAAAAGGAACATGCAGGGTCCGTTAGAGGAAGTTCGTCTCATCAATGTTTCCTAGTAGGGTGACAGTTGGTTCCTCGATACCATGGCCCACAGACCAAAAAACCAAGGAAGACTAACGAAAGGTCCCCCCGTTGCAGGTGATGCCGTCTATGGTAGCTTCAATGGATTTAGCCACCGCAGAAACCCGACAATTACAACACAACTGATACCCTTGCATCAAACATGGTTCTTTTCTTTCATCGCGACCGGCCGCGTCTTGCTGTGCCGGCGCGATGCATACTTCGTCCTAGAAAGGAATGATATCTCGGCCCCTGCGTCACTATCCCGAGGCTTCCTCTCCCCTGGAACGAGAGATAGGGGGAATGCTGAAGCCTTTACCATGAGCAAGCATCGTGTTGATAATCTCCTCGATTCTTTGGATCCGTCATGCTCTGAGATAGCCCAGGGGATTCATCCTTGAGACCTAGACTGCTCTACTCTAAAAGCCGGAAGACATTGGCGATGCAAGTTTCCTCGTTTGAAAAGCCCCTTCATGCTAGTATGTGATTCAGTATCTTGACTTCTCAAGATCATTCAGATATCTTATATGGGCATTCTGCTTAGCGTGCAAGTTTTTAGTTGAGATATGTTGTCTTGCGAGGGAAGTGACACGGACGCATTGTGCCCACATCATCGACATAAGCAAGGGCTCCGCGCCATGCTCATTGCCAAGCTGGTTGGATCACTGTCAACTGAATAAATGGTAGCACTGTCCGGGGAACAGTTACCCCACCTAGGCCTTTTCGTAGTGTTCCGCGGAAGATGTTGTCCTTGGCCCCCGTTCCAAGGGTACAAATGCACTACACTAGCAACGCGCATGCAGCGATGGCACTTACCCAACTCTGGTTGTGGTGTTGGTGTCCCGGCTTGGCTGTTGGAACCAATCGTTAGGTAAAATATCTGCAATATCCAGGCTAGGACCCCGGCCCTTGAAACCGGGCCAAGTTACCAGATATGGATAGAGAAAAAACGGCCCTCGTAAAGCAGGGGACTTAATCATTCTGTATTGCATGAACTCAGCCTAATATGCATAGACTGTGATTCTTCTTCTTCGGACAGTCTGCTGAAGAAATGCAACGGCATCACAAGACCTGAAAGGACGGCATGGGCGGAAATTTCACTTGCATCAAAGCAAAGACTCGGTCTTCTGGCGCAGTCATTCAAAGTGAATGGGCATGGTACTTATTATGTAGGACGTAACATTATATGAGGGGAAGCTTTTCCCCGGACCCGCCTTTTCAGCATCGAACGGCGGCAACTCCGCTTCCGCTAGCCAGACCTTAGTATCAATCTTATTCGAACTGCTTGCGCATCCATTGTCAGGGCTTGTGGGGAGAACCACCAAGTGCCAACGCCGCCTTGTGGGCGGCGGGCGCTTTTTCCCACTACAAATCGGTCCTACTGGCAGGGCCCTCCCGAAATTGCAAGCCCGATTCTCTAAGGCGTTCTGGCATCAGAGAGCTGCTGTGTTCTTTGCCCTGACATGATTTCTGTGTTGGAAGAGGCGCACAGATGAGCGGGACGCTCTCGGGGCCACCCGCCTACTCTCGGATCATTCCCGCGGATGGGACTAAGGGCACAAAGCCAAGACTCCTATTTCTGTGGCAATTCTTATCAGACGAACCATGACTTCTCAGAGGTCATCGAAGATTGGTTGTTCAAGCAATACCTGTCCCGGCGTTCTTTGCACTACCTACCTTAAACCTGCTGGCGTTGGAAATACGACACAGCCTACCATCATGAGCATGATCTTTTGATTACTTGGTTAGTTCGTATTTTGAATCGATCCCATAATCATACCATTTGTTATAATATGCGCGATTAAGTTACCAGATACGGTCTAGCAAGGCTATTGTCTCCGGGCATACTCAACTGAGCACACCCAACTGAAAAATCAAGCCGGGACTAGGGTCAACTTACCCCTGTCTTCGTCCGTACCATTCCATGGTACGTACACGCAAGAGTAAGTAGTTTGCACTTCTCATTGCGCGTCAAGATGGATGGCTGAGCACTCATTCCGGGTTGGTCAACGTCGCATCCGAGATTTCCAGGAGACTCCGGAATGTTGGTTCAGGGTTCTGTTTTTCATCACCCAGGATCTGGGTCGCGGGCTTCGGTCCAGCGAGGGCACGCATGAATAATCTTTGCGTAATGCGAAGAAGCGGAGGATTTACTACGCCTAGTAGTTTACTACGCAGAAGGAGGAGAGTCCCCCGATTAAGAATTAGAGCCTGGGAGTTAGGTGAGGCCGCAGTTACAAAACAAGGCGATTTCCCGCCCATTCACCGTCTCTTCAGCACCACCAAGAATCGACACTTCGTTGATCTCAGTCAAGTGGACGGCTTCCTTCGTTATTCTTCCGCTGTACAGTATGTCGTTTCTCAAGGCGTGGGCCGTGCTGGTCCTGCTCAGTGCTGTTTCCTGCACTTCTGCTCAGTCCTATGACTACGTAAGTCACAACTCACGTCGAGCTTCCCGAGGAGTTACTCGTGTATGCTTACACAAGAGGATAGATCATCGTTGGCGGTGGCACTGCAGGTTCCGCTCTGGCGACTCGCCTGAGTCTTGGCTTGCCCGATGCCCAGATCTTGCTTCTCGAGGCTGGCCCATCTGCCCTGGACGAGCTCCGTATCAACGTACCTGGTCTGAGAGGCTCGATCTTGGGGACGGAATATGACTGGAACTTCACATCAGTCGACCAGAGTGCTCTCGGTGGTCGCCAGATCCCCGTCAACCGCGGCAAGGTTCTGGGTGGCTCGTCAGCCATGAACTACCTTTGCTATGACCGTGCCGCTGCCGCCGAGTACGAGGCCTGGGGTGAGATGGGCAGCGAAGGTTGGTCGTGGGATGTTATGATTGAAGCCATGACCAAGTCGGAGAACTTCACTGGCTCCGACAAGGACCCTCGTGGTCGCTCCGGCCCCATCCGTAACACCTACAACCGTGTAGTCTACGACGTCCTCAACACATGGCAACCAGCCGGAACGGAGCTCGGTCTTCCCATCAACGAGGAAGGAAACATGCATGGCAACCCCATTGGCATCATGTTCCAGGGCACAAACATCGACAACACCGACTACTCTCGGTCTTACAGTGCCAATAGTTATCTTCCACTTGCAGGGTCGAACCTCGAGGTGAAGACCAATGCCCAGGTCGTCAAGGTCAATCTCAACAAGACTTGCGACGACGATTACGCTGCCACCGGTGTGACCCTCGCCGATGGGACGGTCTTCAACGCTGCCAAGGAGGTTATCCTGTCTGCTGGTTCTATCCAGAGCCCTGGTCTGCTTGAGTTATCTGGTATCGGCCAGGCAGCAGTGATTGAAGCGGCCGGTGTTGACCCGCTTATCGACCTGCCCGGCGTCGGCGAGAACTATCAAGACCACATCCGCACTTCCAACGTATATCGGCTGAAGGACGAGTTTGACTCTTTCGATGCGCTCATCTTTGACTCTAACGGTGCCAACGCCACCGCTGAGCTGCAAAAGTGGATCGACGGCGAGGTGTCTCTCTACGACTATACAACCGCGGCTTATGGGTTCCTGCACTGGGGTCAGATCGATAGCCAGGCTCAAGCCGAGATCCTCGCGCTAGCAGAGGCGGAGTTCGGCAACAGCACCAACCCCATCGACAAGAAGAAGCTCGAGTTCCTGAGAGACGACTCCGTCCCAGACTATGAGCTCATCTTTGACGCAAACTACGTCGGTGCGGCTGGGTACCCTGGCTCCGGCAAGTTCATCACTATCTTCAGCACTGTCATGCACGCCCTCAGCCGGGGTAACGTGCACATTGATCCCGCGAATCCTACTGGAAAGCCCATCATTGACCTTAAGTTCCTGAGCAACGAGCATGACATCAAGGCCGCCGTCGAAGGCGCCAAGTTCGCGCGCAAGATTGCCGAGACGGGACCACTCAAGGCCGTCTGGGATGTTGAGACAGAGCCTGGCCCGGATGTTCTGACTGACGATCACTTTCGCGAGTTCGCTGTCAAAACGGTTACGAGTTTCTATCATCCGGTTGGAACCTGCTCTCTTCTCCCCAAGGCTGAGGGTGGTGTTGTAGACGCTGATCTGCGGGTTTACGGTACTCAGAACTTGCGAGTAGTCGACAACAGTATTGTTCCCATCATTGTATCTGGTCACATCCAGACAGCTGCGTACGGTGTTGCCGAGGTAGCGGCTACGAAGATTATTGCGAGTGCTAAATGATGGGATTAGTTCATTCCGGGATTTTGGGCAGCTTCTCATCATTGCCCGAAAGGAAATTCATCACGTTATCAACTTGGGCCGCGCGCAGAAAGCACGCGAACCTGAAAGCCCGAGGCTAAAGGAACAACACAACGAGTAGTAAAACTTTTGCCCGCAGACCCAGAGGCCGTCTCAGTTGTTATCGCCCATGGGACTCAAAGATAGATATAAAGATAGCATTATGAACTGAATGCTGATTGCATGATGAATCGCGGAAGATGGTGAAACTTACCCGTCGCCGGTGACGGCGGGAGAAGGGACCAAGAAGGTCGCATCCTTCTAGAAGATCCGGATGCCCCGAAGGGCCTTGTGATTCTGGTTGTTGTGAGGGACCATCTAGATAATAAATAATGTTAGCCTCAAATCATTCAAACCCTAACAGGCCTAGGACATAGCGATTTGCTTTTTGTTTGGTCCATATAAAATATATTTAGGCAAGTACAATACGAGTATCAGAACAACAATAGTAACAGTAATTGTAATATTGATTGTAGGAGTAGAGATAGGAAGGGTATACATAACCCCTATAGTCAAACGACGCAGCCCCCTAGTACACCTCTAAAGAATTTTATATATAAAGTAGTTAAATGTGGTGATGTCGTACGGTACATATAGCGTTAGTTACCACCCGTAACAAGGGGCGACGTTTTTGCAACAGATGAAGAGAAGAGTGATTGGATGTTGTATTTGAGAAAAGAAAAGCAAGTGTGAGAGGCTTGTTCGGTGGGAGAATAGTGGAAGGAAGTGAAGATTGCAAGGCCGGTGGAAAAAGGCATGCGGCTCGAGATACCTTGGCCCAACCACCTGGAATTTCTTCTCCGACAGTTGATTTACAACAATCAGGGTTTTCAATCGCGTCTTAGACGCGATGAATACATCAATTGCTTTAATAGTCGCGTCTCATTTGCATAAATTCCGGCTCCTGTCCCTTCTTCAACTCTCTGACGCGTAGGATATGTTAACCTCGTCCATTTCTTCGCGTAGCCCATTCCTTTAATTCTTCGATTAAATAGTTCGCATCGGTTAAGAAGCTGGTTGATGAAAAGAGGATGGTAAAAAGATGATAATAGAAAAGTTAACTATATCCCGTACATGGTACCAGCGTTCCCTGAGTTTGGGCCTTCAATGGGCGGAGGTTGAGGTAAACGTGAAGCGTTTTGATACGTTATAATAATCTTGGAATGGAGCAAACCTAGAGAAAAACTGGAGACGGATGTGGTGGCGCCAAGAGCAGTTGATGGGATATCCAGGCACAAGTTATCGCATCATAGGCCTTCAATCCTTCTATTCCTTCTATTTATTGAAGTGCGTGTATATTCGCGACTATAAAGACCTATGTGCATCGTGCTATAAGCCTTCTGAATCTCTCTTTTTTATTAAGTTCTTGTACAAAACGAGCATCTACGGAACATAGCTGCTTATTCAAGCCGTCTTATCGTCATAAGATCCGCACGCTACACCGGCCATCTGTTGTGCCTTCTGAATCATAGGGTTGCCTAGCATAGCAGCAGCTTCAAAGGCTTTGCGATATGCGCCCACGGCCTCCGCAAACAGGGGTCTTTTATTTTCCCAGCCTGCGACTTTGCGCAAGTTGGAAGAGTCCGTCCATTGGGGAAATCCCACGAGCATCATCAGCCACGGATGGTCTCCTGGGATCCAATCTTGCGGCTCCACGCAAGACATTCCGGCTTTGATCTTGTATTCTTTGACCAATGCTTGTCCCACCTCATCAACCGTTTCATATCGATGTGCTGATATGTTGAAGATCTGGCCACGATCGAGTGTTGGTCTGGGTGTGTCGCAACAGCAACGTAGGCTTCTCCACAGTCGTCGATGTGAACGGCGCCCAAGACTGCATTCGGCTTAGAGGGAAAGACCAAAGGCTTGCCACTTTGGGCTGCCGCTGCTGCGACCAGAAAAAAGCCAGCATAGTGACTCGCTGACCGAACATACACATTGGTAAGCCGAAGCAGGACTGGGCGAAGTACATCCGTATGGTCGAAGATCTTTGTTGCGTTTTCTGCCCGGGGCGCTAGCATGGAAGGTGGATTGATTGGCAAATCCTCAGTGTGAGGGAACAAGCCAGCCTCACCATCGAAGTACGGTCCCACACCATAGTCTTTGCACCCAGAAGTGAACATAACCAGTGGTTTGTTCCCACCGGCCTCGATTACCCCGGCTGTCAGGGTGCGGAGGAAGCTGATAGTGTTGTTGAAGTGTGGGACGTAGTCGGAAAGCACCTCGGTGGTCGAAACGATACCATCGATGGTTTTAGGCAGGCTGTTCTGAATGGATTTGTAGGATGATTCACCATTGATGCTGCCAACTACAACGTTGATCTCTTCTGCAGAGAGGTTGGCAGAGGCGGCAGATGAGCGTACGAGGCCAAACGTGATCCAACCGACACGGACGAATGCGCGAGCCACAGCATTACCGATGTAACCGTTAGCGCCAGTCACAAGGACTGTCTTGTGTATAATCTTGCTGGTGGGTATCCCTGAGAGTATGTAATCTGGAGATCGTGGTATGACAACGATTGTATTATCAGTGGTGTGAGTTTGAGCCTTGAGCATTGATAACTTTGCGCGATGAATAGGGTCTTATCTATAATTGTGTGACTATGTGTATTTCATCAGGCGTTATAGGGGTGAAGTACAGCTTCTTCAATCTCTATCGCATATCAAGAAGTTGCTTGTCTCTCCTTACTAGCTGTACTCCGTAAACGTACTGCATACCCAGCCCAGCCTGGCTCGCACTGCAGCCCACTTGTACCCGGTGGGATAGAACACCTTATACTCCGTACTGAGACGGAGTAGTCAGGTATCTGAGCAGCCGTAGGAGGCGGAACGAAAATAAGCCGACTCCGTTCCAGTCGCACTGAACAGTTCAGGTGTGTGCACTCTCAATCTCCCCTCTGTATTGATCGCAGTCTAGGTACACAGGCCAGGAGCATCCTAGAAGACTTTGATATACTAGCGCAAGCCAAAATGAAATAATAAGTTTCTGCTGTCGGACCGCACCGATCAAACGACATACCTCTGTCGGCTCAACTATACACTCCGTCGGGATCCTCCACTTCAGTGTCCTCCCGACTAAAGGCCGTGCTTCGGCGTGAACTTCAACCCGACCAAGGTAACAATTCTGGGCCACCGAAGAGTTGACAACACTCAAATGCACTCGCTTCAGACGAATAATCCGTGATCCCGAAGGAGTGACTTCGTCCTCAGTATGTTTCCTGCCGATGCCTACAAGTCTGAAACATGCTCTTACATGATGCAGTAAGATGCTAGACATCAACCTTCTATCCGCCACTTCACATATAAGGTTGGCTGTCTTCTTCGTAAAAAACTCCCCGCAAGATTCGAAACGACAATCGCTATCCTGGCAGACATGTTGAGTCCTATTACTCCGATCAAATGGCTGGCCACCTTGGCCCCTTTCACGGCGGTATTACCGATTTTTTACATCCTTTACCAATTCCTCCTGCCGAAGCCCATTCCTGGCATTCCATACAACAAACACGCCACAAAGAATGTTTTCGGCGATATACCTGAGATCAAGAAGGAATCAAACGGTGATTTGTTCGGCTGGATCGCAGCCCAGTCCCGTCGCCACGGCAGTCCCATCTTCCAAGTTTGGCTAGGTCCCTTCACGAAGCCTGCTGTAGTTGTCGCAGATTTCCAAGAGGGTCAAGATATTCTTCTACGCCGAAAAGAGCTTGACAGGTCTAGCTTCATGAGCAACGTTTTAGCCGGCGAGGCAAAGTCATTCCACATTACTTTGAAGACCGGGCCGCAATGGAAGGCTCAACGCCGTTTACTTCAGGACTTGATGACGCCAGCATTTCTTCATAGGGTTGCGGCCCCTAACATTTATAAAAGTGCTCTGCGGCTTCTGGATCTTTGGAAGAGGAAGTCGCAGCTTGCTGACGGGAGCGCTTTTTCTGCAGAGCATGATGTCTTCTACGCTGCTCTCGACGCTGTGTTAGACTTCGGGTTCGGCGATGCTGCTCCAATGAGGACTCTTGTTCCTCAAATTGAATTGCTGGCGTCGATGTCAGCTGCCGACGCTTGGGCCAAACAGAACCCAGAACTTGGCACTGGAGTGTTGGACTTTCCAGTTGCGCCTATCCATCCTGTCCTGGAGGCAACGCTACAGTCGGCAGAAAACCTTAGTGGCGTAGCACTTACTGGGTTTCCGAAGCTTGCATGGTCAATCATTGGGCTTAGACCTAGTGTCCGTCGAGGAAGAGCGGTACGGGACGAGTTTCTCGTTGACCAGGTCCTCCAGGCGACAGAGAGATTCAGAACTCAGACCCAGAAGATTGACAGCGAGGACAAACATGTCAAGTCTGCAATTGACTTGATGGTGCGAAGGCTGAACGGTGTTATGGAGAAGGAAGGTCACCTCGTCCCCAACTGGGTTGAAACGATGAGAGCTGAGGTGAGATGAACCCAGAAGTAGCAGTTTTAGATCACCCGCTGACCTGATAATTTCTTAGTCTGCTGGCTTCGTTGTGGCTGGCCACGATACGACGAGCACGACTCTCTGCTGGGGCATCAAGTTTATCGCGGATGACCAAGAGGTTCAGCAAAAGCTCTTCGAGAGCATTCGGAGCTTTCACTCAGCAGCGGTCACTGAGAGACGTCTTCCTACACATTCTGAAATTTGCGACGCGAACATACCGTACCTGGACGCAGTTATTCAGGAGATGCTTCGACTTGCTCACACAGCAGTGAGTCAAGATCGAGAGTGCAAAGAAGACACTGTCATTCTGGGCCATGTCATTCCGAAGGGTACCACCGTTATTGTCCCAAACAGGGGTCCAAGCTTTACTGAGCCCGGGTATGAGATTGACGAAGACCTGCGAAGCCCATCTTCGAGAAAAGCAGCCACGGATTTTGGATCGAGAGTGTGGGACTGTCACGAGATGGGCAAGTTCAAGCCGGACCGCTGGCTTGTACGTGATGACAAGGGCGGTGATGAATATAATGCTTCTGCTGGACCCACCCTACCTTTCGGACTTGGACTCCGCGGTTGCTTCGGACGGAAGCTGGCATACATGGAAATGAGACTGTTGATCACCGTCTTGGTGTGGTCACTTGAGTTCCAAAAGTGCCCGGAAAACTTGTCGAGTTATGGAAGTATTACAAGTCTTACGCGAAAGCCTGTTCAGTGCTACGTGCGCTTGAATATTCGTTGAGATTATTGTAAGTTATTATACACAGAGGGTTCTTAGTTACACCATTAGAAATACTTAACATATAATCTCGTCTTTGTAATTCAGCTGCCTATCAACAACATACTATCTTGTAGCACTTGGCTTTCTACGACTCAATAGACTAACATAACCAGCTTATTGAACTAATGTTTGAAAAGAGGAGAGGGGCAGGATCGGGGTATTTGACATTCACTAAGTTCCAACAATTTACTTGACCTGTAGGATTGGAACTTTTCATTCCACCAAGGTTAAACAGTCCCCGGCAATGTACCAAAGCAGGTAATGGCAGAATGTAAGCGGTCGTGAATCCGAGAGGTGGGCGGGGGTCGGGCGGGGGTCGGGTTTCGGCTCCGCAGAAACACCCTGGATCCGTCTTTATCCGAGGTCATCAGCCGCTCTCCGATGCCGGTCACAGCTGCCGCTTTTGCCGCTAATCCACTCCGGAACAGCGACAGACCAAGGTATTCGTGTTGGAAACCTCCAGTCGATTTGCAACTACGATGAGATCTCAACACCCTTTTCTCTAGGCCCTGCTTCGTAATTATGGGCAAGGATGAAACTTCACCGACTCGATTGCCCGTGGTTGAGCCTTTTCCGGCTGGTCCTCGGGAAGCCGACGGATCCAAAGATGAGCGCCAGACTACGGCGCCTTCGTCACCAGAGCCTGGAACTGCGGTTAGGCCATCACCAGCTACTGATGGAGGAATGGTCGCCTGGCTCCAAGTTTCGTCAGCTTTCGCGCTCTACTGGAACAGTTTGTAAGTCTTTGCCTAATCTTCGTGAGGCTTTGTTCCCTCGACTCCCTTAACACCTCAATCACAGTTGGCTGACGCCGCTCGACACAGGGGTCTGCTCAACGGCTTTGGTGCTTTCCAAACATACTACGAAACCACATTGCTCAAAAACGATTCATCTTCAGCCATCGCGTGGATTGGCTCAGTCCAAGTCTTCTTCCTCATGGCTGGCGGTGTCATATTTGGCCCGCTCTATGACCTTGGCTACGCTAGATCCATGCTGATAACCGGCACATTCCTCGTCGTCTTCGGCTTCATGATGACCAGCATCAGCACACAGTACTATCAGTTCCTACTTGCGCAGGGCTTCTGTGTCGGAATCGGCTCCAGCTGCCTGTACATTGTCGCCATCACCTTGGTTCCTGCCTACTTTACAGCCCGGAGGGCTTTAGCAATGGGGGTTGCAACTGTTGGAAGTAGTCTGGGAGCTACCATTTATCCTCTTATTTTCGAGAGTTTACAGCCTCGAATAGGGTTTTCATGGACTGTTCGAGCCATTGGTTTCGTCACCTTAGCCATGTCTTGCTATGCTGTGGTTGTGGCACGACCTCGAACCAAGGGCGCTAAAGCCCTTATAACAAAGAACAACTCGCTGAAAGAAATCGCCGGAATTGCTGGCCTTCTGGATTCTCGATACGTGGTTCAGTGCATCGCCATTTTCTTCAGCAATCTCGCCTTTTTCCAGCCTCTCTACTATATTCAAAGCTACGCACAATCGCACGGTATGGAGGGCGCGTCTTTGGCTAAGTACCTCCTTGTGATACTCAACGCAGTCGGTATCCCTGGACGCATTGTGCCGTCCCTCATTGCCGATCGATTTGGTGTACTGAATACGTACATTGGAATATGTACCATGACCGCCATTACCATCTTTTACTGGATCAGCGTGAATAACACTGCCGGGAACGTGGCGTTTGCGGTATTGTACGGATTCTTCTGCGCCAGTGTCGTCACTTTGGCCCCGGTCGTTCTAGCAAGCATAACTGATGATCTTGGAATTCTGGGAACGAGACTCGGTTTCGTCGCTGTATTAAAGGGAGTCGGTTCACTCATTGGGCCGCCAATTGCTGGCGCTATTTTGGGATCAACTGGGAGCTATCTCGGTGTCCAGCTATTCACTGGACTGGCGATGTCGCTCACTGTTGTCTTTGCAGCATATCTTAGAGCCTTGATATCCCAGAGGAAAGTAGAAAGTCTAGAGACTGATTCATAATGTTTGGAGACAATTTGGGCAAGACGAGAACCTCTCAAGCTTCTCATTTGAGGATCCGGTACTTTGAGTACTATCTAATGCAGTCAGGATAATTAGGGATGTCTCTAGTCTCTTGGTATCAGTTTAAATTTCGGAAGCTTTCAGATGACATGTATTACATTTGCTACTTCGGCTGTCTTCTTTATACTTCCTATCTACTCTTTCGACGTGTACTCCTTCAGGTATACTGATCGCCTAATAGATAATGTGCAGAAGGACCTCATATTCCGAAGGCATGTGCATAATCGACGGGAGGCAATTTGAAATATTGTGTCGGGACACAGACCAGCTAAGTAGTCAAGGCAAAAATGGTCATCGTTACCGTCGCAGAGGGGGTCGTAATGCAAACGTCTTAGCTCGCGGAGTAATGATTCTCAGACTACCAGCTGGTAAAGGTGAACACAATCTCGACTCGTCTTGGAGGCAAAGATGAGATCAAATCAGTGCTTTTCTTGAATACCTTATTGAATCCACCACGCAAAGACTAGGCCTTAGGCGAGACCGTTTCGACTACAAATAAACGTGTACGCCTTACGGAGGGGACGCGACGCCACACCGAAAGGCCAAGACGAGCGATCTCGGCCTGCATGCTAGGCAACATCTTGGTCTCTTACCTTCCTCAAGGTCTCAGGCGTTGGCAACGGCACCCGGTACCGCTAGTACAGTGAGATCAGTGTTATGCAAATTTTGTCATGCGTGCAACCCCTCCTTGGATCACGGCCGCACTTCCGCCTTCGAGGCAAGGTACCCGGGCTGATGGGTGTGTCGTTGGCAACTGCCCCATTCAGGCGGCTGGGTGAAGAAATGTAACAGGACTGCGACGGATTATGGAGCGAGGGTTCCCGAACAGAAACCTCCAGAGCAGCCTGACTTTACGAAATGGTTAGTCTGCATATTGTTTATCCAGTTCTATTACTCCCCAGGCCGAACTTGGCCAACCTCTGGCGCCTTCCAAGCGGAAGAGGAGAAGCCCGCCGGCCCCCACGATCATTTGCATTGTCACAGCTCAAAAGCCTGTGGTCTAGGATGCTGCGCAAATTGTCAACATGTACATTGGCGAGCGCCGAGAGGGCGATCCCAGAATCGCGGATCCAATTAAGCCATCCACACTTTAGGTGATCTGGAGGGTGGTACCCCGGTCTTCTTCCAGGAAAGATGTTCCGCTAGCGCCGCCTTGTAGGAGCTCCAGTCACAACATTAGCATTGAAGGTCCTCCTGCACCAGAGCCCGATGCGAACTGGCCGGCGGGAGACCTTGCCGTGGAAAGCCTCTCATGTCTGTGTAGTATGCCGGAACCCCGGACAAAACGCGAGTTGATACTTGGTACTATGCAGCAGCCACTCTCCGAATCGAAGTCTGGGGCACATTGAATGGTAACAAGCTGCATCCTGCCACCTTTCGCTTACCTACTTTGGAAGACTTAGCGCTGGATTGGACTTTCAAGCTGCAACTTAACAGTTTCGCTCATAACGAGACAGATTCGGTGCAGACATGACTGAGGACTAGACACCTCAGCCGAGACTCTCCTCTGTTGATTTGTTGTTCGGCTACTGTGGCTTCCTATGATTGTTATAGGTGCTGTGCCGCTTTGCGGCATTTCAACCTCCCCACCCAGAGGCTCCGAGATGCGTCGGTTGGTCGGTGCGGATCTTGCAGCGCCAACTTTCCATCCCGGATGCTCGTCTACTCGGTATGAATTTGAAAGTTGGGAAGAGGTATCTAGAGCTGCTGATGACAAAGATAGAAAATCTTACAGGAGTTGCCAATTTGCAGCCCAGCTCATACTTACTTCAACCAGTTGAAGCTTAGCCGAGACTGATATTGACGGATCACCAGAATCAGTGATCAACATCATGCATCCCATATGTTCGCCCCCCCCCCCCCCTCCCCCCCCACCACATCACCTGCCTGTGGGATCTGCGCATCATTTTTGAAGTTTCCGCTGTGTTGCGGTTAAGAGACTATGTCATCGGCTGAAGATTGCACGTCGCTATCGAGGCTTCATTCAATCTCTCCGGTGGCTGCCAATAGCTCCTCCTCACTTGTTTACTGATGAATGGAGGCTCGGAAAGCAATGGGCTGCGTATGGTCCCGGCCGTGAAAACGATCGCATATCGCTCAGATGCCCGAGGTAGCCTTCTTGATCCTGCTATCAATTCAGTCACATCCAGTACAGAGAGTATACCAACTGGCCACTAGGCTTTCCCGAATAGCGAATACATTGACACATTGATCAATGTGGATCGCGGAGCATGTTTGAAGTCGCCTCTGCGGTAGCTTCGGCCGATCGGACGGTGCTCAAGAGCACTCACCAGCGGCGCAGCGTGGACAACGGCTTTCGGATCCGTCACCTTTGCGAATGGTCACAAGCGAGCTTTTCACACCGACCTTAAATCTTCACCCCCAGCCTGTTGGAAGAGCGTAGAGTGGCGTTGGATCACGGCCCGCTTGACGCATCACGGAGTCCAGTGTGAGAATACGCACCACAGTTGTGGCTGGAATGTGTGACTGTTCGACGAATAGATTCCAGCTGGTCCCGAGGCCCAGGTCGACAGTTGGCCATACCGACTAAGTAGACACGGGGACTAGTGAGAACAATAGACCGACTGACAGACCAGGATGATAGGCAAACGAGATCCGCATCGATGGGTCGCGTGCGCCCATGTGCCTCAGTTATCGCCGTGGGTCATGATTCCACCACTTAGTGTGGATCATCACGAAGACGTCGAAACGACTCTCATACGCTGGAACTCAGGAGGAGGAATGGGATTCCATTGCCGGTGGCTTGCAGCCGCGAAGACCCATCAAAGGAGCCGACGCTGAGTGGTCATTCTTTGAGTGCGTGAGTACGGAGCCACGCATGTGCATGTCCGTTCGCTTCTTAGAGTCGAGTCTAGAGAGCATGATACTCCAATTTCTCCATCCCGAGCCAACAGCGCAATATCCAAAGTCCAATATGAGAATAGAACGGCTACAAGATGACAAGGGTGGGTGGGCCAGCGATCGCAGGGACTGGGTGCTTTAGCTCCGAGTCTTACGGAGTCGTCGAGAGGCGTTTCCCGGACTGGGCTGCCACATTGAGGAAGATTTTAGCGCGGAGGAAGGCGGCCCGTCTACCAGATAGGAATAGCGTCCGGTCGAGAGAATTGGGAGAGGACTCGGAGGGCGCCAGGAAGTGAAGATGGGGCATTTGTCAAGTCAATCATGATCCTTTCCGCCGTTTCCTCCTTTCCAGGAATGCTGAGCTTCGGAAATTCACTAAGATGGGAATACATGTGTCCGTGAACTTGCTTGGTTCAAGCCTGATTCTAGTTCCAATTTGTAGCCCCAGTTGGCGACTTTGTTGGCAACCGCATAGGAAGCCAGGCACTCCGCTATTGCAAAATACTTCTGCTGTCTTGTACAGTACCGGGATGAAATGAGTATCGATCCTTAGTAAGATACATCCCTGGCGGGAACGCGAAAGCTACGACAGGGGGGTGGGTGAGCACTCAGCGAAGTCCAGGACAGTCCCCGGAAGACATAGTCCTAAGTCACTTCAATCATTTCCAGTCTGCAGAGACAGCAAATGAAAGTCAGCAGGTGTTGCTCTCAGGCCACATGGAAAGACGGCCCGGCTGAAGTCGAGTGTGAATCCTCTCATTCTGAGCTATTGTGACCCAGTTGGGTTTGGCGTCCCATTCTCCAGATCTACCCTACAGTTTTTCTTCCCCATCTCAATCCTCCCCAGCCAACCCAGACGCCACAGAACGCGTTAGAGTGCGACGGGCTCGTGTGTCTTCGGCTGCGTAGACTCAGGGACCCGGGCGGGCGCGCCATGTACTACTGCTGGTGGGCAATTGAGGAACCTAAACTGGCTGATGATGATTCGATTTCCGGCCTCGAAAGAAGCAACTGCCAACAGCGACAGGAATATCTTCGATTAGACAACTGGGCAATCCGTGAATAGGTCACCTTGTGCTCAAATCAACAGACAAACCTGGTCGACTCGAGGCAAGACGGCCAGCATCTCCACAAGCCCACACACTCTGCCCCAGATTCAGCAAAACCTTCTTTGGCTTTTTCTCCAGCGCAGCCCCATCGAGCCGGTACCAAGGCAGCATAGCATCCGCAAACATCCTGGCAGGGGTACGGAGCCTGTCGACCCGCTGATCCGGGGAGGGAGAAAGCAGAAGAGGCCGGCCGGGACAGTAGACGCTTCTGCTTCTCCGCCTGACAACCGTTGGTGACCACGCTCAAAGCCCAACGCGCACGTCGTCAACGCCAGACACTAGCCAAGCTGGCCCATCTCGTCTGCCGGCCCGTTTCGTCTCGTCTACTGGGATGGGCTTCTAGGTTGACACGCCTTCATTAGCGTTCCTTCGTCAGGCCCTGCATAGGTACCATGTTCAGCAGAACTCGGCACAGACGAAGCAGTGTTGGAAAGTAATTGGGGGGTTTCTCTCCGCTCTAAGGCAGACAGACAGGCCAGAACCATAAGCCGCCCCCAAGGTTTGCTTGACGGACCGCCCAGACGCCTCCCATCTCGTTCACATTGATTGCGATGCAGCCATTACAGGATCAAGAAAACGAGTAGCTGGTACCTGCCAAGCAGTGTCATGTCCTGAGACGTACGCCTCAAGGCCGGAGAGCGAGCATAGTGAGCTTGACCCAATAGCTAAAGGCGAGATCCGGTGACTCCATCTAGACAACGCCTCAGTGCATGTCCTTCGCCCCAAAGTCGGATGCTGGTGGACTGGCCCATCGCTCAAGTGGCAACCCAGCACCTGCAGATGTTCCTCTGAGAATTCTGAAAGGACAAGGGGTGGGTAGGGGGGTGTGAACGAGGGTGGTGCAACCAACGATCTGCCCAGCCAGCACAAGCAAGACCCAAAGACCATTCGCCCAAATCCAGCCGCCCTTTCGATCCCATGTGGGAATGGGCCGTCCTTCCACCCCATGCAAGGGTAGTAGGCTCGAAGCGGCCGAACTAATTGATGGGCAATTGAGGGTTGGGGTTCGTTCCTACCAAGAACCGCTTCCTCTCCATCGGAATCTTACTCCTCATCCCCGTCGCAGGTGAGTTCCAAGACCGAAAATCATAAAACCTCGGCGTGTCCCCGCGATCCCTGGTCTACCTTGCCTCGAGCTCTCCATCCTCAACCCTCCCCTCATCCACCTTCCGCCTCCAAGATCCATTACACACAGCTTGGTCTGTGGTGATCGGCCATCTCAGCTTACTCCCTCTCCGCCAACAACAAAGGGAACTTGCGCCTTCGGCCGCGTGCCGCACACAGTCAGCATGTCCGAGAAGATTGATACCGTGGACACGGTCCACGCTCATGACCATGACTCCGACAAGGCAAGTCACGATAGCGTCCCCAATGGGACCCTATATGATCCTAGCAACGAGTCGCTAACACGTTTTCGCAACACAGAAGGAGATCCAGACCAAGGTCGTCAAGGGTAGTGAGGCTTTCAACGAGGCCATGATCAAGGAGCGTCCAAATGCTTGGAGCAAGGCCCAGCTCATGATCTACGCCTTCTCCCTCATTGGTTTCTTCTGTTCCACCATGAACGGTTACGACGGTTCCTTGATCAACAACTTGCTCCAGAACCCTTCTTTCAAGGAGCGTTACGGTGCAAAGAACGACGGTATTTGGGCTGGTATCATCTCTTCCATGTACCAGATTGGTGGTGTTGTGGCTCTTCCCTTCGTTGGTCCCGCCCTCGACACCTGGGGTCGCAGAATCGGCATGTTCATCGGTGCAGCCATTATCATTGTCGGTACGTGCATTCAGGCAACTGCCAATGGCACTAGCCAGTTTATGGGCGGCCGTTTCCTGCTTGGTTTCGGTGTTTCCATCGCCGCCTCCGCCGGACCCATGTACGTCGTCGAGATCAACCACCCAGTAAGTGACGAAGTCAAAACACCAAAACAAGACAAGAGCTCTTATTGACGATTATTCTAGGCTTTCAGAGGAACTGTAGGAGCTTTGTACAACACCCTGTGGTTCTCTGGAGCTATTATTGCCTCTGGTGCAGCTCGTGGAGCCCTAGACATCGAGGGTGATGCTTCATGGCGCCTCATCACCTGGCTCCAGGCTCTCTTCTCGGGACTCATTGTCATCTTCTGCATGTTCATGCCCGAGTCTCCTCGATGGCTCTTTGTCAACAATAAAAAGGAAGAGGCTGCGAGGGTCCTCGCAAAGTACCACGGAAACGGAAACCCCGAGTCCCCTTGGGTCAAGCTCCAGCTTCACGAGTACGAGGAGCTTCTCAACATGGATGGTGCCGACAAGCGCTGGTGGGACTACCGGGCGCTGTTCCGCAACCGCGCTTCCGTCTACCGTCTTTCCTGCAACGTCTGTATCTCAATCTTCGGCCAGTGGGCTGGTAACGCCGTTTTGTCGTACTTCCTTGGATCCGTCCTCGACACCGCCGGCTACACCCACCCCATTCAGCAAGCAAACATCACCCTCATCAACTCTTGCCAGCAATTTCTTTGCGCCATCTGCGGTGCCTTGCTTGTGGACAAGGTTGGTCGCCGCCCTCTGCTGCTCTTCTCATTCACCGCTTGCACAATCGTGTGGCTCGGCATGACGGTTGCCTCGGGCATTCTGTCCAAGTCTCAGGTCGGCGAGACGGAAGGTGGCGCTCCCATCTTCGACAACCCAGCTGCGTCCCAGGCTTGCTTGGCCATGATCTTCATCTTCGGCTCCGTCTACTCAGTCGGTATCACGCCCCTCCAGGCTCTCTACCCCGTCGAGGTCCTTTCCTTCGAGATGCGCGCCAAGGGTATGGCCTTCTCCAACTTGGCCGTCAACGCCGCCGGTCTCCTCAACCAGTTCGCCTGGCCCGTTTCCATGGAGAAGATTGCCTGGAAGACCTACATCATCTTCACCATCTGGGACGCAATCCAGACCGCTGTCATCTACGTCTTCATTCCCGAGACCAAGGGCCGCACTGTAAGTATCCAGATCAAGCCAAGTAGCCTTCTCAAAACACATACTGACTTGCTTGCAACAGCTCGAAGAACTCGATCACATCTTCGCTGCCGACAAGCCCGTCAAGGCTTCCATCCAGAAGAAGGAGGTCGCTGTCGACCGCTACGGCGATGTTGTCAACGTCCAGGACGTCTAAGCGCTTCAGCCTCCTTACGATGTCAACCAAAATACATGATCGAGCGAGCGAGCGAGTTGTGGCACTGCGTTTTGTTGGGGGAGCAAATATTCAATGTACGAGGACACGGAAACAGCGGGGTCTTTCTACCTACTCTTGCATGGTTGGCAAGGTCTGATGTTCCGGGGTTGCTCAACGGCGGCTATTAAGTCCAGGTCATCTTATCGCGAGCTTTTGTTATCTTCCATACCAACCTTATTATACCACCTTCTACACGCTACGAAACTTGAAAACTTGATCTAGTAACCTCGTGATAATGCTTGGTATCGTGTAGTAAACCGTAGTTGCCTTACTCTGCGTCTCATGCCTGCATCCCTCCCGTCATCTTTGTTCCCGTCAATCCTATGTCAGCTTGTCCAGACACGCCATTCTTTCACCGACCTTTGAATAATAAGTACGTGCACTCTTCCAGGTTCCAAGATACCACTGCGCTGTGCTCCCCCGTCAGGTCCGCAGCTATCCGTCCCCTCTCTGCATGTGGTCTAAAGAAGAAGAAGGGCAGCACATGATATTAGGTACCTACTTACAGATATCGAAGGTGTTGTGGAAACCGTGCTCGGCAAACCTTAGCCTTGAAGACTATGTGAGTGAAGAGGGAGACTAGGTGAAGACAATAGTACGTGATTGTGCAAAGTCCTCGGCAGAACACAGCCTCTGTGGCACATTTTCAGGTAGCTCAAAGTCAGAATAAATGATTTGCCATAGCTGTGTTTGTCGTTTGATTAGACACATAGACTTTACTGCTTTTTCCAAGCAGTGACCATCAGGAACTGGCACTTCGTCCACTTACTGCGACCATCCGCGCTGATGCACGAGTTCGGCGTCATTAAGTCCATGTGTCATGGCTGAGACATTGGCAGTAACCCTGGACACAAGAAACCAACATTTGTGACCCTCAAACGTGTGCAATAGGTGCTGTTTAATAACCCAGCTGCATTGAATACGTGATCAATAAGCTCTACCGGGCTTGCACGGTTCATTTAGGCCTTTCTTGGACCCGCCTCGAAATTAACACGTATCACGTATGCGTACGCTGTCCCGAGCACGGATTAATGCTGTCAATTAAGTGCAGAGTAGACAAGCTTTGTTGGTTCATGTCGAATTAAACCTGCCAAAGTCTAAAATCAGCAGAGCTATTTGAGATGGAGAAGTTGGTCATGATAGCGTTTGATTGCAGGTCCCCTTTGAAGCCTACCTAGCGGGTTTATAATCCATGACGTCCAAAAAGACGGGGAACAGGCCTTGGCCGGCCCCATCTCAGATCGAAGTTTGTGCTTTTCAGGAAGGTCGAACATCGAACTTTGAACGATGAGTTCGTATCATCGAATAAGACGCCAGGACCGATCAGGTAGGTAGCATTCGGTCACGCAAAGGCGCAATCGAGTCCCTGGACCCCTCGTACGACGCCGCGGCACCCACGGACAGAGATTGCGATGATCGGCAGCGATACGGATAGCTCAAATATGGCTGGGGGCACGACTTGTTGGCGCGAACTTTTCGCAGTCCGCAGCCGCCTTCACTCCAAGTCGATCTTCTCTCTCGATTCAGGGCCAAACCGACACTATGGCGCCGTCTTGGTTGCCAGTCGGTCTCCTCGGCTTGATCCGAGTTACCACAGCTCTTGGACCGCAACTCAGCCCGGCTCAGATGTGGAGGGAGTTCCATCTCCAACCCGAGCTCGAACCCGCCGCCGAAGGAGCTGCAGGCCCCGAAGTCGTCCGATTATTCGCCAACGACAGCGCCCCCGGTGCGCCGGATCCGTCCACTCTTTACCGGCCCTTCAACTTTTCAGTACCCATTGACCACTTTCACAATGATTCCATGTACGAGCCGCACTCGAATGGCAGCTTTCCTCTGCGATACTGGTATGACGACCGTTTTTACAAGCCTGGCGGCCCTGTCATCGCTCTGGCAGCGGGCGAAACCAGCGGCGCGGGCCGCTTGCCTTTCTTGCAAAAGGGAATCGTTGCCATCCTGGCGGAAGCAACCAATGGAGTCGGCGTTATCTTGGAGCATCGATACTACGGCCGCAGCTATCCTACTCCAGACTTCAGCACGGAAAACCTGCGATTCTTGACAACGGACCAAGCCTTGGCGGACACTGCTTACTTTGCCAAGAACATTGTCTTCCCCGGTAAACTGGCGGAAGTAAATCTGACGGCACCGGAAACTCCATGGATCGTGTACGGAGGCTCCTATGCCGGCGCGTTCGTCGCGTTCCTGCGCAAGCTATATCCCGACGTCTTCTTGGGCGCCATCTCTTCTTCAGGCGTCACTGCCGCCGTGGTTGACTTTTGGGAATATTATGAAGCCGCGAGGCGTTTCGCTCCCGAGGGATGCGCCGAGACGACACAGAAGCTGATGCACATGGTGGACAACATCTTGATGCAGAAGGGCAACACAACTGAGGAGGACATTGTGACGCTCAAGACTGCTTTCGGACTCCCGAACGTGACTGCAAGCGTTGACTTTACGAGCGCGATTGGAGGTGGGATCGCAGGGCTACAGGGCCGAAACTGGGATCCGGCCATTGATAGCGACGATTTCCTTCTCTACTGTGGCAACATGACCTCCGATGAGCTCGTGTGGCCCGCGACGGACAGTCTTGACTCGAGTTCTCGTTACCTGCTTGAGATTGGTGGCTACGAGTCAGAAGTCACGGAGTTGGTTCCTCGACTCAAGAACTACATCGGCTACGTCAACTATACATCCTCTTGGTGCGATTCGGAGACACAAGATGACTGTTTCGGGCCTGGAAGCGATGATGCATATGCCGCGGATGATCTGAGCGCGTCCTGGCGGCTTTGGGCCTACCAGTATTGTTCGCAGTAAGTGGTCACACTCATAATCTTTGAGGTGAAATTCTGACATTCTCGTTTAGATGGGGTTACCTCCAGACTGGCTCTGGCGTCCCAGAGGATCAGCTTCCTTTGATCTCGCGCCTGATTGATATTGACTACTCCACGGTCATCTGCCGTAAGGCTTTCAACATCACCTCACTACCCGATGTCGAGGCCATCAACAAGTACGGTGGTTACAACTTTAGCTACCCTCGCGTAGCCATCATTGATGGCGAATCCGACCCTTGGAGATCTGCGACTCCCAACAAGATTGGGCTTCCGCGACCAGAGTCGACCACTGAGGAACCCAACTTGGTCATCACGGGCGGAGCAGTCCATCACTGGGACGAGAACGGCATCTTCAAGAACGAGACAACGGCCGATTTGCCACCATTGCCTGTCAAAGAGGCTCAGAGCTTCGAGGTGGAATTTGTACAAGCTTGGCTGAAGGAGTTTGCAGCGACAAAAAACTAGACAACACGTCTTATCATAGATAATCCTGTCACTACGAAGGGCTGTGAATAGCAAAGCACAAAGTATATACACGAAACAGAGCAAGTTATCAGCACTACCTAGGTGCATCAGCGTCATTACATGTGCTGCTCAGCATGTTCTGGGTCAAGTATGACTGGTAATACTGAACAATATCTCTCATCACTTCTTTGCAGCCTGAATGATGATTTCGGCAGCTTTTTCTGCAATACCATACACCGCGGTCTGAATGTGAGCCGAGATGAGAACGGGCATGATGCTTGCGTCCACGACTCTGAGGTTCTCGGTTCCGTAGACCTTGAGCGACGGGTCAACGACGCCGCCGTCTTCCTTCGGAAGCATTGCGCAGGAGCCCACTGGGTGATAGATGGACAAGGTAGTCTTGAGGGCAAAGTCCCGCCACTGCGCGTCTGTTGTGATGTTCAAGCCTGGCTCGTACTCCGAAACCCACGTGGATCTTAGAGGCTCTGTCAGAGCAACTTGACGACATTTTTTGATGGCTTGGATGGCTGCTTGTAGGTCGTACTCGTTGGAAATGTAGTTTGGATCAATGAGAGGCGGCCCCAAGGGGTTGGTAGGGTTGATATGGACATTTCCACGGCTCAAGGGGTGCATAATGGCGGCGATGAGCGTGAAATAGTCCTTGCCGTAATCCGAGCTACCTGGAGTGGGATACCCCTTGACGCCGGTATATCCATCGCTGAACAGTATCTCCAATTGAGGTACCGTCGTATCGTTGAGCCATTGGAGCTTCTTCTTCTCGATTGAGTTGTCGCTATCGCCGATTGCCGTCTGAGCAAGAGCAGTAAGCTCTGCCTCACCCTCGCTACCAAGAGCTTGGTTCCAGTTGGTAAACGTGTATCCGCTACCGGAGTATCCATACATCGAAGTCTTGCCTTCGCGCCAGAGCTGGAGCTGCTCAGCTGCATAGGCTGTGTCATACTTGAGACGGTCGTATCCAGTGTAGTTGCTCTTCAGCTCGTACGAACTCTGGATGCGGATGTGATCCTGGAGATTCTCACCTACTCCTGGGAGATCAATGATCTGCTTGATACCAGCAGCGGAGAGAATATCGGCCTTGCCGATGCCAGAGCTTTCCAAGATAGAAGGGCTGAGTAGGCCTCCACCGGAGACGATGACCTCGCGACGTGCAGCTAGGACGGTTCCGTCGGCAAGAGTTACTCCAGTAGCACGCTGACTACCGTGGCAGGTGGTCTTGAGATTGACTTTGGCAACCTTTGACTCTGTGAGAACGAAGTGGTTCGCACCGGCCAAGGGTAGGTAGGAATTCGCGCTGTAGGATCGGTTGTAGTGGGTCGGCTCGATGCTGTTGGGCGAGTACAGAACACCCAAAACGTTACCGTTCAAGGATTCGAGGTTCGTTTCGATCCCCAGGCTGTTCATGACCGGGAACAATGGGGCTTGGTGCTCAGGGATAAGCCGGTTGATCAGAGCCTTAATAGGTCCGGAATCGCCAACGCCCTCGCTCCCAGTGTAGTACTGGGTATTGGCCGAGGTGAAATTCTCAGACTTCATCATGGCAGACCGCATCGATTCCCAGTTCCACCCTGGGTTACCAAGCTCTTCCCATCCGTCGTATTCGTGAGCAGACGCCCTGTCGTATGAGAAGAGGTTGAGTGCAGAGCTCCCACCCAAGACGTGCCCTCTCGTCTGAACCCAGACGCGGCCATTGGATCCCTCCTGCGGCACAGTCGTGAGATTCCAATCGTACTTGCTACCAAAGGTCGAGCCTCGCCGACCCGGGATCTCAATGCGCTCGTCACCGAGACCTGCCGGACCTGCTTCGATGACAAGGACGGTCGCATTCTGCAGCCCCTGACTAAGACGGGTCGATAAAGCAAGACCAGCAGTACCCCCGCCGACAACAATCTATGTAGACACTGGTTGATTAGCATCATGTGTCAGGGCGGATATAAGCGGTCAGAGAGAGCACGAACATAGTCAAAAGCCTTGTCAGTTGGCTGACCAGGAGCCGCAGACGCCGCTGCGACAAGCAAGGCCAGGACCGAGTGGACAGGTAACATTTCGAGATATAGCGATCTTCGTGCGAGGTACCTTTTTACAAGGTCAGAGTTTGATCTAAATCAAGCGAGCAACGCGAACATGCAGGCTTGATTTGCGGATAGGGCTGGAATAGGCATACTTTGACGGACCGGACGGTGGCACGAACGTCGCTGGAAGTTTGTGTCTCGATGGCGATCAGGACGCCCGACACCACTTGGAAGTTGGAACTCCTCTCGAGTCAGTCTTACGCGAGGGTTTGAACGCTCAACGGACGCTTCGGATCAAGATTCCGTGAACCTTTTGTATAAGAGGACCTAGGGGCCCCTGAACCCCGATGCAGCTTCGCAAAACGCGCGATATAATAATTTAAATTGTTATTGGCTTTTGTACTGACCCATCGAATGGAGTCAGGGCACACCAAGATCGGGCGTTCTGGATGACGGGTAATGACAACCCTTGCACACGCAGCTCGGCATTGAAGACGATTAGATGAACCACCCGAGGAAACGTGGGTGGCTTCCAAAGTAAAGGGTCTATTCGCGCCCCGGGCGGGGTGAAATCAGCTGAGTGTACACCTTACGACGCTAAAGAACCCCCGGACAGATGTTGAATGGCATCGGCAACCTTGATTTCACCTACTGGTCCGCAGAGGACCATGAACCTTTTAATCTGCATCATCTTGCCGACCTGGCTCTGTACGGATGGATGGCTACTGTAGTGCTGCTAGTTGTTGGGAGATGGGCGGGGTTCCTCGGACTTCGCAGCAAGGATTCGGCAATTTACCCCGGTCGTGCCCACCGCCAATTCTAATACGAATCTCCACGCCGGGAGCGACAGCGGCATCTGTGGGAAGAGAGCCTACCGCTAGCCTGGTGTTCGCTTATGAGGACAGGGATCATGTGGGTTGCACGAAAGAGGCGCCAAGATGGCGTGGTAAGGGGCCTGCTTTGCTTGGCTTGACTGGAGACTCTGTCCATAATAACCCCAGACGAGAGATGGCAAGTACTTCTGGTCATTGAAGAGACTGGATTATTCACAGACTCCAACCATATTGTACGAATGTAGTGCTAGAACTAGAGTCGTCCTACTTTTACAGACCTCGAACACGGAATTGGGATTGTCACGTCCGTTCAGAAACCGTTTCCCAGCACAGGTGAATATGCCCTCTACTAGGACGTTAATGGACACGGACTGAGCCGTTGATTTGGACAGTCCCGAGAGTGCGTAGACCCTGTTTACCACAGCCCAGTAAGACCTCGCTATCGCAAGCTGGCTGAAATCAGGGCCAAGTAACTTAACACCGGATCAGGCCACTTTTGGCGATATTTTTGTAGGAGTTTGGGAGAACATTGATACTTGATCTTCTCACCACGGTCTTCTTACAAAACACTTACATCAGTCCATGACTGGGACTCTATCAGTTCTCAACGCGCACACTTATAGATTTCGAGATATATCGGCTTCTTCCACCACAACAATAGCATGGCTTTGATCCCTACAAAAGGTTGTCTTTTGATGAAAGTCAACTTGTCTCTGATCCTCCGAATGTTGCGATCTCGTTGTTTTCTCTTAAATAATGCCCAGATAAAACTGTGGGGATGCGAGTCATAAACCCAAAAAGACGGAAGCCAGGGTGTAATCAAAGCCGCGCAAACCACTCCCTTGACTCTCATGTCTTGAGAAGCCGAACCTGCACGGGAGCGGAGCGGGTTCCGCATTCCGGACGGCTCTCGTACTGCCATCCCTTTCCATTCACAGAAGCAGGCACGAGAAGTCTAATGTCGATTCTGTGTGCCTGAGTCACATTGCCGGCCGAGTGGTAACGCAATATCTGGGGGGAATCCGAAAAGCCACCTACCCGGGCGCCACAGAATTTTGCAGTCTGTCTGAGATATGTGGACGAATTGTCTGATGGGTTCTGCGGCGGACTTGTTTGAGACACAATGCTCAAACAGAACAAGGGTATGGCCCGATAGAACTATCTTATAATATCACTGCCATCTGGCCATTGCTGAGATGGAAGCGTCTTCCTCCGTCATGTGCGTTCTCAGAGACGCCACAGAGGCGTGCCATTGATCTCGGAACTGATCTCGACGACACCACTCCCGCCAACGGACTGCTCCAAATAGCAGCTACGACGATGAATCTACTCCCCCGAGATGATTCACCACCGCCGAACGAGGACGCTGGTCCAGTCTCCTTTTCTCTCGCTCTCGTCTTGACAATCTTCCTTGTCATCACAACAAGCCTCCGACTATGGGTGCGAGCAGCGAACCGAAAGCTCGGCTGGGACGATTTGACCATCGCTCTTGCAGGAGCAACGGCAATTATACGATTTGCCTTTGTAGTCTTGCAGTGGAAGCACGGAAACGGAAGACACCGAGTCTATCTCAGCGACCGCGACTACATGATGATCAACATGTACGGCTGGTGGGGACAGATGCTGCTCTTCATATCCGTGGCGTTTTTGAAGGTCTCAATCTGCCTCCTGATCCTTCGCATCAAAGATACCAAGATGCTGAAGAGTCTGCTATACGCCGTCATGGCTGGTGTCCTCATTACGAATTTCGGGGTCGTGATCATCTTGCTAGCCGAGTGTCAGCCCATTGGCTTCTGGAGAGGCAAGTCAGCCGTGTGCTGGCCAACTCACATTCGGATTTACTTCATCTACGCGACGATTGGTAAGATGGAGGTATCCTTGATGCAGCAGCGTTTGGTTGCTGATGCAGGTCAATAGCATACTCGGTCTTGACGGACCTCATATGCTCTCTACTTCCCCTTGTGGTAATTTGGAATGTCAAGATCCCTCGGCGGACAAAGATATCAGTCTCTTGTTTGATGGGACTCGGCCTTGCGTGAGTTTCCGTCACCCGTCCGTCAGTGAGTCTCAAAGACGTCACATCCACTCACAATGTTTCTTTCTAGGGCGACCGGGTTCGGCATTGCTAGGGCGGCGTCACTGGGAATTTCCACCTCCGACCTGAGCTGTGCGTCCAACCTCCCCCCTCCTCCAACGGAACCCACCAAAACGGTGACTGACAACTGATACCTCGTAGGGGCATACTGCATCGCCGGCATCTGGTCCAATCTCGAACTCTTCCTGGGCATCATCGCCGCAAACCTCGCCCTCTCAAGGTCCATCTACGTCCACTTCTTCAGCAACGGCAAAGCGCAACAGACCCTTCCGGGGTCGACGGGAAGATCCAATCCCTTGGAATCGGGATATCTCAATAGTAAGCTCCGAGGGGACCGCTTCGAAGTGCCTTCGACGATGATTGGGTCACCTCGTCGGAGAGGTTCGGAGACGAGGAGCTCGGATAGTGACATTCCACTTGAGCCAGGTATTCAGAAGAAGACCGAGTTTTGGTGGACGGAGGATGATGAAGGTCAGCCGCGTGGGCGATCTCCGTGAGTAGATACTGGTGGGGGTGGTACTGTTGTAGTTAGCATGTGTGTATTCAATTCGGTGTTGTTCAGCTGGCGTCTCCACGAGGATCCCTGATCTAAGCTATTGCCGAGTGAAACTATCATCATGACATATACAGCCCGCCCTCTCGACGATGAAGTACGACACGATCGGGAGGTGATTTGCACTGCGCTTCTTCTTAAGCGGAATATGTTCCAAGGGAGTGAAACGTGGTTTTTTCGAACTTGGTGACACACCATTCCGTAAGACTCTACACCAGCCTTGTGGGATAATATTCATTGTCACTGTACTTCAACCTTTCCCAACCCGTAACAAGTGACGCTTAGGCGTTGGTCTCTCAAGTATGCACTATGTTGCTCTAATTGGAAGGGATTCATTGTTTAGGCCCAGGACGACAGGAGCGTCCATATTACCCCAGACCCTTCAGGGGTTCGAGTGTCTTCATAACGACAGTTTCTACGATGTTATCAACCAAGGAATCAATGCGCACGCAGTGACATCAATGTGCGTATCCCAACCAATGTCACCTCCAATTCATGTTCATTACTAGTATAAAGTCCTTGCAAGTTGCCAATAGTCGCCTTCAACGTACGGCTTGGGCGCACCAGTGACCACCCTGAATAATCGGGTTTCGTGCAACATTGCTGCTCCCAGGCAACTCAACCCTACGAAACCACATGAGAAAATGGCTGGCCTGAATCTGTCTCCGCCTTCGTCGCTCCGACCACGGCACCTTCTTCTTCCAGCTCCGTCGCGGCCCCAGATCATCCTCGAGCAGAGCTTTGGAGTCTGGCAGTGGCGCCACAAGGAACCATTTCTTTGGCTCGTGGTCGGTCTACGCCGCTTGCCACCGCTCAGGGGACCAGGTTTGGTGATCCTGCACGATCCGCTCGCCGTTCCACATCTCCCCGAGATCGAGATTGCATCTCACGACCGACTTGACTTCCACAATATCCTCCATGGCGCGGGGGTATCCCTTGTGAAAGTACCCAGTGAGGCAATTGACGCATGGTAAGGCGTTCCACGCGTCGACCTGTACCAGAAAACCACTCCGTCGCGGGAACAATGCTCCGTTCGACCGACTCGAATCAGGCAGCCTGCCACGCGACGTCTCGCTGGACCGTCTTCTGGAACATCTTAGCGCACAGGTCGGGCACCGGCTGGCCGTCAAGGTCAAGCGGAGAAGACACGGAGAGCATTCCCGCCGGAGCGAGGGTAATGGCTTCCATGACCCATTGCGACACGTTATTGGTGATCTGCCTGTCTTCGAAACTATGCGAGGCCGCGCTGGCTTTGTACTTTTTGGAAGGTGTGCCAAAGATGGAGTCCGGTTGTAAGGCGTTCCTCCACAAGCTGACGCAACGCTCGATCCGGAGGTTAGGATTCTGCTTGCAAAACGGGATCAGGCCTAGGGCGTAGCACTGGGGGCTGGCCACTGCTTCGCGGTCTTCGTCAAGGATGATGCTCCGGATCTGCCGGCGCGTGTCTTTGGGTTATCGATTACGGGGAATGAACAGCTACCGCCGCAGCAAAAAGGCGATAGTTGGAGCGGTCCTGCTCAGACAGAACTTCGGAGGTGGTGAAGCACTTCGTGCTACAGACACAACCAAGTACGACACAATCAAACCATCAGACCCTCGTCGCATCTAGAAGCATAGGTAAGTACATAGTCATGCCTTGAAGAGCTGAGGGACTCTTACTTCACTGCCGGGTTGCCATCTTCCTCCTCACACTTGGAAGTGGTTGCCAAGCGCGCAATGATCTCCGTGCCCTAGGGTCGGAGCTCAAGGCTCACCAACAACGGTTCGAAGCCAACGAACAGACAGAAGACGACATTCAGCACTTCAAGTACTATGACCTGTTCAAGGTGATCAGTACAAGCAACCAGGATAGGGACATCACAGAGAGAAATCTTACGACGACGTCGAGAAGTACCCGTCGAAGGTCAAGAATGCCATAGAGTTGACTATAAGTAGGCGGATGTTGAAGGGGGTGAGCTTCTACGCCGGAGTCTCCTTGAAAATTGAAATAGAGCCGGATGTCAGCCAGTCGGACGTGTACAAGAGGATGGGGATGAATGAAGACGTACTTGTAGAAGAATAACTTGTTCTTGGGTTCATTATTAGAGGAGATGGGGATTAATGATGAACGAGCCGAGGAGGATGTGCTCGTCCGTCCACTGAAACTGGCTGAGACCAAAGTGGTGAATGGCCCAAGTCGAGGTGATGGTCGACGGTCACGCGTCAGACCATGCCATTGGATCGGTAATGTACAGTATATGTACAGTATGAAGTCGACGCGCGCTGGGCAATCGGCGCCGGGCTTCTGCGCCGGGCTTCTGCGCTCCACGGTCGGCTTTCTTCCCCCGAACGGTGGGGCGGATCCGGTAGAGGATGCCCCCCTCCCCCGGCCGCCCCGTCAGTGGCTCTCGCCGTTCGGAGGGCCTTGCCAATGAGCCCCGCCGACACTCCCACAGCACCAGGCGTTCACCACCAAGTCCGTTGGCTGACCTAAGGCACCGTAGCGGCCAGCATCTAACGGGACCCGGCGGATGTAGTCTTCTTGACACTTAGACACTACGACTCCCTCGTAATCTCCTCCTCTTCACCTCCACCAAAGGTTCACAGCAATATCGCAGTTGAATCGTTAGGTATCGGACAGATACTAGACTTGACTTACGGCAGCAAATCATTCCAGAACCAACATCAATCTTCACCGCGACAAAATTTGGAAGCGCCACGTCTTATTTCTCCTCACCCAGCCATGTGTTGACGGACAGTCGGGGCCTGATTCACCGCCGAGATGCACGCTCGGTCCCAACGTCCCCTCTCAATCTTGGTCCCAAAAGCATCCCATCATTTGGAAAACGCCCCGAGTCACAAGCAGAGAACATGACACATTTGACACAATCTTATTGGTTCACAGCATGTTGTACGACTACGGGCGGACGTCCGGCCCGGCTCCTCATCCACCCGACTCGTCCAACGGCAACGGCCTTGACGCCAAAACTCCGAAGTGGCGCTCTCCCGGACACACGGGGGCGTCACGCCCAATATTGGACGCAAGAAGCCACTCGGACTTGCTTTTCGTAAGCAGCCATGGAGCCATAGTGAGAGAGCCACGAGACTGATCATGTTCCACAAAGTTATGACGAGTAACAAGCACTTGCGGATGTTTCTTGGACGCCCGGTCAGCATCTAAATATCGAGCTACCCCACACCACATCTCGCATCCCCTTTCCCCAGACCATCCACCCTCAGATCACCACCAGTCCCGCACATCACCACCACCTCAGCTCCACCTCACCTTTCGACTTTGTACATATCTTCACAGCAAAGAAATACAACATGGCGATAAAAGCCTCCACCGGAGTCTGCAAACCCTCCGAACTAGCCCACCTCGTCCTCCGCACCGCCAACCCTGACAAACTCATCTCCTTCTACCAAACCTTCCTCAACGCAACAATCACCGCCTCAAGCCCCCTCATCACCTTCCTCACCTGGGACCACGAACACCACCGCCTCGCCATCCTCAACGACCCCACCGCCGTCCCGCGCCAAGACAACGCCGTCGGTATGGACCACTTCGCCCTGACCTTCGACTCTCTCGGCGACCTGCTGCAATCCTACAAGGCCCGCAAGGACATGGGCATCGAGCCCGTATGGTGCGTCAACCACGGCATGTCGACGAGTATGTACTACCGCGATCCGGACGGCGGCAAGATTGAGACGCAGGTGGATGCCTTTGAGACAAAGGAGGATGCGGTTGCGTACATGACGAGTGCCGAGTTTGGCGAGGATCCGAGGGGGCCGAGGTTTGATCCTGAGGAGATGGTTAAGAGGTTTGAGGCTGGGGAGGATGAGAAGAGTTTGATGAAGAGGTCGGCTTTTGCCAAGGAGGAGATGAAGCTTTGATCTTTTGAGTGTTGGTGCATCGTGGTATTGTGGTTTTGGGGGTCATGGGTGAGGTTGGAGTTGGTGGATACATGGTGCTCATGTAAGTCAACTGCACATGATGGCGATGATTGCATTCTGCCTTAAGGTAGATAGCTAGCCAAGATGCTATCTAAATTGAAGCCTGGGTCTCTTGACAACCTATCGTGTGATAGTATCCACTATTGGGCTCATTGTGATACTTTCAAGGAAAAGTTGGGGCTGGAATTGGATTTGATGCCTAAGAGTTTAGGCGATGTGTTCAACACTTGATCCGAAAATTATGGTGCTTGAGATACTGTCAGTCTTCCTCGCGTAGTATGAAAAGCTCAAGCGAACTCGCGGCTCGATTTGTAAAGTTGCGTGATGCCAGAAGCTAGCCGAGTCGTCGGTAGAACAAAAAGCTTCCAAAACATGACGCATCGAGCTTTATTTTCTAGTAACATCATACAAAATGTCACTATCACTACCTTACTAAGTACCGTTCGCATTGTCACTACAACGCGTTTTTTTTTTCTTCTTCTTACAGATTTCTCTAGGCTGATTCCATCAGTAACAAACTCGAAGGAGCCGAGTATAGAAGTAAGAAACCGCTGCGGGTCAATCAGCATATCAAAGTAATAGCGGGGTAAATTCCAGTCGCATCGACCATACAGCTCTCAATCCAGGCAACGAGCCGAGTCATGGAGCTACTATGTCTTTAGGTCTGTGACACGACGATCACGTCTGGTAGTTTGCACTACTACCTACCTACTGAGCAAGTGCCTAGATGATAAATGTGCGGCACTTAAACTATAGGCACGACCATCACGTAGAGAGCCTTACAGCCGTAGACTTGATTAGGTCTCACAAATATACATAGGTAAAAGGTCCAACACCCTGTTCGAGTTCTCTCATTCTCTTGTTGATCGTGAACTGGTGTCAATATCTTCAAGTACGCAATAACTGTTTGGGTTACAAGCAAAAATGGACTAGATCCTATCACAGATATTTTCTTTAATTTCACAAAGGTCACTTTGGCTTAGAGATGACTTGGAGAAAACTGAAGAATATTTGTCCCAAAGTTACTCAGCAGTGGATGAGAATCATGAGTCAAGGGTCACACCACGCAGTTACAAACCTAAGGGGACAGGGGGCGCAGGATCCGAAGCAAGATATACCTGAATCTCCGACTTTTGCCAGATTCTGCTATGCGTGCTGGTCAGGTAAACAATGCAAGGTGCACTTTGTCTCCTTCGAGATATTCACTACTGGTGTCAAGGCTAAGTCTAAGACGACACATCAATGGGTAAAAAAACGCTGCAAGCCATTCATACTAGGATATTGCAAAATATATCGCGGCTCGAAATGCTCATATCTGGCGCAAGTGAGCTTGCAGCATTGTAAAACTGCCTAATCTTAGCAGCCTACATCAAATAGAACCGTCTGATTGACTTCAAAGACTCTGGCGAAAGCATGATGGCATTGTGGGAGTCGTGGCCCTGACTGAACGAACGTCGCATGCAGTTGTCGACCATGTTCGGTCCAATTCAAACTCCATCGTCTGCTAGCGCAATACAAGGAACACCACTCCAAACGCCTCATCTCCGTCCAGACGATACAATCTCATTCCAACACAAATCCATGGCATGCGCCTGGTTTTTTTTTTTTCTCTTTCTTGCTGTGGCTGGGCCAGAACAGCATCAGCCAAGCCTTTTTGGCAGGCCTCGAGTGGCTTTGAATCTCCGACGGCTGCAGATGACCCCTGTCTTCAAGTCTAGTTCAGCCCCCTAGCAGCCCCCAAAACTGCGTCTAGGCGAGCACCACACTGCTGGCTGGCCCGTCGAGAGTTACACCATCGCACTCTGGGTGACGTCAAGAGGCACGGGGAACGGCTTGGCAGCGCGTTGTCGCGCCTGGGATTCTTGAGTCTCTTCGGCGATGCGTGGTTTCTGCGTTCTCTGGGTGTGTTGTCTCTGTCTTACAGGTAAGGTACTACGGAGTACTCGTACTACGTAGTGCCTGTTTGTGGTGATGCAGCTGCCAAGGATGTGATGAAGATGGCGGTGATGGTGAGAAAGCGCGCTTGGCATATTACCTGACGATTTCCCACTTCACTACCCAAGCAAGGAACACTGCTTCTCTTTCTTTCGCATAATCATTTGGGTAGTCTGAAGAGAACACCATCGTAATATCTCCAATCATCAACTTGGTGGATCCGCCACCGTCCCTGCTTCCTCCTCTCGATCTTCCGAAATACCTCGAAGTGTTCATCCTCAGACCTCGACAACAACAACAGCATCGCCTGCTTCCTAGGATGACCCGCTTCAACCCTTTCGCACGTAGTCGGCAAGACACAACGACCCTCCCAACACATCGTAAAAGCAGCCAGGACACAAAGGTCAATAATCGCTGGCATGGACACGATTACAGCATGGCCCACCGGCCGCCTTTTATGCTCTGGCTCAAGGTGACGTGGCTAGACATCCTCACCATGATCATCATGGGAGTCATCGCCCTTGTGGTACGCACCCTATCTCACTGCCAACCCTCATGTTGGACGCATTACCTCTGCCATCCAACTAACACCACCTCTTCAGGTCTTCAGAGCCCATCCGCCAGCACACCGAACGTTCCCCGTCACCTTTGACAACGACGAGGTCGTCTACCCCCAGTTCGCATACCCGCACATCCCACAATATATCCCCAGCCATGCCGCCACCGCCCTCGGCATCGGCGTGCCCATCCTCTCCATCCTCCTCTGCCAGATCAGAGTGCGCTCCTTCTGGGACATCAACAACGGCATCATGGGCCTCCTCTACTCCGTCATCGGCTCCACCGTCTTCCAGGTCATGATCAAGTGGCTCATCGGCGGCCTGCGTCCCAACTTTCTCGAAGTCTGCCAACCCGACATTACCAAAGCCTCCCAGCCGGGCGGCAACGCCACGGGTCTCGACGGCACGGGCTACGGAGGCATCATGTGGACGTCGGATATCTGCACCAGGGAGATGGACGGCACCCTCTCCAACGCCATGGAATCTTTCCCCTCGGGCCACACCACTGCCATGTTCTCGGGCATGGTGTTCCTGTACCTCTACCTCAACGCCAAACTCAAGGTCTTTTCAAACCACCACACTCCCATGTGGAAGCTCGTCCTCACCTACGCTCCGATCCTCCTCGCCACCCTAGTCGGCGGTTCCCTGACGGTCGACCAGTCTCATAACTGGTACGACGTTCTAGCGGGCGCCATTATTGGGACTGTTTTCGCTTTCTCGTCGTACAGGATGGTCTACGCCGCCGTATGGGACTGGCGCTTCAACCATATTCCCCTCCATCGCAAGATGCCTCTGGAATTCAACCTCGAGGCTATTGGTGAAGTCGGCGCGGTGGCCACCCGCAAGGCCGGATGGGGTAAGAGACGCGGGGAGAAGGGAGCTGGTCCCGAGAGAATGGCTAGCAGGACAAGGTACGCCACCGGTAGTAGGGATGCGCGAGGCTTTGGTGTACCCCGTAAGGCGGTGGCATCTCACCATTCGAGAGGCGACCGGCGTCCATCCGGCGAGGACATGGTGTAGTCGTTCACCGACTCGTTCCGCCGGGTGGGATTTTTTTGCTTGGTCCGAGGAGTTGCGAATGATACCCAGATTGCAGACAAGCATCGATCCGGTGGTCTCGATCGCGCCATGAGAGATGGCGCAAGAGCATGCGCCGTCGCCTCAGATACCTGCGTGTTTGACTTGTTTACTTAGTACTCATAATTAATACTACACAACCAAATTTTATTCAAAGCACCAACCAGTGTCGGACCTCTCTTCCCAATCATTAAACTCTGATCAGTTTCTCTTGGCTTGGCCAAGCTTCACAGACACGGCAAAGGCTTTCGGGGCGCACGTTCATAACACGCCAATGGTATCATATCTAACTTGATACTAATGACCACGCTGGTCTAGGATCGTACATGCGGCGCGGTATGCTCGGCACCCGCAATGCTACCACTTCGATGCAAAAGTCGGGCGCCCACGTGCCGCCGTGTCTTGGTCTGATGTCAGTCGTTGTTGATGGGTCACCGTTCAGTCTGATGTTCTATGGGGTCTCTCGAGTTGCTCCACTTTCAGCACTGCCATGTGTCTTTGCATCCTAGGTGTGAGGTTTGCGGTTGCAGTTGCAAAGCTGCTGTTATCAAAGTTTAAAAATAGTTATAGCTCTACCTCAAACATACCACCAGCCGCGGTTCTCTGGCTCAGAAACACGACGGGAAACCGGAGGCCATTGCCCATTGGGAACAGTCGTTCTAGTCTCGAACTTTCGCGGGAAGTATGAAAGACTTACCGTGTGTATGTGAGTATGTGTCAGTTGTCAAATTACGGACATGAAGCCGTTATGGGGAACCGCTGGTGCGAGTTCGAACACGAAAGCGCAAGTGCACCATTGTGCGATGGACCCTCGTCTCCCCTCGAATCAGTTGCATTTCATTTCGCCGTTTGTCTCGTTATTTTTCTCAGACTTGTGAGGTGGGAGTCTCGCACATAGTGAGCGGTTCTTTTCGCGAGTCACCGTGGCCTTCTGCATAAGTCTGTGGTGTCTTGGCGCGCAAAGCGTTTCTTGGCGGCCTGAACTCTATCACAAAGACCATCAGTCAGCGGATTTTTTTGCTTGCTGCTGCCCATTCCCACTCACAGCCCACCATCGTCCCCCCTGAGTTGCAGATCAGGTCCCAGACAGTTAAGTCTTTCGGGGCGGGAATCAGAGTTTTGCTACTTTACACTACGTGATTGAACTCTAACAAGGAGGCAAACAAACAACCCTTCGGGAGGACTCCGTGCTCTCGAAATGAGGTGACAAACGAAGTCGAACATGACCAATATCGAACTTGCCATCGTCGTTGAAAATAAGCCTGGCTCGGCAACTCTTTAAGCCGCAAAATAAGGTCGCATTGAGCCCAGCGAGGCGGATACTAGAAGAGGGCCTCCCGCAAACCCCAGAGAGGGCTCCGCACAACCGAGACTCCGAACAAGAGAAGGATCAGTTCAACGACATCACGCAGTGTGTAGTAAGGTAGGATGGAGCTCTGCCTCAATCTGGAGGAAACCCGGCAGATATCCTCCCCGCACGGATAGCCACCCTCTCCGTGCCCGCCCCGAGATCTCCGGGATCCGTAGACTAATCGGCTCGCCCGACCTCTACCCCTTGACCGGATAGGAGTCAGGTAGATTGGATCAAGCAACCCCCACCATCTGTACAGGGTCCCCACCCCCCTCTCCTCTTCTAGAAAGAACCTGTCAGCCTGTCAGGAACGACGAGTCTTCACCTGACATGAACCTTGAAGACGAGCAGCAAAAGCAGCAAAAGCATCGCAAAGAGGCCAAGACCATCCGGCCACCCAAAGGGCTACAAACTCAAAAATGCCCAGACCATTAGCAAGTTTGACATATGATGTGCAATCAACCCGCCTCCGCCCTTCCACCTTGGCTTTATGTTAATCCTTCTTTTCACACCGTTGGAACTGTTGGTTATACCAGGTGATGGACTGATGGCTAACCACGCAGGCGGGACGAACTCTCGGATCATCTCCCGCTCGAGCTGCCATCCCGGACGGGTCGAATCTATACCAGACGACCCATATTGCATAGCTGTTCCTGAACGAGTTCCACTTTGACACTTCTTGCTAACACTGACCAGCTCGAGTTGCACTGTGACTGTCACTTCCTTCTCTTGTGCCTGCCTTTGAGAGTTGCCGCCGCTCCACGTTCCCTCTGTGGCAATGAAGCTGTGACCCTCACGGATAGACTACCTCAAATGTCGGTCCCCTCCGTACCTAGCATAGAAGAAGACCGAGAGGACTGGCCCACCTCTTGCAGCAGAGACTGTTCTCTTTTGCTGATCTCATCAATTTACACAAGATTGTGGAGAGGGCTCGGCGATGATCGAATATATCCAAACATCTTGGCTTGTATCTCTTGGTGGGCTACCGGTGAGGTTTCTCCATACTAAATCACTTTGCAATTTACAGAGCACAGGGGCATGCTCTGATGTGACGAATAAGCAGCTTTAAATGTCTTTGACTATGCGGTACTAGTGAGCCTCAAGACAAGATATAAGACCACCTTCCTCATCCCCCTTTTGTGAGCAGATCTTCTCTCCACACCAGGCTTCTCATCGCCAAACAAACATTCTCTTCACTCCCCTCCTTCAAACACCTTTCTCTTACATACTCTCACTGTTTCATCTCGTTTGTATCTACGTTCTATTTCTTTCTCTCGTTCAGAGTCTGGTACTGTCAACAACATCAACCTCCGTCCCACCCAAGAAAAACCCACCTCCTTCACCGACGATTATCCACAAAAATGGCGTCTCGGCTGGTCCTCTTCTCTCTTGCCGCGCTGGCTTCCGCGAACCCCATCAACCCAGATGGATACGAGCGGCCGGCCCGCAGACACGTCGGAGGCGTAGGACACCTTGCCCGCGCTGTTATGGCGCCCCAGCAGCCTCGCGGCGCGCCTGTTGAAGGCCCCGCCAGAGTCGAAATCAGATATGCCAACCCTGGTGAAAATGGAACTTGCGAAGACACTCCCGACGTTGGGTCGAGCGCTGAGAAGGCCAAGGATAAGAAGAAGGACAAGAGCAAGGACAAGAGCAAGGATAAGAACAAGGACAAGAAGAAGGGCGGCAGCGGCTCCGGGTCCGGATCTGGTTCCGGTTCCGGTTCAGGCTCAGGCTCTGGCTCAGGCTCAGGTTCAGGCTCTGGTGGCTTAGGATCCGGCAGCTCCGGCGGCGGCGGCAGCTCCGGAGGCGGCAGCACAGCCAACAATGGCACTCTTCCCGGCGGCGGCAGCAGCGGCAGTGTCGTCAAGACCTTCCCCACCCCTGCCGGCACAGAGAACCTCTCCGCGGCGCGGACTATTAGCGGCAACTTCGACGGCGGCATGAAGATGTATGACCGTGTCCCCAGCACCTGCACGGGCAGCGAAGGCGGACAAAAGGACGCAGCCTTCATCCTGGAGGACGGCGCCACCCTCAGCAACGTCATTATTGGAGCCGGTGCCGGGGAGGGTATCCAGTGCCAGGGCAGCTGCAACCTCGTCAACGTGTAAGCCAAACAGCGTTTCAACTCTTGATCTAATACCACATACTAACACATGAGCGACAGCTGGTGGGACAAGGTCTGCGAAGACGGCGCCACCTTCCGCCAGACAGGCGGTACCTCCACGGTCAAGGGTGGCGGCGCCCGCGACGCCCCCGATAAGCTCTTCCAGCACAACGGTGGCGGCACGGTAGAGGTCTCTGACTTTTACGCAAAGAACGTCGGCCAGTTCTGGCGCTCGTGCGGTAACTGCAAGACGCAGACGGCGCGTACTGCAGTTTTCAACAATATCTACGTCGACGGCGGCAAGACGGTCGCTCACTACAACGGTAACCTCGGCGACAAGGTCACGATCAACGGCGCTTGCGTCTTGGGTGGTGCCACGGTGTGCAAGAACTCCAAGGGCGTCACTGGTGGTGGCGAGCCTGGCGATGCGGCTGATGATCCGACTATCTGCGTGCAGACTGACGTCAAGACATCTGGATGCTAAAGGGCTGGTTGGTTGTTGTTTAGGGTGAAGAAAAATCCAGGGAGGCTCGTTTGACTTAGTCGCGTGGACTCCAATGTCTGTGTATCTTCTTCTTCTCTGTATATCACGCTTTTGGACTGGTCCTTTGGGATTCGGACTGGATGTCTCGGAGTCAAGGGTTCTGTTCGAGCTGTAAATACTTGTACAACTGCAGGATTTGCAGGTCAATCAAGCACATACATATCTCTTAAGTTCTTGGAATTTCTGGTGATGAACTATTCACGAAGTGAATTCGAACGTTGGGTCTTCCTGCTCAGCTCAAATGCAAGAGCGGATTAAGTACTATTAAGAGTTCTTGGATAGACTCCCGGTTCTGCGACAGGACTAGACTTGGCTGATCTTTCTTTCTCTTTAAAGATACCCAGCAAAGCCCTGGTGCCGGTATTGATAATGACGGCGTTAGTAGATTTCCACAGCGAGCTTCTGGGTGCCTATGCCCCTGCAGCTTTCCAGCCCCTTTTTGATCGTGTCAGCGAAAACACTCAGGAAGATCACTATCATTCCGACGACATGCCCCTACCCTGGAATCCTGATTCACGGGCAAAGGCGTGCATCACGGTAAGTATCCGGCTGCGATTAGTTGAGGAGCACGATTCCTTCCTACTGGCACATAGGTGAAGTAGGCGTCACAAGTTAAGGTTGCCGCCGAAAAACACTACTCGTTCCTGAGTACGGCACTAAAGGTCTGGTACCTACATAGGGTCTAGCTAATTGAAGTTGATTCCGCTGCTTTGAGGTTCCAATGCTCACCATAACGGTTTGTCCCAAGGCCTATCCCAATCATACCTGCACGACGTGGATTCAGCACTTAGCTCTACACTGGCTCCTTGCTTTTCCTCGTCAATTATTCTGTTCTTCTAGTCGACAGCTGCTTTGTCTCGTGTAGCCCTTGACCTCCACACATGTCTCTGCTTCGCAAAACCCCGAGTCGTCACTCCGCCTTTCCAGTACCCCGTAAAACTCAAATACGGCTGGCACTTGTCCGTTGAAGTTCTCGCTAGGCTCCAGCCTTCCCTTGAGCTCTGGGGGACTGATGATACTACTTTGCACTGATACCCTGATCAACTCTGAGGTCACGAGCGCTACCGCTACTGGCGTTCGAGGGTTCTGTTGGAGCCGCAACCAGTCGCTGATGTTATCTTGGAAGGCAACTTCTGATACAGTAGCAAAAAATGGGTTGCTGAAGCCCTTTGCTGTTGTGGGTCAATTCACAGGGACCAAGTCGATCTCGACTTCTCGGCAAGTGAAGTGGAGGGAGGCTTGGCAATCTCGCCAGCCTTGTTTGTCGTGCTCTCTCCTCATCGTGAAGTAGTTGTCTGAACTGCACTCCATGAAAGGGTCGGAGTAGGTCCTCAAGAGTTCGGGTGAATAAAGTCTCTGTCGGTTGCCGTGGTACTTGTCCCCGGTGAATGTTCCTCTGCGGGGTGGCATAGACACTGCCTTGAGGAAAGGTTCCATGTCGAGTTCGACATCGTACACCTCGTCCCTATCTTGATTAGAATCAAGATCTTCCTCAGCTGATTCAAGTTCCTCTTTTTCTCCCTCGTCTTCTTCATAATCGTCTTCTTCCTCCTCGTCCTCCTCTTCCCCTTCTTCGTCGATAAAGACCCGATACTCTTCATCAACAGAGAGACCCGGTCTTTTTCGTCATTAGGGATCCGGTGTTATTCGTGAAAAAGAACCTGGTCCGCTTCGTCAGCAAGAAACTGATCTTCTTCAAAATGCACTATTTCTTCCTCTAGATAGCCGGTGCCATCGGAGGTCTGTCTGTCTTCATTTTCCAACGTTTCAGAGGGTTGACCCCGATCCATGCTGGGCGGTACTGCAAGGGCTTTCTGGACCTGGCCTGCCTCTAACCTTACGCCCCAGACGTCAACTCATTCCGAGGTGAAACGGGAGGGATTCTCCCATCTGCGAGTGAAGCTAGACGGGTTGATGAGATCCCTGAGCAGGGTTAACCTCAATCGTTCCCTATCGTAGATGCAGATGTAAGCTGCACAGTGCTCATCGGGGACTCCGCCCAGAGCCGCGCCGTCCACGTAGACAAGAGAAAAGGATTTCTGTGACCTCAGGGGATGTGCTACCTCCGGATATGGAAAAGGCAACATCACGATCATGAGCGCCCGTTTGTTCCAGATAATAGTACCTCTACACATCCATTCGCCGGCTGAACAGTTGGCGACGTGGTCGGATTCGAAGCAGAGAACACTGTTTGGGATATCGACATGGCCACAGTTCTCTCGAATATGGGTCGAAGAGATCGAGAACCACACGAGGGTCGCGAGCGAGTGTGTAGCCAGAGATGCAGAGTCGACTGCTTGCGGGTCATTGTCGAGACACCTTTGGAACGCAGACATGCCACGTTCGGACTCCGTGAAGTGCCATTGATGAACAAGCTATGCATGTTCCCTCTCATAATCTGTCCGTTGATCCTCGGCCTGTTGTTCGGTTTCTTCTTCCGCTGCCTGTAAGTCCCTCCTCTTCTTTTGCTCTTCTTTCCGTCCTTCCTCGGCCAGACAACACGCGAGCCCCTCCGGAGACTTTGCTAGTTTTGCCAACCTGTTGCAGTTATTCTCCTGTGTCTTCAAGTCGCGCTTTTATTTGAGAGAAAGGGCGTTGAATTTAGACAAGGATTCTACAAAACGTGAATGGCGCTCAAGGCACAAGAGTAAGTTGCTGTTGCCATAGTCACTGCCTCGTCCCTTCCCATTTCCTCGGCTCCCGCTTTTGCCTTTTTGTATACCTCCGCCACTACCTTGACCACGGCCGCGGCTGGGGTTTTGACTATTGCTATTGCCCTCACAACTCCTGCTGGGTTTTTGGTTTGTCATCGTGAACCAAGCACAGAAATCTCGCGAGTCTGTAGGAAATAGGCACAAACGGGGCATTGGCACAATATTGCTTCGGTGACGCTTCGGGGAGGGCGGGCGATTGAAGTGTAGGTAGTTCGATGATCAAGTAGCAGTAAATCGGTGGGGCTATATCTCTCGATGTCGTCGAAGTCGTACGAGAGAAGGGTAAGTAAATCATATATCAAGGTGGTGGCCAGCTTTGATGATAATGAGAGTTTGTAAACGTATTGCTAGGTCGCGACATGGCATTCGATCGCATACGGATGAGAAAGAAGAAATACTACTTCCCCTAGGCTTCGAATCCTACTATCTAGTCGCCACGTCTTGTCTTGGTCTCTGCCAAACTCTCGAGTTCAGTCAAAGAGTGACCGCGTGATGTCAAATGGCTTGAAATCATATCCCCGACTCAGCCCATCTCATTTCAACGTCCAGGATTGACATTGTCATCATCGCGTACTAAGTGAGCAAACGTGAACATGATAATCGTGGTATTCAGATATGTAGACGACAACACTATCCCGAGACGTCCCATCTCATCTCATTTCACTCATCTCACTCCGCCCTCACTCAATTCATTTACCCCCACCTCACACTTCACTCACAACTGTATCACGTCCTCACAAGCCACGCAGCCTCGATATTCGCCTTCGGATCCGGCGCCCCCTTTGCACTCTTCAACCAGCAATAATTCTCATCCGTCCCCTGCTTCCCCGCCGTAACCCACGCTACGCCCACACAAGGCCCATCAGCGCTCTGCGTCGTGATAGCGAGCGCCGCGCACAGGTTCATGCAGTCCTCCATCCTCGTCAGCGGGATGTGGCCAAGGTCGTTCATCGGGTAATTATTGCCGCACTCGCGCACGAAGCGCAGATTCGAGTTTGGCACCGTGTACGTCTTGTTCTCCGAGCTGAGGTCTGGGCAATTTGTCGTCGCTTCGCCCAGGATCGAGGAGGCTTGGCCTGGGAGCGGGATGTAGGCGAGTGAGGTTGAAGTGGAGGATACGGATGATGCTGTTGCCGATGCTGAGGCTGAGAGCGCAGAGGCTCCTGAAGCTGATGCGGATGCGGATGCGACTGATGATCCGCTTGAAGCACACGCTGATGGTGATGATGATTTTTCGAGTTTGCTGCGTCAGGTGTCAGTTTCTTTTGTCTCCCGAAGTTTGGCTGGTTGTCTTCACTCACGCTTCGCACGTCTGCACATACGCCGCATGTGCCTGGGCAATCGTTCCCGCCGCAGCAGACGCACCAATCGTCCCGAGAAAGAACACCAACGCGATAATAGCCACCCAAAACGTTGCTACTGGGATGCCCCATATCCTCTTGTTCTTCTTTGGCGGCATCCCCGCCTGGCTTCCGCCGTAAGCCGTTCCGGCGGCCGTGGAGTGTGCGGGGTACTGGTGGCTTTCGTACCCGGTGTGCTGATCTTGGTATGGCGCGTATCCGCCCGGGGCCGGTGCCGGTACCGACTCAAGGGCGGCGCCCGGCGCAGGCTGGTAGTACTTCATGCCCGGCGAGGGCGAGGCCACCTCGAGGCCCGCATATTCGGCCGGCATCAGTCCTGTTTGGTATTTGACTTCGCGGTCCGAGTCTTGTGATGCTTGTCTGGAAGCGATGTTGCTGTTGTCCGGTGCGACCAGGTGTCTTTCCGGTGAACTTGATGGCATTGTTGATTCGAATTATGTGGCAACCCCCCGCTAACGTCCAAATGCGAATCGACTCGATGGAAGGACGCTCCGGGATTCTAGTACTGAACGTGAGGACTAAAGTCAACGTGACCGTGACTAAGTAATGAAAGGGTGTGAACTCAAAAGGCAGAAATTTTAGAGGACCACGTCGCGAGCCGATTTGGAGGGGTGGCAGCAAAGATATACGCTTACAACACCCGGAAGAGGAGGGCCAGCAGCAAGCAGATTATTAAAACCCCGGCCCATCCTTCAGGGCCTTCACCAACCATCAAGAGCAGAGGAGACGCACAGGACAAGCGGTCCTACAAGGCTCCGTGATGAATGATCGACCTGTTGGGGAAAAGCAAGAATCGAGCCATGTTCCTCACCCTTGCCCGTTCCGCTACGAGCGGGCAGCACCGTTGACGCTCTTGGGCTTGGGAATGGGGACTTTGGTTTTCTCTTTACTCGACATGGGCGCTCCATCTCGAAAGCCACTTCCTCAAAGGGAATAGCAGTATCGAAAGCCGTAAGTTGTAATGGGTGCCCCCATCATGCTCGTAGGCAACGGGATGGTGTCCAATGGACAAGGCCATGATCCTTGGCGCTGTTGCGCCCGCTCACCAGGGGGGTGCGGCAGGGCGACGAGAAGAGGATCTTGTGCCTGGCAGGTGGTAGGCAGCTCATTACGGCGGTCACACATCTCTGCCAGCGGCCAATGGCCGTGCACTTGGGAGGTTGAGATGACAGGGCCGGCCAGATGCAAGTGAGATTTGAAACTCTGCCTTTCTCTCTGTCTCTCACTGTAAGAGTCGCAGAGCTGAGCTGCCAATGGCACCCTACCACCAAGCCCTGCGTTTGGAGCGGTCTCATTAATTGATATTCTCAATAGACTCGTCTCAGGGCTGCAGGACCGTCCTTGACTCGACGAGGAGGAAGATGTGACGGTAGCCGCCGGGCTCATGCTGTTCAGGTCTTTGGGGAAGGCCCTGGTCTGGTCTAAGCCACTGATCGCTGTTGAATTGCCGCTTGAGGCACACGCTATAGATGGCCCTTTGGGCTTGGCTGCTAACGCAACCAGCGCGGCAAACTGGTCAATCACAGCAGCAGATTACAGAGTCTCATCGCCAGCCTATAGCCCGAGTTGCTCGCCGCCGACGAGACCTGCTTCGATCCAGTAGATCGGGAGACGTGTTGATGCTTGATACCAGTGTCATGGGAAAAGTAATGCTCTTTCAATGCTAGTAACGGAGAATATGTAATCACGCAAGAAAAGTCAGCATCCGATCCCTCAAAAACCACGCGACAAACCTGAACGATGGAAGGTAACCCCGGACTCCGTGTACACCCAAGCAACTCCCCCATCCCACGGAGTTCACATCCGACACGCTTAAACAGCTGTCGACAATCACTCATTCTCTCCACTTGTCTACGACGAAGTAATTCGTACCAAGGCAACAGCCAACAACGCCAATACGAAGAAGCGTCTCCTCACTTCCCACCCAGAAGGCTCCTACGGTGCGGAGTTGACGTAGTGTCGAAGATGGAGCCATCTGGGAGGCTTGAAGCAAATCCTCCAGGAAGAAGGATTTCAGCCCCGGCCCCCGGTAACAGCCAAATTTCGAATTGATAAATCTCGGCCGCAGCCTCCGTCAGAAGAGGTCAGGGGTCGGCCGCCTGTCGCCCATCCGTGATTCGTGTGGTCCGTATTTCCGGACGTCTTCGGGGCCAAAAAGACAACTCTAAGGAAATTTTTGTTCTTGATTCTAAAGGGTTTTGGCTACGAACGGTAAATTCGGCGACCGATGTGCCGGGGCTGTCGGTGAGTCTCTCGCTGCTTTGACCATGTCCACTACACGTCTGCTCAGTTGGTGTTCTTTGAACAAAGCCTCTGCTTTTCCTTTGAACTAATTACCCAGTAGATAGTGCAAACCTGAGGGCGGCAACATCTTCTATACCGCCGCTGGATCCAACAAACAATCCATCGCTTACTCGAGCAAACCAACAGGAATTCAAACGTCATGGAGCCTTTTCGTCATCCCAGGGAACCAACCCAACACCCTTTTCCGAAAGCTCTCGCCCGCAGTGGCCCAAGCCATCCCCGAATGCCACGCGCAGCAGCGCAGAAATGTGCTTGAAAAGGGACTTTGGTTCCCAATGGCCCGGCGTTGGGCCAGCCTAACCGCCTTTCAACTATCCAAAGCTTGTATCTCGAAGCCGTAATTGCGTCTCCGCGCCTCTTTCTCGCCCCCCCGGTGAGATCTACAAAGACTATTCCATACAAGGTTTTCAATGACTTGACGTAACATCGCCAGCCCGATAAGTTCTTGTGGGTATTTTGGTGAGTGCGAGAGGTCCGAAGGAGCAAATTATGCATGACACCGCGGAGCCAGACCCGGCTCTGTTGCGCCTTTGGTCGCTGGCTTTTGCATACTCGATGCCAGTTTGCGCGATCATAGTTCTTTTTTCTTTTCTAAGAAATACTGGTATTTTCTATTTTTCTTTTCTACTCCCACCAACGATATGAATACAGTGCTTCACTGACGTCAAAACAACCTCCTAGCGTCCTCGACCTCCATAGCCCCCCGCCCTCATGCTTAATGTGGATTCTAGACGCTCTACTGCGCAGTGTCTGCCTCCTCTTCTCTTCTCTGCTCATCAAGCTTAGTCTGCCCGTCGAGCTTGGCCTCCACGTCAAGTTTGGCCTCCTCGTCAAGCTTGGCCTGCTCAGATAGCCTGACGGCCGTCTCGTATGCCTCGGCACGCTCTTCGAGTATCTCAAGAACCTTGTTTGCACCACCCTGTTGTTCCACAAGATGCTTCACTGGCAAAAACGCCTCATCCCGGCGGACGGAATCCCTCAGCTCCTGAGCCGACATCCACTTCCACCCTTCACACTTATTCTCCTCCATCAACTATTTCAATCTAGAGTCAGTCACGCTATTTCGTCGCCTCGCCTCAAGCCTCCGACATCATCCTCGCTCAGACACAATCGAGGAAGCCGAAGGGCAGGGCTGCGGGGGTTCTTTCACTCACCTTAGGCTCCTGACTCTCGTCGATCATTTTGCACCACACGTGAACCGTAGTATACTGCCTCCCCTCCTCCTCGAAGATATCCTCCGTGACAGGCCCGTACTCGATGGCCTCGATATCAAGATCGGTCTCCTCCTTGATTTCTCGCACCGCGCACTCGAAGTGGCGCTCACCCTTTTCTTGGTGGCCTCCTGGCATCTGTAGCATGCCTATCCATCCACGAATCAGTCAGCTTGCGCAAGGCAGCAGTTGCCAAAGTCCCCAGGAAGGCAGAAATTAGGAGGAACAATGGAAACGTTCTGAGGGGCCACCATCACGATATCTTCTGGTGATAGGAGCTGTGGGTTTCAAATCTTACCGCTACCATGACTGCCCATGCGCTTCCCGACGATGACCTTGCCATTTCGCTCGATGATGGCTGTGACGCCTACGCGGGGGAATTGATGCTTGGGGTCATTTGAAGTTGGGGTCGCCATGTTTGCACTACGACCTTTGGGGCAGTAAAGAAATTGACAATTTTTTCTGGTTGAGACCGATGGACTTTTCGCCGCTAAGCTTCAGAGGTTCTCGGTGGATGAGAGGTGATGATACCTTGATTGGAAGTGTCGTGGTGTTGAAGCAGTCTGCGGCTGAACTGATGAGGAATTAATGGTTACTCGTTGGGGTCCCGCTTGACTCATATAGGTACCTATTTCCCAGGCCCAGCATTCCATTCACTCGCTTCGACCGTTGTTTGCTTGAAACCTATTCAGAGCATTCATAATAGCGAGTTGTTCGACCTTTTCTTTGTTGAACATAGAACTTGGTCATGCGGCGCAGTCCGTTGGGCTGGTTTGCGCAGGAGTCGTTGTTGAGAAGTATTGATTAGTGTCCAAACCTGTGGGGTCCCGCGGCAAACCAGCCCCCCTCCCCATCAATCAATCAGCCTTTCGGTGTCCATTGGCACCAAATCAGTACGCATTGTCGTACTTCGCGTCGATGGTGAGATGATACACTTCCAATGTGGGACAACCAACCATCTTTCGATCTGTTTTCAATGTAGAAAAGGACGTCATTCACGAATTTTCGACCTCCAAAAAAGACCGCCCTGGGCATGCATCATTGTTCTACATAGAGCGGCCCTCCAACGATCGACACAGCGCTCCGCATCACCACCAAAGACCACCACAACCTCAAATTATGAACCACATCATCACCACCACCAACCAGGCCTCGATTGCTCAAAAAAAATGGACGATCTGGGAATCGAACCCAGGACCTACCGCATGCTAAGCGGTCATTATACCACTAAACCAATCGCCCATACGATGATCTAGCCCGGACTTGAACCGGAGACCTTCAGTGTGGTAGCGAAGAGAGAGATGAGGCTCTCGAGCTGTTAGACTGACGTGATAACCAACTACACCACCAGACCATTTATTAGTGAAGATTGATCAGGGAAATTCCGCTCTTAGTGCAAGGGCGTGGAGATGGTGGTGGTGGCTAGGTCGGCGTCGAGTGGATGCCGGTGGATGTGTTTGAGGGCACATCCCGCTATGAGGGGCCGCGAGCGCATGAGACCTGGGGTCGGCTTTCATCAATCAAACGACATGCTCTGCGTGAGACCAAGTGTGCAAAGTATATCATCATTCATTACATCTGCTTCCGTAGGGTATCATTACATAGCTCTCCAAGAGCCTTCGTCTGAGAGGAGACATCCAAAAACCACAACCAAAGTCAACCATGCACCAACCACACACATTATACATCTTTACCACGCTCCCTTCTGGGGCATGTTATCCGGATCCATCTCGAACCCCTTGATGCTCTCCTGCCAATTCTGCCAGTTAAAGTCATCCAAGTTATCCATGTTAACGTCCATGGAGTCAACAGGCACATTATTGATGGACGTGAACGGGTCAGACCACAGCCATGGAGGCTGGTTATCCCCCAGAGACGACGCTACCGTAGGTTGGGACTGCATCGCGATGGCCTGCTGCTTTAGTCGCTGATCGTTATCGAGACCCTGTCCAGTGGACATTGCGGGTGATGGCACTGCCGAGGACATCATGGACTGGGACGCTTGCGGCTGTGAAGCGCTGGGCGGGAAGAGTGTGTTATTCGGATCGGCTGCCATGGACTCCGCCGTCGGGTAGATATACTCCCAGATGTGGTTGGGATTGAATCCGCGCGCCATCATCACCGTGTCGATGAACTCGGGCTCCCTCTGCTGCTGCGGTGCGGGCGTCGGGGCCTGAACTGTGGGATTCGCAGGTTGGGAAACCGGACCTCGAGGCGGCGCGCTCTGCTGCTGCTGCACGGGTTGACTTTGCGGTACGTTGTTTGGCGGCGGTGGTAGCGGGCTGGAGCCGCCATCCGTCCGTACCAGATTCCGCCACCGCGTGCGGATCTGCAAGTGCTTGATTTCCATTCCGGGCACCGGTCCAAGTCTGGCCGGGATGGGGTTCATGCGATCGTCCACATCCAATTGGCGTGCCGCATCCGGATCGACTCGGAGACGAACGATCTCAGCCTCGCGATGCTTCGTGGCCTTTGCGCTCAGCTTCCGCAACGGAACCCATACGGCCATATGATCTGCCATCCTCGATATTTCAGACGGGTCCCTGTCGAATCGCATCGTGTTGTTGACAGCCTCCCATCCTCGCTCCGAGGTCGCTGACCACGGCCGACGTCCGCCCTCCATTAGGATGTAGGCAATCGCATGCCATTGTCGATAGGTCTGGAAGAGCCACCGCCATTGCTTGCAGCGGGGATCTGTGTTTAGGATGTAGTTATATTCAACGATTTCAATGGCCGAGATGAAGAGCCTGTCGTGGATCTCGTTGGAGAGTTCGTGGCCGTTGCCGGGGAAGAGCATCGGCTGATAGATGACAAGACTCATCTTCGCCATGATAACACGGGCGATCATGGCCGCCATCCAGAAGAGAGGATCGTCATCGGTGAAGCAATGCTTGAGGAACTTCTCCTCAACCCGGTCGTACACTTCGATTAGCATGCGCTCACGCTCTTCGAGACTTGACGCGGCGTCCTTTGGACAGACACCAGCCATGGCCGACCCCACGGTGTGTAACCGCCGTGACAACGCGCAGATTTCGTATCTCACCAGCGATACGGCGCAGTCTGTCTTTCCCAGCCGCGATTTCGGAACATCCGTCATTCCCGGCTCAATGTCTGAGTCGTTCAAATTGGAGGGCAGTTCGGTGTCGAACGATCGGTCGATGATGGTGAGATCGCTGCCAAGCTCTTCTGCAGAGCGAAGATCAAGAGTGCAGATAGCCCACCACAAGCGGCGCCTCATTTCGATTTCGAAGGGAGGAAGGTTAAAGTTCGTTCCATCGCGGTGAATGCCCAATCCTTGCGCGATGCGGATCGCCAATCCAGTCAGCGTCCAGCAGAATCGGGTGTCGTCCTCCCTGCGGACCAGCGTGAGGAACATGACAAAGGCCTGGAGGACCACCATGTCGGAGGTGTTGAGGAAGTTTGCCTTTGCGAGTGCCTGCTCGAGAGCGAAGCGATACTGCGAGAGCATCTCTTCCTTCTTTGATCCAAAGTTCTTCTCCACCTGTAAACCGGTTAGTCACGGCCAATTGCATCGGCACTAGAGTTGACATGAACTTACCTCTTCATCTTCCATGGACGTAATCGCTGCGTAGTAGATGGAAAACAGCAGCGCTTCGTTACCGGCAGTAAGCTCGTCGATGTTGCGTCGCATGTCGCGGATGAGCTTCTCCATCGTCGGGATGTGCAAGATCTTGAGCAATGGTTCCACATTCTCCTGGTAAACCTGCCACATGAAAGGTATCTGAGATGGCAAGGGGTGCAGCTTGCGCAAGTCGACATCGGAAGACCGATATCCCAGGATAAAGGCATGGTGGTCCGTCGCAGCGTCGGTATCCTGTATTGGGGAGTGGTCTGGCGTGTCCTCGACATCTGAATCATCGGTATCTTGATCCAACGCATGCGTCTCTTCTCGAAGCTCGTCAAGCTACGGCATCCTTGTTAGCACCTAGAGAGCAAAACATGACTCGGGTGACTCACTTCGTCATTGAGCTTGGACCAAAATGCGCTGCTCACGTATCTGCTCGACTTGCCCTTGTCGTGGAGCACAAGTCTGCCAAACGACCTGCTTATGCCCGCTTGCCTCTCTACAGGCCTCTTGGGTTCTGGGTCCGTCTCCATCCTGTTTGGCGTCACGGCCTCCTTGAAAGCACTCATGGCAGCAGCGCCGCTCGCAGTGCTGCCGGCGCGTTCGGAGCTTAGGTCATTACCAAACGCCTCGGGCGAGTTTCCTGTGCTAGAGTTCTGACGGCCGCTATTGCTTCCCGTGCCGCTCTCGACCTCAATCTGGCCGCTGAGCTCCTCCACGATACCCTCTAATTTGCGCAGGCGCTTCATGAGCTCAACTTCGCGCTCACTCGAGTTCTTGGGCGGCGCATTCGGATCTTTGGGTCTGGGACGGCGAGGGGCGCGGCCGGGGGCCGGGTAGATGCACTGGATAACGGCACGGCGGCAGTTGCTGCACGGCATTTGCTTGTCGCAGCGGACCTTTCGCCGGCGGCAGGTGACGCAGCTTCGGGGATTAAGGGCTGGCTGGCCGGAGGCCGTCATGGCCACAGGTTGATCGGGAGGTATAGAGGTCGCGCCATGGCGGCTGAGGGCAGGGAAGTCGTGTAAAGTCGGGGAGTTTGGCGAATGGTGGGGGTTGGCATTCATGGCGTTAGCTGGTGTCGTGGGGTTCGACTGCTGACTTGTCGGCGAGAAGTTGTCCATGGCGTCTGTTTGTCGGCCGTCCGTCAATTGTCTCGGGACGCAGACGTTGTAGAGAGAGTGGTTCGTTTGCAGTGGCGGTTGTAGTCGAAAAAGAGAGGCTCACAAAGGTTTGGATTGGGGTTTGAGGGATAGGATTCGACAGAGTGCGGCGGTGGTGACACACACAGTTTGGCGACCAGAGCAGAGAAGGCTGACAAATGGCGGGGGATCGATCCTGCGACTCTTGGCTCCAGCTTTGCCCACCCAGAGACCTGCGGCGTGGCACAAGATTCGCGCCTAGAGCATGTCAGAATCACAGCAGCCTATCCGTAAAGGCGGTAAGCTGTAAGATTGGTTCCGTGGTGTTTGGTCGTTTGGCGTTGCAAGTCGTCGTTCGGGGATTCTTGGACGTTTGTTGGGATTAGTGGGTTGGCTTTGACAAGACAGGCGACTGAAAGGCGCAGCACCAGCCGTAACAGCAGCAAGGCAAGGTAAGGTAAGGTAAGGGTAAAGCTAGGTGGGGGTGGGAAGATGGACGGAAGCCAACTCTGGTGCGCACGAATGCCAGTCACCTTCTGTGCGCTGGAATACCTAGTATAGAACGAAGTGGGAGGGAAAAAAAATAGCATGGGAACGTGGGACTAGAGCAGGGGGGGAGAGGACCGATCGAGGTCGGAGCTTAGACCGGCAAGCCGGTGGGTGGGGCGGGGCGCCTGCATCGGCCGCGGCCAGCAATGCGACGCTTCCCATTGGCTCTGCTCACCTTGGAAGCGGCCGTGATCGGCTCACCGAAAAACCCCGATGCAAATGACAGACCAGTCCCAGGTGAGGTTCGGTGAGGGGCCGGTAAAAGCCAGTACCTCCGAGCTTCTCGGCAGAGACCATTTCGTTTACTCGGCGTTACTTTGACACTCGGTACTTGAGGTTAATATGTTCACAAACAACCAAACAACGTGAATAATTTCAATCAGCTTACGCACGACATCATCGACTACTGGACATAGGTCGAGCATGGAACACAATCTGGCTCAGGCTCACATGGATTGGGATGATGAGCACTCGCCGGCGGTCGGTGCACACCAACCCCGATATCTCCGAGAACGGCGCCCAAGAGTATCAACTCTAAAGACTCCTCTAACTCAAGGTTTGCAACGGTCTGCGTAAGTCTGCCCATGACGCACATCGGCCACTCGCGTTGGTGACCAGTTTTCCAAAAACTGGTCTCCAACTGCTCTCAATCAGCCGAACCATCCATCCATCTTACCATTGCAGAATGGTGAGTTACTATCCAGTAACTTCTCACTTAAACAGACACGTTCCCTCCATGTGCTCAACACGCCTCCCCAAAGGAAAGACTTGTTCGGACGTCTGCACGGCATGGAAGATCTGGTAAAGCGCACATGTTCTAGCTACTATAACATTGATCTTAATCTCGTTTTGCATCATTGCAGATCTATCAAGAAACCCACGAAGCTGAACATACTTGGCCTGGGGGGCCTTGTCCAATGCATCTGTCTTCCCCGCTTCCGGAGGGGGAAGCAGAGGCGAAACACATGCCAGAAAAGCAGTTGACACTGGCAGGATATGCCGAGTATGCATAGTAAACTTTCACATTTCCGCTTCAGAATGCTTGGCACCGACCAAGCCAGGTCGTTCATGTGTCGGTGCTTCACCGAGCGGCTCATCTCGGTGTGGCTTCGCTTTCGCATTTGTTCAAAGATATCAAAATTCGCTGAATGACTAACATAATCTCCTCCTACATGATGAGGAATGCACTGCCCGCGACAACACTGGCCGAAACCATTATCGTCAAGATGGCTGCACCGGCCTTGTCCGCGGTGGTGATCGCCTTGAGGGAATTTGACGAACCCGACCCATCATCCGTCTTTCCTCCGTTCACATCACCCGTTGAGTTTCCTCCCGTGGTTGCAGTGACAGGCGCCTCAGCCGACCCGACCAGGTTGTACATAACCATCTGCAACGAAGTCATCTGCGGTCCTACGCCCACTATCCCATCAAACGTCTCATTCAGCCACGAGAACCCACACGCCGTTCCCGCGTGGCCTTTGAATCCCGAGGCAGGAGACCCCGAACAAGTCACCGCCGCCTTCTTCCCGCTCGACAGCAGCAGCGCCGTGATGGTGTCCGCGGTGTGTGCGGCAACTTGCGACGTGGCGGCCAGCCAGCGCGCGAGGTAGCCCTTGAAGCTCTGCGCGTCTTGGCTGCACTGCGCCGTCGGTTCGCAGTAGGCCTCGTAGATGATCTCGTTTTGGACAAATGACGTCTGCACGTCCGTGAGCATGCCGTCGAGCCGGGTCTTCCACGTGTCGCTCTCTGTGATATTGTACATCACCGCCGCGCCGTAGAGGAAGATGCCGGCGTTGTAGGACCACTTTGTGCTGTCCGTGGAGCTGGGGCATTTTCCTTCAAAGTGGACGCCATCGAGTACTTCGTGGTCGGATGTGAGCAGCCCAACGTCCGTCTGCCATGTCCAGACCTTTTCTGCCCAGTCGGAGTATGTCGTGTTCCCTGTGTACCGGGCCAGGCGCGCAGCCACGTTGAAGAAGCACCCGTTCGAGATGGAGTTTTTGTAGTCGAAACCGGCGTTCCACGTAAAGATTTGCCATCGCACACCGCCATCGCAGTTATCCGTGTCCCATCGGCTGACGTACTCGTTGAAAACTGCCTGGACCAGGGCGAGCCACTGTGGTGAGCCTTCTGGCGGGTTTGGGTATTTGTGTTCGGCGGCGGACATGGCGGCCATTGCCCAGAACCCCTGATCATCGTTTCCTTCTGTGAGAGTTTGGTTTTGGGGCATGTAATCGTTGTCGTCGCCCACTTGGTGAAGCATAGCTTGTGTCGTGATTGTGTTGTAAGAGTCGTCGCCCGTGAGCCACCAGTAGTCTATCAATGTGCCAAACATGGCACCGGCCTCCCACCCTTGAGTTCGTTAATACAAGCCGAAGACCACGTCAAGTATCTGGCTTACAATAATAAGGATCTGGTAAGTTTCCAGGGGTATCGCCGGTATTATTGCCAGTGTAGTATTTCACTAGTCCGTAGGCGATTGTACCAGCGGCACTTTTTATTGAGCCTGATGTTCCATCCCGTTAGCCAAGGCAAGATAACTCGGTAACTGCAAAAGACCCTACTCTCATCTGTCCATGTGACATCGATGGCACTGACACTCGCCAAATTCATCCCCACTGCCAAAGCCGGCAGTCCTAATGTTGGCCTCATCTCGAGTTGTTCAGTTCGTAGCCTGGTTGACGGATAAAGGAGCGACAAGAGAACTGAATCGCAACGCCGAGCTATTGGCAAAAGCTTGGCATCAAACAATTATAACGACAGTGACAACGACAACAACGTAGACATAAACGAAGCCGGAGCCGAAGGGGGCCGCCAAGGCAGGGCGGCAGAGCCTTCGAGCTTAAAGGGCATTCCATCAAAAGGGCTGTGCAAAAACGCGGGTCCATTTTCAATTTTCCCTCTCTCCACAGCTGACGTCTGTAGCTGACGCGCATGTAACCACGTAACCCACTGGCATGATCTCGGGATCCATCTTATTCAGACGATTTCGGCGGTTTCGCACTAACGCTCTAGTTATTCAATTGTTTGGTTCTAGATGCGCTGTTTCTCTAGCGCCAGAACCTCAAGTATGGGTTGGTTGAGACTGAAACATATATCTAGAGAAATTTGAAGCCGCGAACTCCGGGCTGCCGCAATTTTGCATACGACGCTCACCGGGGTCTGGGGGGAGACTGCCGTGACTGGCGGCTCTAGAGAGAGACGAACCGTAAGGTCCCGGTCGGCTTTCCGTCTTAGCGTGCTGCGGGTGGTGGGGTGATCTTCGTTCGCGATGATGATCCACCCCTATCCAAACTCGAGTTGGTTCCCTCTCCTTTTCGGTCCTTAGCGGGAACAAAGTTGTGGAAAAGTTGTGGGGGGCTGGTGGACTTACGCGTCTCAGGATGCGATATGGACTGGCACAACTGGAAAGGAGAAAGGGTGCGGGAACGCGGTTGGTGAACTGAAACAAGGAACAATAAGCCTGTCAACCTGTCTGTGTGTCTATTTTGGGCTGAGCTCTCCAGAATATATTTGGGTCGACGGATCCCCCATGAATCTCATAATTCCTTTGCTTTTGCTTGATTCGGTAATCAAGACTTGCAAAGTTGCATCGTCGGATTAACCAATTTTCAAAATGCGATTAGTAACTCAAATCCCGAAGGAGGATAACATTAGCTTTGCTCTTTTTGCACCCGAACCCCTTACTTCCACTCTTGCTAAGCCACTTCCTTCGAGAAATAAACTGGGAACAACAACGCCGAGAATCTACGAAACATAGTCCTTGCCCAGCGAAGGCTACATGCATCCCATGGCTGGACGTTTGAGTTACTTCAATTGCAAACCGATCGTAATTTCTTCAATCACTCCGAGCTGAGGCCATGGAACTTTTGACCGCTAGTTCAGCTTGGACCTTGGTCACAACGCGGTTATACCAAGTGTTCTGGACACCAACGTTGCCGTAGTCGGGAGCTTTGAGATTGAAAGGTGTAGAAAAGGCTACAGACACGAAAGTCATAAGCAGAACGTCAAACTTTCATTACCAGGAAAGTGATGTGGTAACCATCGAATTCGGTACGTGGAGTGGAGCCGATGACTTGAATGATCTCTGCACTGAGCGTGAGGTACCTTGGGTCCTATGAAGACGTGAGCTCATGCGCTCGTTATCTCATGTAATCACCTATGAACAATTTTGGGATGTAGAGCAGAAGTAGGAAAAGACCGAAGATGGATGTACTGACGCCATCCATCAGCTGGTGGGAAACACCGAAGCTCATCTATCCTGTCCGATCATTCACAATGGGGCCGAGGAGGTTCCTGACAGCTGCTAATTACTTATGGCAAGTTTACAACTTCCTCAACAGTTGTAAAGCGTCAGTTTAGGCGAACAGCCCCGTCTGTGGCAGAACAGTATACTGCAAACGTTCAATACTCGACCAAGTTCGTCCCGAAGTCCTGAATTGTTGATAAGCCAAAGACGTAATACGTCAGGGTTATGCAGGGACAAGTCTGGGCAACAATGCTTTGTCAGAGTAGGTAAGAAAGGCCGCTATCATCTCGGTAAACCACATAAGAACTAAGAAGATCGGGCTCATGATCTTCAGAAAGACAAAGTTCTGCGATTTGAAAGCTTGTGGGCGAAGGGGCTCAACTTGTGTTCAGGGACCAGTTTTAAGTTTAATCAAGGTAATTCGCGAGTCTTATGGCACAAAAGCGCGAGGTCGTTTATCATTATTCTTCAGTTTACTGGTGTTACATCAAGTCAATTTCTCTTTCATGATGTCAGATGAACAGGCCCAATATCAAGCATCAACTCATCTCTTGAGTCAGGAAGTACGGTTCCCCAAACACACGTTCCTTCCAACGACATGCCAAAATAGTAGAATCGTGAGTGAAACGAGCGAATGAATGGCACGCAATCCCATTTTGTCTAAACCTCCATCCTCTCCAGAGTCTTCGCATCACTCTCCTCCCACGGGTAAGTTTCCTCAATAGAGCGAATCAGCTTCTCGTGCTCCGCGGATCGAGGCTTGATGGAGATATCAAATGGATGCGGGTGGCTGATGACGCCAGTGGCAAACTTGATGGCCGGCTCAATGACCTTGCCGTCGACGATAGGCTTCGTGAAGTCATACACGGCAAGTGACTGAGCGATGTTGAGGAAGATGGAGTTATCGGCGAGGATGCGGCCGGGGCAAATTCGGCGGCCGAACCCGAAGACGAACTTGTGAGGGTCTGTCTCAGGTTCATGGCCGTCTGTGTGGAGGAAGCGCTCGGGTTTGAAGTTCATCGGGTCAGGGTACCTCTCTGGGTCATGGGTGAACCACCTGCAGACTTGCCTTAGCCACTGCGAACATCTACCTTAACAGCTTGACAGACTCACCAGATATTGGGAAGCACCATGGCTCCTTTTGGAATGAAATAACCTTCGAAGACGTCGTCCTCCGTACTAGAATGGGGTAGGCCCATAGGCCCAATCGGGTGCCAGCGCATGATTTCTTTTACGAGGGCCTCGATGTAAGGAAGATGCTCCCGATCCTTGATAGTCGGCAGCCTTCCACTACCAACAACTCTGTCAATCTCTTCTTGAGCCTTCTTCTGGATATCGGGGTACACCATCATCGCCAAGAAGAAGGATGCGACTGTCGATACAGTCTATAAGAGGTTCAGTATGCAGCATTCATAAAAGCATGGTACTTCAAAAGGTTTGGGTCGAATAGCTCACCGTGTCCGCACCGCCTCCAAAAACAGCCAGCGCCGAGTGTTTGTGGTTATGTTGTTCGAAGGACGATTGCTCAGCGGAGTCGAGAAGATTGGCCAGATACGACGAGTTATCCTTGCCTTGAGCTATTTGATGCTGGACGAAAGCATACGGCTTATCTCTCGTCTGCTCCATCTGAGCTCTCCATTCCTTTGCAAGTTGTTTGAAACCTGTCCCGGGGATCCAGCTGGGTAGATATCGCACTGCTAGGTATTAGAACAGGCGCTATCTCGGACAAATGCATGGTATGATTAATACTGACGGAAGGGGAAAACATCAACTAAAAAGGCACCTGGCGTAGCACCCGCCGAGAAGTTGTCCATGGTTTCGGTAATCATCTCGAGGAAAGGATCTTTCTTGAACTGTTCCGCCGTGTAGCCGTACGTAATTTTTACAATGAGGGAGCCAGCTTCTCTACAGAACTTCGTTAGCGACCTTCTACTCGGAGGCTTCTGAATTGATGTATCCTTTGAAATTTCGCTTACTTTTTGATGTGTTCTACAAAGTTTTGCGGGTCATCTAGCAGATGCAGAAGGAGATGTCCAACTTCAGCTTCTTGCCAATCGTTGTATTTCGCCGCGGCTACCTTTGAGCCAAGAATGCGGCCCATAGCCTTACGCTGTGCGCGGAACCGCTCGTCATAGACGGCCATGCCAGTGAGGTGTTCCAGGCCGACCCTTTCTTTCTGTCAGAGGTTGCCACAGTCCCGCAATACGCTTGAGATTCGCATACATTTCACCAATAAAGGTCTGTGATGGTCTTGAGGAATGCTTTAGTGAGCGCTTGTCCAGGAGATCGAAAGCAAGTTGTGGATCGCTAAGAATCACAACAGTTTGACCCATGGTTGTGATTGAACTGATGGGACCTAACGCAATAAAGTCAGCTTCGTCTTCCACATCGCAAAATGCCCTTCCACGATGCTGAATAGCATGCCACCAAAGCTCAATGCTAGAACTGACCATATAGCTCCTTGTGCTTCAACCAGTGGACATATTCCAGTTCGCCAGCTTTGGGCAGATCATTCACGTTGCCCACAATCGGCAAACCCTTGGGGCCGGGGGGTAGCGGGGGTCGCCCGTCATTCTTCAACTTGTTCAAGACTCTCTCAACAACAAAAGAGACGAGCAGGAGGCCGACGAAGCCGACTGAGAGAGAAAAAATTTCCATCTTCGCCTGACTCCAGATGACAGAAGAATAGCAATAGTTTGGGGGAATTCCCTGCAGTCAGCAACTTGTGCGCATTTGCATCTTAAATACGGTTCTTGCAACAAGCCCCATGGACACTAGATCGGCCAGGTTATCTGGTACGCGAGTTGCAATTGCCAGCATTACCACTTAGTCAGTCCGAAGAGTGAGCACTAATGAACCTCGCCAACTCGATTTGGCAGTCAAAGGTTACAGATTCAACTCCATCCCGGCCCGCGATGCAACATCTCTCTGACTGCTTGCGGAGTCCATCCCACCTTGCTTCGACCTTATTTGCTGGGTGACGAGACACACTCCGGGCGCAGGCCTGCAATAGGGCTAATGTGATGGGTAATGCCTAGACATTGATTCAAAAGCAACTACGGTGCCCCGTGGGGATCTGCGCTACTCTCGGCGAATCACTAGGCTCGGATAGCTAATTAGGTATGGCTGGTTGTGCAATTCTCATGCCATTGTCAAGGGCTTCCGCATGCTATTCTGACGTTGCATCCACTGCACACGAAGGTGACAAGGTCAGATTCGCGTAGCACAGAGGGGAACCCTGAAGACTCCATTCTCAGTGGTTTGCGAGACCTGTGGATACATGTAAGCTCGGCATCGATGTTTCAACCACCCCAAACTTTCTGGCACACTTGCCGACAGAATCGAGATGCTGTTGACCTTTGACACGCTATGATCACGCATGTGTTTTCATATGGATGCAGAACTACATGTAGGAACTTCGAAATAGTTTGGATGAAATGACATGAATAAATCAAGTCAATAGTAAGTGCATGCACTAAGGATCAGCGGTCTTCCAAAGTAGACGGTCGCGACCGGTATAGAATGCGAAGCCAAGCTACCTAGGTACGTCTCCCGCATCCATGCATACTCGTTGATTATTATTAGATTGTTTTAATAATAGGCAGTGATCTTTGTCATCGATTTGTTGCTTCTGGTTTGACTGCAGAGGCTTTATTCGTTTTCATTATTAAGTTATCTCACATCGCAAGAAATGTCAAGACGTGCATTTCCCGCCGACATGGGCATGTGAAGTCTGACTAAGTCCATCAATGGTGAAGAAGCTAACGCGACAGAACAGTCAAGAGATAGAGATAATACGGGTCTGACGAGAGCGACGACGGCGTTAGCAACTACAGTGTCTCTGATGATTGGGCCAGTCACGAGGCCCTATCATGCACAAGGTAGTCGAGGCTTCTCAGCGGCACCAACAGTGGCTGTAATTGAGGATGCACACAAAGCACCAGATAATGCTTTCAAGCAACGCAATACTATGATCTAAACAATCCGACGATGGCTCTGCAACATCTGACATTCCCCGAAAGGCTAAGAAGGCTGTGGATCGACGCTATCTGCATCAATCAGCAGCACATGCCACAACGACGAAGGCAACCGCCAGGTACGACGTACCTGAGCGATCTTCGAGCAGGCCTCCGAAATGATCAACTTTCTCCGCCCCGATGACCACACCGGTGGAAAGGCCATTCGGAGCTTGCGTCAACTTATCGGTCAGGTCTGAGTTCTGAGGAGCTCAGGAGCAAAACACTCGAATGGACACGAGTGCTTCACTGCTTTCTCCTAGCCTTCAGGAATTTTACGTTATTTTCTTTGAAACATCGAGAAATACGAGCTGTTTAGAGAAGAGATGGATTCGGAACTGCCGATTCGCTGGAGAACTGTAGTTGAAGTCTTTGGCTTTACAGCCGAAACCATCCCCCAGCAGTTCAACTGATGAATGAGTATCATTTGACTATTATACTTTACCTCATCAATGATGATGTAATCTCACATCAATTATTGACTAATTTCTTCAAGTCAACATCCCCAGGCTTGCACAATTTACTCGCTGGTCGCTCGAAGATATCAGTGAGCCCAGGATACCCAGCGTACCAACACGTACACGTTTCCTTGAAGCTCTTGTCTTTTGTATCTGTGTCTTTGCACTGAACCTCTCCTCGATCCTTAGACAACTCGTCATCAGTGAAAGGACTATCCGTGGCGGAGACCATACGGTATACCCGGCACCCTTCAACCAGCCTGCCCCCTTTCTTTGCAGTGATGGTATCCGTTCCACAGCCGTTCAGTATGGTTAGGAAGCGGCTCTTGCAATAGTCTCGCTTCTCCTCAGCGGTATTCCTGAGGGTAAATCGGAAGAACCCTAAGCAAGATTCGTGAATAAACATGAGCAATAGCCATATCCGCAGGCCGGCGCCGTAACCCACTCCCATAGCCGGAGTTTTTGGGCGGCCATCACTCGTGTGCGTAAGTCCGAATGAGATGAAAGGAGCGAAGATGTAATACAAGAAACCCTGCTGGCTGCAGAATCCATGAATGTATCTTTCAGCTAATGGCTGGGCAAATGCTGCACCATCGTAGGTACATTCGGGATTTGGAATATCGTAGTGAGGCGGCGTAGACCTGGTTTCTGGTGGATTCCTTGGAATAATCGCAGTTCGATCGGTCGCGGCCGGTCCCTCGAGGAAGTTGACAACGCTGGTCACAGGAAGATCCGCGCCGTGGTTGTGAGCACCAGGTGCTGCCCAAGCTGGAACAGCCGTACAACATAGTAGAATGAGAGAAGAAAAGATCGTGTTAATGGGGTCCAGCGAGGTATCATTAGTATAGAAAGATATGCCACTTGGCATGGTGAGTAGAATTAACTTTGCAGACTCGAGGTAAGAGAATACGTATCTTATAGCCTCCATGCAAACCTCATCGTTGTCTTTCATGGCTATGTTCGGTAGTTCTCAGTATCAAAGAGCCACATCGGAGCCATTTTCAATACGACTTCTACCATGGCCTATGTCCCTTCTTTGGGGCCACCATGATGTTATAGAACGGGCATGTGAGGGTACGAAATCACGTTCTCCTTTGATGAAATATAAGCTCGACTTACCTAAGTTCTGTCTGTTAGTATTAGCGGAAGTTTTCCAGCGGGAGACAAAGGTTTGTGAACAAACGTCGTTATCTCAACGTTGGCAAGCAAGCATCGGTGGACAAACGCTCATGAACAAGTTTGTTCGACTTGAAACCTTCTTTAATCCTGCCGATAGCTCTTGACTGTTCAATCTACAGCTAATGTCTGGCCCTTGTCTCACCCTCACATCAACTTGGCACCAGCATTAACCCTTAGACCCATTGAAGTAAGCCTGACCATCGACTTCGGTCTCGGTCCTCGGCAACTCCTCCTGGCATGGGTTATTCATCTGGAAACCTTCACCGGCATGATTTTAGCCCCGTTGAGTGCGGGTTTCGGCTCCTAAATCCCTTGTGGTGTTGGTTGCTGTGCCGCAGACACGTGCAATGTCCAGCCCACGTGCTCTACGTGTGCCCTGTATTCTGTTGGCTCTATGAGTATTGGGGAAAAAAGTCGCGTCTGCCCATTTCAGTACCCCTCAACCAAGATCCCGGGACCTCCTCCCCAGACTTAAGTATAGGGCATCTCTCGTCTGTGTTTTATCTGTTCGATTACCTGACCCAACACAACCCATAGTTTAACCTATCAAAATTCACATCCGCAATGCGAGCGCCTCTATATTTCATCTTATCGGGCATTTCCGGAGTACTTGTGTTCGTCTGGAGTGTGCTAGGAGTAGCCTTCAGCCTGAATCCTGACTACGGGTAAGTTTTCTTCAGACATCACTAGTAGTCTCACGAAATATCAGATGATTAGGCAATATAGGATAGCTACCACATTTGAGTAGCACCGCGGCCATCTACTATCGCAACAATTCTCTCGTGAGAGTGGGCCCGATAGAGGGCAACCGAGACTACAGGGCCTTCATGCTCAGCAGCAAACCGCCTTCCACTACACCCAACATGGCCATATGCCGCTTCATCCCTTCAAGCCTCCAAGGAACTTTCAATATTTGCACCCCGCCAGCTGCCATTGCCGACACCGAGATCCTCCTACGCGCTCTTCAGTCTTCCGTGGCTGCACACCTGGGCACATCGTTCTGCTATGCAGAGCTGATACTGCACGATCCATCTCAAGGGGACTGGTATCAGCGGGATGTCGTGCAGGAATCGCTGAACCGCATCGGCCTCCGTCAAGCCATGAAGGGCGTGCCGGTCCTGCCGACTTCCAGTCTCGCTGTTTATGCCAACATCCAATTCCCAATTGCCAGGACAGACATGCCTCAAGCGGCGCTGTCGATCGAATTCAGTCGTTGGGGGATGAGCGCCGCGGTTTTCTGCGTGGACCAGCTGGTTCCTGAGGAGCAGCGTCGTGAAACCATTACATTCTCCGACAAGAAGAGCGCGAGCGGCTTAGAAGACAGCCCAGAAGAGGATGCCGCAAGGCAGACGGAAGCGAGCGAGGCGCTGCGCCATATCTCCACACCACCCCTGGAATCGTGCTCTGGTGTTGGCGACATGCCGGATGAGATCCAAGTCCTGATCCTCCACGGTGATTCGGTCCGAGATGCTGGCTTCGTGGACTTGTTGATAGACCTCTTCGGGAGTAGGCTGGTTAAAGAGGCTTATGATTTTGATCCTATCCACGCATCTGCGGTGGCAGGAGCAAGAGCATCCCTCGAGAACATGGAACTGATCAATTTGGAAGAGCCTGCTGCCTTCGGATATCGTTGGATGTCCAAGTTGTACCGTGATCGGAACCAAGAGTTGTAGTAATGATTGAGACTGGCGCTTGGCAGGCATGCGATTACACATTATATGAAGATAATCATCGTCGCGACTCTGGTTTTTGAGGAAATCACTTTTGATTTTGTTTCCCCCCTCTGTGATGGAATTAGTAAGGAGGTCTCTTCGATAATCACGGCGCAATCAACAGAGAAGTACGTGAACTTACAACACAGACAGCGTGACATCGCCCTTGATCTTTGCTTTAAGATCAATGTCGACGTCCAAGTTCATATCCAGCTTCACCGAAGGCGCTCCACTGCTGCTTTTAGTCTGCACTTGTCGATTTTGTTGGTTCTGGGGTGCAACCTGCTGTTGCCCAACTTGTCCGTGTTGCTTGGCTGGATCATGTCGCTGACTCCTTGATCTTCGCGTAACGTACTTGAATCCATCGTGTTGCGTGCTAGATTCCGACGTGGATGCTGAAACATCAGGATTTAACCTCGGAGTTTCCTTCTCAATCTTCTCTTCGGTCTCGGTCTTGTGCGTGGGTGCTTCCTTATGCGACTGCCGCCGTGCTGGTTGTCTACGACTCTCTCGATCCATCTGATCTGCCTCGCTGTACAGTGGCGCCAGATCTGGCTTATTCTCGCTGGCTTGTGCTGGCATATTGAGCTAGGACGAGGTCTGAATTATTGATGTGTGTGCGTTGTCCTGAGATCTTGCGGTTCTCTAAGCCAGAGTCGTTTCGAGCTTCTGTGTGCGTTGCAAGTTGATGGTTAACATTTAAACTCATTTACTCGTAGACAAGGCATGTAGTCTGCCGCCTAAAGTTCTAGAATGTACATAGGATGACGTAGCCCCGCGAAGCTTGCCCATCATTCGTAGTTGAGCCGCGTGGGGACGTGTCGACTGAGGCCCATGTCGTCATGACATCACTCTCCCCTCTCGAAATTCGTCGCGGGGAACTGGAGCTGACACTTATGAAGCCCAAGAATATGCGGCATCCGAGCTCACCTAGGGCAAGTGGTGTTAACAAAGTTCGAACCGCGTCTTTCAGACTACCTACTTGACGTTGGACTTTTAGAGTTCCTACACACGTGTTATGAGAATTCAAAGAGCGTTGGTACGGGTGTCGGTCGGAGTGGGGCCACTGGACCGGAATGCAACTGGGGAGGACCGCCCGTCACGCACCCCGGCCTGGGAGCTCCCGGGATCCCTCGTGCACTTATAAGTTGAAGCCTCTTTCAGGATCACGGATCCTTCGTACGTGGGCTTGGGGTGCAATGCTTTTGATCTTATCTGAGCAGAAAGTTGTAATCCTACCTATCTCCTTACGACAAGGCGAATAACTCCCCACTGATTGAACAGCCGAAGTTGAGATGGAGCCAACGATCCCAAGCTACATAGTCGACATGGCTCAGTTTGTACAGGCTAAGTGTTTCTCGGGCCAACTTGACTTTTCCTGGACGCTCTTCTCCTCATCTATTGCCAGTGTGTCGATGCGCAACAGACCCGACAAAGGGGCAATCTTCACGCCTGGCAGGTGAGAACTGATCGGCATTCCGCAAATTATCATCTCGCTCCTCATTACAGGACAGCGTGCATGGAAAGTTCATTCAAGTGAAATACCATTTCCTTCGTCGTCAGATTTACGAGCTCGCCGAGACAAGATTTCTTACATCGATCCGAATTTGTGGACCTCGAAGCTGATAGCGTAGATAGCAAAATCAGCAACATCTTGGAATACTTGTCTCTATAGCCGAGGTCTGCGACGCTCCAGACCATCAGACCTAAGATACAAGTCTGTCGCCTGAAATCTGCGTTTCAGCAAGGGATGAACAAAGCTGCCCTCTGAACGAGAGAGCTCTGAGCCATGTTTAACGCTCAAGCAATCGCAGCCCCGACAGACTTCGGCTAATAAGATCAAAAGATGCTGGGACACAACCATGAACGTAGTGAATCTTGACTGCAGGGAAAGCTCATTTTTCTTCAGTATGTAGATTGATGCTGTAGGAAAGCTAGCCTTTCTGTCTCGAGCATCGTATACGATCTCATTTCGCTCTACGAAGCTAGGGGCAAGTCTTTCGTGACGGAGGAATATATCTCAAACAATGTAAAGACGCGTAACGCGGGATTATCACGGCGTGTGATGGTTGCATAGAGCATACTATGGAAAAGATCTTTGGTAACGTTGGATGGACCGTTGAAGTTGCAGCAGTCGGGTCTCGAATCATTGAAAGACCCGATGTGCCATCTGGCTACGTGATGACATGGCCTTTATTGGCAGTCAGCCACGGAGGTAATTGCCGGAATTGAGGTTCCGATTATGAAATTGTTGTCAGACAGTCATAGTTGTCAGCATTCACCCTCACGATAGTCTACCTGATGGTGGGCCGATGTCGCAAGTAGGCACGGTAACATCCTTGTGCTGCTTGTTGGCTGGCAATGGGCATCCAGGCCTAGTATTATTGGCTCCTCGGTGGCTCTTGCGTCGGTGGAAGTCGGAAGAGAGTCTGCACCAAGCAAACTGAGCCTGGCGGCCGAACAACCAAGGTACATTAGGTAGCTCAAGGATCGATGCTAGTGGCGGCCGACTGTGGAATTGTGCAAACTAGACTGCCAGAGAAGAGATTTCCATCCCAACTCAAAGCCCCCTGAAGTACTCACGGGCGGATCATCCCTCAAAGATCTATGGATCGGGGATAGCCCGTTGAGTGAAAAGATGTAGCCTGGAGCTACGAAGGGTGGAAACCGTGGCAATAATGTGGCGCCACTAGTAGAGGTGGTCCTTTTACGGATACGGACGGGTTGGTATGCTTGGCCCAGCAGTTCGGTCGCGTGGTGGGAAACCGGAGTTGCGAAGGGGTCCATTCTCCCACGTTGGAGCCTCGCCGCTCCCATGTAGTCTTGATGTCCCTCAATCAGGATGCCCGTAAGCTTTAAGGGCCGATAGTCGGGTTTCTTGTCCAGCCGCGGCAAGGAAACAGTTGTCGGGATGCGCACTGGGCCGCGACCAAACACTTCTCAAGTCTGAACAATGGATATGTATTGGTAGAAGATGACCAAGAACGAAAGACTCATGCTGGTGAATGGGACTCGATTGCAACGCGGCAGCATCGGAATGGGAAGTTTGCGCCAAGAGCAACTCTAAATATGGTGACAGCACGGGATGGAGAGTTGCATATTGGAAGCCATGGCCAAGGCTGGGCAACTGGGTCATTTTTGGCCGTGAAGCTGGCAGAATGCTACATAGATCGGACCGCGATGCAACAGTGGTGGCCCCAGGTACGCGGATTCAAGCAAGCAAGTACGCAAGCAAGCTGGCAGGCTGGCAGCGCGCGTCCAGCCCAGGATGGAGATATCGTTGTCCTCCAGCCCTATGTTGCAGAGTGGGACTTCCGCGGAAGAAGGCAATCGGAATGAGCAATCGTAGGCTGTTGTGCTGGGGCTTGGGAGCGGTGAGGTGACGGGGTGACAGGCCGAAGAGTCGAGAGAATAGAATCGTTGTGTCACCGGGCCACGAGATGGGAATAGGTGCAAGATGGAAGTGCCAATCGAGGCGATATCATTCCTCAGGCAGCAAGATGATCTGATAAGATTGTAAAAGCGGGGCGGCATCAGATAAAAATTTGCTTCGGCGCCATTGGAACGGCCCCACATTCTAAAATGACACCACAGGCGACGGACCAACCAATGGCCAGCATTTGAGGACCTCCTTCCCAGTAAACGGGTGGGCAAGAGTGGGGTTCTTTCGGTTCCTTCTGCCTTGGTGTTGTTGTTCCTGCCGACCTGAAGATATTACTTCCTGGCACGGTTGGCACGCTGCCTTTGTTGGCATCCACGCATCATTCCTTCCTTCCCGTTCCCGACCAAACCGTTCTCCAGTCGGGCGTGGCAGGCACCATGGGTGTGTCAAAGGCAGTGGCACCTTCCAGGTTGCTAAAGTGGAAGGAGTGACATGTTTGATGTACTCGTCTCCACTTTCCCTCCGCTCACTGTGCACTTGCGTTGAGTGACTGCCTGTTTCTCTCCTTTGCACCTCGGCCCTGGTCATGCTTGAAGTCAAGCTTTCTTCATTCTTAATTCTCTCGCCGAATCGCGACAAATTGTCCGGCGGCGAGGACGACCATCGGGTCCCGCTTCCTGGAGGGCAAAAGAACTTCTGTATCTCCCCGATAGCCTACGATGTCTCTCGAGTCCAGAGTATGATCCCTAATCGACCCGACTTGATCGATGAATGTGGTTCCGGAGAGAAAGAAGTACAATGACACAGGTCGATACACTAGACGGCCCAACGATTCATGTAAGGCAACAAACGCAAACATCTCGCGACTAATAATCCTACTTCCACCACCCGCCGGACTTTGCCCCTCGGGTCTCGCCACCGGCAGAACAGCTTGAAACGCTCATCGCGCGACGATCTCTACCTCCAAGATCTGCTAGCACAGCTTCTGCCTCATCCCGCGGATGCGTGCTTTAAGACATTCGACAGATACTCAGGACCGCGCGAAGTGGTTTCCGGCCAATCTGGCATGTGAGCCCCTCCGCCGCCGCCAAGATGCGACGACTAGTGAACCGACTCTGGTAGCCGAGCTGCAGCTAGAGGTTTTTTTGTCGCGTCGGCTCACTTGACTGCGACCCCACCACCGACTCACACAACTGTCGCCTGCGCGATCCTGTGCAGCCGCCTGTTCTGCCCGTCGGAACCCAAGGTCCCAAGCAAAGAATACAACCTAGAACCCTTCCCTTCTGAACGTCTTCCAGGGGATGGCTTACCTGGATCTCCACATGGTCCGAGTCGCCCAACGATCCGGGCCAAGTCAGCTCGGGTAACCTGGACGCCATTTTGTAATTCTGTGCCCACGATTTCCCGTAAAAGCTGCGACCGAGCCAACCCGAGCTGTTCGAGTGGATTGCTGGCCAGCTTTTCCCTGCCTTGGGCTTTTCTAACACTCTCTCCCGCGCGGGCAAAGTCACTCTCGGCCACCGCTGGCTCTTACATCCCGTGGATCTCTCCACCACCCAAGAATCCACTCGGGGTTAAAGGTTCTTTTGCTCTTGTTTGACACACAACTACACGGACAAAGTGGTGCTAGTCCTGCATGAGGGTGGAGAGCTAGCTCTGACCTTACACTAGTGGTGGCACCCGTCAACCATCCTTTGCCTTGCCTTCGCCGAGCCGATGGCGGTTGCACGACTATTCAGCCAGGTCGCGCAGCTTTTGGCGTGTAATACTTAGACCAAGTCTCTGCCCGTCCTGCTAAGGCTCTTGTGTCCCGGAACCAAGCTCTCTTCGACAAAAGGAGACAACCGTTTTTGTTGCTCTTGACGCCTCTGAACCTGGCCGCTGCCGATATCAACCGCCAGCATAGCCAGACGTACGAACGACATAATCATGGGCTTGTTTTCCAAAAAAGCTCCTGTTGAGGAGCAGGTGGCTGCTGAACCTACTGGAGCTCCCCATTACGACGAGAAGACGACGGGCGAGCATCCCGGCGATAGATCAAGCGATGACGAGCCAATTTCAAAGAACCTTCAGGCCGGTGTCGCCAAGGTCGAGGCCATGACAACCGTCTGGACCAAGCGCGATCTTATCATTGCCTACATCCTGTAAGTAAACTCTGTACTGCCCAGTTAGGGACTGGCAGATCTCCGGACGATAGCTGACTGGCCGTGAAGCATCTGGCTGTTCTATGTTGTCACCTCTATCCAAGAGGTCTCGATGCGCGTCCTCTCCCCCTTTGTCACCAGCTCTTTCGCCATGCACTCCTTGACAGCCACTACTGGCGTCATGTCCACCCTCATTGCCGGACTGATTAAGTTGCCGCTTGCCAAGATTCTCGACACATGGGGCCGTCCTCAAGGTCTCGGTATAATGCTCATCTGCTGGATTCTCGGCTTCATCATGATGGCTGCTTGCAATGGCGTTGAGACATATGCCGCTGCGCAGGTTTTCTACTCTGTCGGGTAAGCTCTGAGCCCCAAAGATTATTAATTCCCCATTTTCGACAAAGTCTAATCTCCTTCAGATCCCAGGGTATTTCCTACTGTATTACCATCTTCATCGCCGATACCTCTACTCTGAAGAGCAGAGCCCTGATGCTCTCGTTCGCAACGACACCCTACATCTTCATTACCTGGGCAGCTGGCCCCATTACCGACAGTATCCTTAGAGAGGACGGCATCGGCTGGCGTTGGGGTCTTGGCATGTGGGCTATCGTTGCCCCCGTCGTCATCGGACCCCTTGTTCTCCTTTTCCTCTGGAACCAGCACAAGGCGAAGAAGATGGGTGTCATCGATAGCCGCGGATCCATCAAAAACATCTCTGGCGCCAAGGTTCTCAAGTTCCTTATTGATGTCGATGCTCTCGGTATCCTGATTCTCGCTACCGGCATGGCCCTGTTCTTGCTGCCGTTCAACATCTACTCCTACCAGTCCGACGGCTGGCGCTCTCCCATGATTATCGCCTTCATCATTGTCGGTTTCTTCTTGATCATCGGCTTTGTTGTCTATGAGAAGTTCTTCGCCCCCGTCACCTTCATCCCCTTTTCGCTCCTGATGGACAGGACCGTCTTCTTTGGTGGCATGATGTTCGTCTTCGTCTTCTTCAACTCTGCTGTCTGGGGATCCTTCTTTACCTCCATGCTCATGGTTGTCTGGAATACGTCCACCTCTCAGACCACCTACATTAGCAACATTTACCGCACGGGCTCCTGCTTCTTCTCCATCATCATCTCCTGGCTCATCTACCGCACCGGACGCTTTAAGCCATTCGCCCTGTTCTTCTGTATCCCTCTCATGATGCTCGGTGTCGGTCTCATGATCCACTTCCGCCAGCCTGACCAACCCCTCGGCTACATCATCATGACCCAGATCTTTGGTAGGTTACTTGACCCTAAAGCTATTCACATTCATTGCTAACATCACGTACAGTCGCATTTGCCGGTGGACCTACTGTCATCTGTGGAGAAATGGCCATGCTTAGCCCCTCCGATCATGCACACGTTGCCGTCATCATGGCCATCCTGGACCTCTTTGGTAGCATCGGCTCCACCGTCGGTTACACCGTTGCCACTGCCATCTGGACCGGTACTTTCAGAAAGAACATTGCCAAGTACACCCCTGCTGGCACTCCCGTCGACACCATCTACGGCGACATCTACCAGCAGCTTAGCTATGAGGTCGGTACTCCTGAGCGCATGGGCATCCAGCGTGCCTACGGTGACTCGCAACGCATCATGCTCATCACGAGTATCTGCCTGTTGGTTGGTGCTCTCGGCTCCGTTGCCATGTGGCGCAACCTCAACGTCAAGAAGATTAAGCAAGTGCGTGGAAATGTTGTTTAAAGAGTGGTTGATTATGATGATACCCCGCGTAGGCTTGCTCTATGACATAAAAGCGATTTCTTCATGTAGTTGATTCACAACTAGGGTTACCAATTTTCGTGCTATTCATTGATTTTAATTCACCAGGCATATAGTATGCCATCTAATAAACTTGGTTTCACAATCCACTCTGACTGTCGGATATCTTTTCCTTTCTTGGATGAGCCTAAGGCATAAAAGCTTAAAGATTGTCTTGCTATTTGCCTAGTTCTGGATGTCAAACTCGAATTTCCCGACGCCCTCAACTGTCTTTATGAAGATCCTTCCTCATCACGCCTTTCAAGCTCTCCTCCGAGATCTTAATGTACTTATCAGGCGAGACACTATCCTCAAAAGGCACTCTTAACCACTCATCCGCCTGCGCAATCTTACCCCCCTTCAACTTCAGATCAATGACACCCGAATACTCAAACGTCAACCCCGTCGCCTTCCGCCGCCCCAAGTCGTTTACAAAAACCCCCTTGTTGATAGTGCGGAAGCTGCAGTACCCGTTGCCGTTGTCATCCATCTCGGCCCAGTAGACGGGGTACTGCTTGTCGAGGTAGACTTCAAAGTCCTTGTGCGCGCCGTTCCAGTGTTTGTGGTGGCGCTCGAGGAAGGCGAAGGGGACGTGGATCTGGGCTCCGTGGTCTGTCATGAAGGAGTCCGGAGTGAAGAGGGCTAGGAGGGGGGAAGGGTCGCGGGCGGCCCAGGCGTGGCAGTAGATTGTGGGGAGGGATTCGAGGTCTTTCGGGGGTGTATTGGACATTTTTCTTGCGATTGATAACTTGGATATTTGAGTCGACGGGATTAGAGTTTATTCTTGGGGAGAAGATATATTTGGGCATAGATGGCTAGACAGGAGACTTAGGGTTACTTGACAGAACCGTGTCTGACTTTTCTTTTTTCCTTTACGAGCAGGAACGAACCCATTTTTATCATCGTTCAAAAACGCAGGCTGGTGGCGGGATGATGGTTGGGGAATTTCCGTCATGAATGTGATTGAAGATGGAATGAAACCGGAGGCGTGATGCTGATCGGACGAAGAACGGGTGTGACGTGATAGGTTCCATGCGGTTTGCCGGGGGCACGGGGCGGAAGTCTCGGAGATATGTAGGGAATGGGACCGGGATAAGGAAGTATATTTCCTGCCCAATCTTACATCCTCGATGGAGGGTAGCGTGCTCTCCTCACTGGTTTCGTTCTGGTTGATCTACCACGCGGACGCAGTCGCGAGGTTCTAGCTCGAGGTAACGCCAGATACTTACCACTATCTTCTCTCACTCGATGGGCACTTCTCGCATCTTAAATCGAGGCAAACAACAGGGAGACAGGCTCAGGTCCTGATATCACTGGCATATAACCATCGGATTGGCAGTACCCCATCTATCGCGGCATGACGTTAGGACATCCATCTCTAGTCTTTATCTAATTCGAAAAAATTTCTGGATAACATATTATGTCGTGGGAATAAGGGCTTGAGGATCAGATTATGCTTTGATTCGGTGTTACCCCTCACGAGAATACGTACCTTTGTACTGACGTCTTGCAGCGATAGATAGGATACTGTAGTCATCTCGCGCTGTATAGGATATGTTCTTACGCTTCTCTGCCCAAGACCACTATGTCCTGAAGCGCAATCCATGCAGTGACCTGCGGCGCGATAAGAAGTTGCTTAGAAAAGCTGTCTGAGTAATGCAAGAAAAAGCACAATGTGATGTTGCAGCCGTGCGAGTAGCTGACGAGAATCGGAGGTACTCCAGATCCTTGGTCATAGTTCTGGCGTTCGCTGTTGATGAGTGTGGTTCGCTTGAGTCGTCGTCGCTACGAAGCAGCTACTCCCTTCATCGTCGTATCCGTGGTTGTGATATGACCATCAACTATTCTCATGGAATGGCCTATGTTCTTGTAGAAAGTGCTCACCTGCCTGGCTGGAAACCAAGTCTCAAAACAGTCCGCTGTTATGTTGAATCCATCATGGCGTGCCAAGTAATGTAAGGTCTCTCGTCATCGCTAGTTGTACAGAGCGCTCAAAATCATGTCAGGTATGACTTGTTTCTCTCGCTCGATTTCGAACAGTTGACCGAGTATCTCAACGCTGGAGTGGTGATTCGTGGCAGCCGCGTAAAAAGCCCCTTCAGGGATCTTGAGACCACGATGTTTCGCCTAGAGAACCTCCACAATATCCGGGCCAAAGCATAGGTTTCCAGCCGCCACAGCTAACGCATGTCCGGTGACTTTGACATCTGGGTTCGTCTCATGAAGGAGGCCTAGAACTTCCACGGCACCACGTGACCTGGAACAGGCCTTTTCCACCATCTCCTCCGTTATGGGATGATCACCACGCCTATCGAGAAGGATCTCCAAAATTTCTGTGCCAAAACCATCGCTCTCGATAACAAGATGTATTACCTGATTAGAGGGTACTGAGCTGTCTTTAGATCCGAGAAGGCGCCGGAACTACTTGCGTCATCGCGACTTGAAGATGTCCGGGTTCGTTTCAACCACATCCCTTACTTGGAAGCGCCCTAACGTGTGGAAAATGTGAATATCGTGATAAAGCTGGCAAAGATTTGATGGACGCAACAAACCCCGCGCATCACGTGTACATGCTCCAGCCAGATTCGTATTCTGAGATCCACTGCTACAGGTGCTGCGTCAATCTCATGCACTGGTGCACTTCCTCGCCATTTGGCGGTTAGCCCACAGCCAATTGACTTTGTTGCTGGGAATATATATGTTTTCGGCCGGAATCCGAAAGCTGAAAACCACACCACACCTCAACGACAACCAATCATGTGATGACTTTTAGTTAAGGTCGCCTAGGTCTCCCGACCAAGGCGGCATGCGTATCAGTGGCACAATTAATGGTCGTGCAGCACTCTGAACTTCGTCTTCTACCTTAATGAAGTGGATTGCTACATTGCCTTGGAAGCTGGTTCTGCAATACTTGACAATAGTTATCTCTTGATCAGGCAGTGAATAACCAGATTTCGAGGCTGTATCATTGTCAAATACTGTTCGCTCTACCTCTCACTACAAGGATTTCAGTCATACGCAAGCAGCTACTATTACTCAGTAGTGCAAATTCTTGTTGACCACATTGATAAGAGGCTTGCCAGCATCTATCCGCTCCAGGTTGGCCTCCAGTACACCCAGAACTCGCTCCCAGTACCCGTCTGTTCTCCAACTAACATGAGGTGTAATGAAAACGTTCGGCGCCTTCCACAGCTGATGATCTTTCGGGAGGGGCTCCGGGTCTGTGACATCTAATGCAGCCGCCCGGATCTTTCCGCTCTCAAGAGCTTCAATGAGGGCGTCTGTCTGGATCAATGGACCTCTGGCTATATTGGAAACGAAAGCTTTGCGTTTTGACAGGATCTCGAATTGCTCTTTGCCGAGGAGTCCTTTGGTTTCTTCGGTGAGAGGCAAACCGAGTACCAATAGGTCGAGGTCTTGACTCAAAAATTTGTTAATGGCCTCTTTGGATGCACCATGGAACCACTTGGCAGGCACCAGTCCGTCGGGATCTCCAGTACCGGGAACGCAGTAGCTGTCATCTTTGCGGGACTCGGGCGTTGCACGCTCGCTTCTTGTGTATGCGTACACCTCCATTCCCATTGCTTGCGCAACTTTACCGCACTGGCGACCTATCGCCCCATAACCCAAGACACCCCTGAAGTCGATGCAATCTGATTAGCAACAGCTTATTCCCTTGAGTACCCACGAATGTATTAATTTAGGCTGTGACTTACATGCGGAGTCCGACAGAATCCTCAAAGTCTACTTCCATCGGGCCTTCCCAGAACCCTTCCTTCATGTGGTTGTGATAGCGCTGGAAATGATGCTGATGTGCGAGCCAAGAACCAATGACCCATTCTGCGATCTGCGGCCTACACTCTCTCATATCAATCATCCTAGTCTTTCACAAGAAATTTCACGAGAGGGCAAGTACTCACGGGTGGCAGCCATTCGTAGTACAGAATGAAACATTAGGGTCCTTGTAGACATCGTGGTCGAGCCACCTGTCTGCGCCTGCAGAGGTCAACTGCACAAAGCGCACTTTGGACAAGCGATGAGCTGCCGGTGGATTGAAGGCCATAAAAATCGTTACACCTTCCCAGACGTCATCCGGCAGTTCATCTGGAAGAAGAAAGCCGCCGCCGGGCCTCAAGTTCGACTCCCAGCAGACTTTGAGGCCGGGAAAGCGCTCAGAAATCCTGCTTGTCCATTTCGTATCCTCCGGCGCTGAGAGGAATACCAAAAGCTTGTCTCCTGCCAACGGGCTTTGACTGTTTCCAAGCTCGCCCATCTTGATGACCTTGTCTTTGTTGGGCGTAAAATGCCAAGAATTGGGGACATGTGTATTCTAGTTATTCTCAAGTTTGGTCCGCGGCAAAGTGCCAGTCTATCTCTTCAATTTAACAGTGAGTGCCCACGGCAGAGGGTTTCCGATAACGAATTCGCGTGCTCCAATAGGCTGGAATTAGAAAATGACTGGGTATCAATTAGTAAATCCATCGTTTGTCAGACGTGGGTCCTCGGTGCTCCGCAGACGTCCCGAGACCGGGAAGTATCCGCGATACCGGCTGTTTATCAGCAGCGCAAGGGACCCGGGCCGGCATGATGTTGGACTCACCTATCTGAGAGATAACCAGCGTACAGTCCGGCTGGACTAGGATGGTATGAACCGGATACCTTGCTCAGATCCCGGTACAAATCACTTTTGCTCATAGCATAAACACACGTGTAAAGCTGGCCGCGGAGTAAAGCACGAGTCAGCCCCACTAAGTTTGCCGGAGATCACTTCACTCCAACTGGATGTCCAACTCCTAACATCATCAGGACTCTGCACAATAAATCAGTGAACTAGACATTCTTTTACTACCTATGAGATCTAAGATATAGTGGGTAAGCCCCAAGATAAAGCCACAGGCAGAGTGGTTGCTTTCTCCGCATACCCCAGCTTTCTCGACTGTTGCGGGGTTGCGAGTCTAATATGCCTCAACCCCCGCCAGCCTCAACAACTCTGGAGTGAGCACAGGCTTGTCTAACGGTTCTGATCGTCTATTATCAACGGTCCCGTTCGGCAGAGTTGGTTGGTTCGTCCTCGGAACAATGTTGTCGTGAGGCCAATGAGTCGTAGCCAGCCACTTGCCGAACGCCTCTTTCTTCGCTTCAAGAGCTTCATTCGTTGCGAAAGATGCGGGCGCATACGACACGTAGGTGATGGTCCGTATGGTTTCGCTCTTTTCCGTAGGCTCGGCCCCGAAGTGGATCAATCGCGAGTCCCAGATGATCAAATCTCCCGGTTCCGCGACAACCTTGTGCTCTTGATAGCCTTGCTTTTCGAACCACGAAATTTGCTCAGGCGTGTAATGGAAGAAGTCTTTCCGCGTCCACTCTGACATGTCGGTATGCTCCTTGAAGAAAGACTCTGTAATCTTGTGCGTTCCCGGGTATACCGTCAATCCGCCGTCCTCGGGTCCTGCCTTTGAGAGATTCACTATGCCCTGGACGCACTCTAAGCCCTGTCTGTATGGGCTCTGGTCGACATGCGGCCACTTCTCCCTCGCGGTGTGACCTTGTCGTCTTGGAAGTGTGACGTTGAGGGCATCGAATGAAACGATGAGGTCGCGAGTATTCCACACCTTGGCAAAGACGTCAATGACGCCTGGTTCCTGTCGTATATCCCACATGAACTTCTCGTGCACGACGCCGTAATGGTTCACTGTGTTGATTTCAGAAATGAAAGGCAGGTTCCCAGGAGTCCATGTTGCAGGGTCGGCGAGATCTAAGGCTGAATTGTCGAAGGACTTTAGCCAAGCAAAAGCTTTCTGCTGATACTCCACAGCTTTATCGTGAGGTATAACCGATGGGATGACCGAGAAACCTTTCTCGGTGAACTGTCTGTACCAGTCTGGTCTCGCCATCCCTATTTTTGGTACTGTCGCAAGCAACGTATGAGTGATCTGAGAGTGTTGAATTCCCTAAGAAGAACTTTGATTCTTCTTGCGGCAAAGCCTTCGTGCACTGGCAGGTCCTTATCAAGGATTGAGTTGATGTCCTCTAGCGAGCATCAATCAAAGAAGAGCATGTCTTATCTGCGATGGAAATCACGGAAGCCTTGCGAAAAATGAGGTGCTCTCACAGCATCCACTCCCGCTCATTGGGATCTGCCATGGCCGTATTACACCCGGGTACTGCTGCGAGGTCGGCGGCGCTTTAGTGACTGTAGAGCCTCTGTTGATTTGCCAGTGGGAAGCTCTCGAATTGTACAAGAAATCACCAGAATCACCATGCACGTTACCTTACCTATCAGGATCGGGGACTTCGGCATGCAAAAGTCGCTTTTCCGAGCGATTGATCTTTTGACTTGATGCCCTACTATGCTCCTGTCACTCAAGATGAGATGGTCAACATGGAATTTTGAACTAATATACTTGTGCTCAATTCATCAGGTTTAGTTCGTCTGTTAAGCACTTTATCTAGACTAAATTCATCGAAACTTGCAGAAGGTGACGCTTCTCTCTGAAGTCAAACGGAAACGTCTTTCCCCAACTCTTCCTCAGAGAGGATTTCTGTTGGCTTCGCATCGATCGCTCGAACAGCGGAATAAGTCGGAATAAGGGCTAGACCCCATAGACCAAAATTGACACTCGCGGCGGCAATGAGCTTTGACTGGTGTTAGCTTGTTGCTCAAGTATGTTTTTCAGAATAGTCTCATTCGTGACTCCCTTGGGGGATGGAGAGTACGTACTGGGGCATGCGTAGAGCTGATGCCTGACGCCACCGCACCTCCGGCCGCTTCAACGGCTCGAACGGTTGATGTAAATCGGATAATTTCGGCATTATCACGCGCCATGTAGCCAGCAATCCAATACCCGTAATTATATGCCAATGCGCTACAAGTAGTTAATAACCTTGATAAAGGAGTGTAGGTGAGAAGTTAGGTAAGGAGCGCTCACAAGTTAACCTGCAAAAGGATATAAAGTGCCCATCCGCGTCCAAAACCACTGTCAACCCAGTCCAGCGCGGGAGCTTTCAACCCGTATTCTCGCTGAATGACGATTGCCCAGACCCACGTTCCCCCAAATAGGGCCATTATGCCGAAGTAAGCAAGCTTCGCACGCTGGTTAATGGTGAAACGCTTCCAGTCCAAGAAGTTGCCGAAAATGAAGTTGGCAGTGATCTGAGCTAGTGCAGAGACTAGAGATGCTAAAGCACGGGACCGGACGGAGAAGTATAGGGAGAGGTAGGATCCCGCATATGACAGGAGAAATGTTGCGTAGAAGAAAAAGGGGAAACTTTGCATCGGATGCATTGTCAGCGTCTTGAGTCGCGGAGGTGCTATTTAGAGCCCTGGGTCTCCATCTCATCACTTACACCAGCAAGAAGTCCTTGCGAATCAGGATTTTGGCAACAGCTTTCAGTTCCGAGACTGTGGGAATCCGCTCAGCCTTTGCCACCTTTCTTCCATCCTGCCGTTGGACCTTCTCGGGGGGAGATAGAAGCATTGCGACGAACGGACCGAGGCATTCTGGGAATAATCAGATACTGACCGCGATTCCACAAAGAGGCGAGAGACTTACGCAAAGCCACAAAGACGATGTAGGTCCTATAGTCTAGTTTTCCTGTCGTCTTTCCAGTAGCGTCTAAAAGCGAGTCAATAAGATTGACCTTGGACAAAGAGTTGTAGTTTGCTGACTGAATGCAAGGTTGATGGCACCTCCAACGATAGAGCCCCCCTGGAAATCGTCAGCATCGTCGGCTACCTATGGTGCCTTGATTATTTCCATTTCAACAACTCACATTTCGGTACGCCAGCCAATAAGCTAGATATCTTCCTCGTTTCTGGTCTTCCGGATCTGCATGCAAATGTCAGGTACGCCCTAGCAGATCAGGAAGGTTCGGTGACACCTACAACTAATCATGATCGCGCCTTCTGCAGCCCAGAAAACCCCGGCAGTGATACCACAAGCGGCAGAGCCAACGTACACAAACCACTCATTGCCGTAGCGGTTGTTTGTGTAAAGTGACGCTGAGTACAGAGCACTACGTCAGGTTAGCTCTCGTATCTTTTGAATGTTAATTTGAAGGCGGGAGATGACTTACTATCCCGTCGTACCAAAGATCAAGGCATTCTTGAGGCCAATTCTGTTAGCAACCACACTTCCCATGGAACATGTCAAGACCATCATGACCCCCAGAACAGCATTCGCAGACCTATTGAGCTCGGTTAGTCGACATAACAAGTGTTACATGTTATGGCCAAAGACTTACATGACAAGGTAGGGAGTCTGTTGGCCACCTGCACCCGTTGACTGCATAGCATTGTATAGACCCGGGGCAAAGAATGCACAAAGACCGATTACTGTGGCCTGGAAAAAGACGGTCCGGTACCATGTTCGTTTGCCGATGCCGTGTTCTCTGAAATCTGCAACCGTACTCTCGTCAATTGCCGAGTTGGTTTCTAGTGGTTGGGCTTTTGGATCGGCCATGATGCAGATAATGACTTTGATCGTAAGAATGTATGCTCATCAACTGACAACACTTGGTAGATGTCAATTGTGAGACGATAGGTCACAGCTGGCCTTCAATGCTCCTCTGAAACCGACAGGTTTCACGACAATCAAGAATCAACGGGCAACTTGAAGGCTACGTACTTTATAAATCATACAAATCGAGATAAAATATCTTTACCACCCTGGTACTGTTTCCCCGATAGCGGTGGTTGAGTGTGTCGCGATCCAAGTTATCATGGCGTGCTTGCTGTGTCTCCACATTCGACGAGTGCAGAGACAAGCGAAGGATTCTCGGCTGTCACATGAGACTCTGACATCCTTGGCTCAGTAATGTTGCTGAAGCTTCGGAAATGACACACAGAGTCCTTTAGACAAAGGAGGAGAAGGATACATAGGGGCTACAACAATATGTTGAAGCCGGCAGATATCGCATCTCCTCATGGGCATTTGCTAGTCTTTGCTCACATGTTTTATCACACATCACACACAACCAATAGTACTACTTTAGTAGGACCTTAAACAATTGTTGTTGACATGCCCTCAGTCGCGAACTATACAATGCGATCCTGATGAAGTGCCAGGTGAAACTACAATCTCCCCAAGGAAAAGCTTCATTTGAAAGCTTGAGCCTCTTGATTTGTATAAGTGCAATTGCTTGCTCAACTTCTACTCCTGATGCAAGGCGGTGTTTGATGACTCCTTGGGCTTAGGTATTAGCATCCAACTGATACCTGTTCCTGCAATCAGAGCAATCAGAACAGGCTGCAGCACGCCGACGCCAATGCGAGATGCAATGACGCCCGTAATGACGGGAAACAGGGATCCACCAATCTGCCCAATGACAAACACGAACGAGAGAGCTGTTGCTTGAACCTCTGGTGAGAAGAGTTTTGATCCAATAGATATGCCCTGGAGATTGTCAGACGCCTGGCTCCTGCACAAAGGCTCATGGCACGACTTACTGTTGCGAACAACGGACCAGAGAAGAACCCAAAGAAACTGATGGCGACTGATGCGGCGATAATGTTGGGCACCCTTGTAGACATGGACATATTAGACCTATTGCAGGCCATAAGATTGAGGAATTATTTACTCACAGCCAAAAGACCAACTGGAAGGCTATGCAGAGCACCACATAGAGCAGAATCATTCTCCTCTCTCCAAGGCGATAGGTAGGCTCAGCCAAAAGCAGGCGACCAAGCATAGCCCCTCCGTTGAAGCCTGCCGGGACATAGCCCATCGCGCCGAGATTGCCGCCGCGAATCTCAACGAGGTATTCGACAATCCATCCACTTGCCGTGATGGTTGCGCCAAGTAGGAAGAAGAAGAAGATACTGACCATCCAAAGAGACTTTGATCGTAAAGCAGTTTTCATTAGTTGAGATGCGCTCTTTTTCTCCTCGCCATTACCCTCTGCTTCTTGCCCAGTCGGATCAGTCTTTTTGCGTCCGAATTTAATGGTGTCTCGGAAGGCGTAGCAAGTCAGGGCGAAGTTGAGAACACCAATGGCTAGCGGGAAGATGTAGAACAGATACCATCTAGATGTCTCTCCAGCCGATGCAATTGGTGTCGCGACAAATGGAGCTAGCAGACACCCTGCCATGTACAACGCATGGATGAAAGCAAGCCATCGATGGGCGGCCTTGGCACTGGCTACGTAGGCATTTGCACCTGCATCTTGATACGCTTGTCCGAGGCATACAAGCCAGAATGTGACCGCGAAGAATGGGAACGGTGGCCGCCATGCCCGGAGTGCATGGGCCAGGACTTGAAAAAAGGCGCCAAAAGCGAGTAGTCCGCCGAGGTCAAATCTTTGACGGAGGTGAGTGTTTGTGAGAGCTGCGAGGAACCAGCCGAGGAAATTTGCTCCGTAGCTTGAAACAGAGGTCAGTCTTAGAACCTGGGACTGATAGAAGAAGCAAGGCTTTCGCTACGCACACAATGGATACGACTGCTGTAGTGATATTATAGTCGCGGATCATGTAGGGAAGAAGAGGACCGACACTGCCGTCATTGACTCCGGAGATGAAAAAGGCGAAGCCTGCTGCTATGAGCTTCAATAGGGTACCGTTGTCGAGTTTGTCGCTCTGTTCAGCCTCTGGAGAGTCGTCAGATCCTAGCACTTGTTCATTGCGGGGTTGCTTGGGTGTTTCGGCAAGTTCGTAAGGGTCTGTTAACGAATGTTGCTGCTGAGTGATTGTAGCCATCATGAAGCTTAGAATAAACGCAAGATGAGACTCCCACAGGTCTTCAGAGGAACCACGGGGTGAGGCAAGCCCATTCTTTAAGGGGGACGGGCCGCGAGTCGAGAGACGGCTAATCACCGGCCCCACCTATGCAGTCAGGTTGGTTGTTGTGCCGGAAGAGGACAATGGCTGAACTCCGGAGGTCCAAACCAAGACCGTGTCCATGCACACTGTACGGGCCCCGACAGGTGCCGGTCAATCTCTCCAAAAAATGGCGGGGCGGACCGGAATTTCGGGCGCGCTTCCGCCAAATTGTTCCGGACTGGTCCCGGCTCATCACGAAGAGCAATCTGGTGGTATTCTTCATTTCTAGCCGCTGGCTATTCTCAACACCAAGGTAGGGCCTGGATCCTGAATGGGCTGCGAGGCTGAATTGATTCTCCGGTTTCGAAGGCTATCTACATACAAAATCAGTTCAGGCTACAAGCCGTTCGCACAAGGTACTGAATATGAGTCTTGAGTTATAGGAAGCATACTACAACTTCCACTGCTTGTAATGCAATAATTTTTAGCGAGTATATATGACAGAGTGCTTTGAATGGTTCATCATATTCTCTTCCTCAAGTAAGTAGGCTTGTTGGCTTCGCAGATCGTAAATCCCCGCCTTGGCCCGTCTTACTCTAGGATTACTCTTCTACCCAATCGACTGTGGCTACCAGCGATAGACTCTCTGAAACCAACTAGAGACATGTTGATTTTTTCCCTTTTAAGTGTGGCGGACATCACGATGATAGACTAGTCACTAGAGCCACCGAATATCCTTCCACAAACGTCAATGAATACTATTTCCATGATCGAAACATGAAGGCTTTTCGACCTGAGTTCGACTAAATGGAACACTAACCCTGGGGGTCTATGACCTTACCCATCGAACCTTATGAAAGTCCAACCCCTTCTAAGAGCTAGATATTTGAGCGATCGCTTATGAATATTAACTTCAAACCAACTAACCTTGAAATATCAGCATATTGAAAGGTCATTTCGGGGTCGTGTTCAAAATCCGTTCAAAATTGTGAGACACCAGCGAGTATAGAAGCTGTTGATGGCAAGAATATTATGCAGCTACCTATGAAGTAAGTACTTAAGTGTTCAAGCGTCGCTGGGTGCCAAACGCCAGAAGTATGCTGTCCACCCTCTCGGCCCCGAACCTTTGATGATATATCCCGGCTTCTTCTGAAACTGTGCAAAGCAAGGCGCAAGGAGACATGATTTGTATTTCGCCGAGTAAACCTTATGGCATCGGCAGTACCAGCCTATTGGGTAGCCCACCACTTCGAATGCACTGAGACAGCTGGAGCAAGTGTGACATCCACTCCGACCACTCTCATCATTACGACCTGCACAATTGAGTCTACCACTAGTTGCTCAGGACTCTACTCGCTGTGTTCAACCTGAGCTAGGGCATCTTATTTTAGGAGAAAATGGTCCGCACACACTGGTACAGCGACAACCTTGAGAAAGTGCTACATGCGGTCTGACCAACTTTTACATGCCTTTTGCGGCACTGTAGAACTGAGCCCCTGTTCCCAAAGTATCTTCATGGTGTAGGGTACCCATGCCGAAACCTCTGTTGGACGGCAAGTTGTTACAGATACCTTGGGAAGCTGTCGTTCATGTACGATGCGACACAGTGAGGGCGGTTGACACTCGGTCGTTTGTGAGATCAAGTAAAGGGGGAGGCGTTTCGCGAATTTCCCGATACAGGAAAAGTCGAGTCATATGCAAAGAAGATAACCTTCGGCGCAGGAACGGTGCGTGTGCTGCCTTAGCGGGGTTGTTCTTGTTGTTCCTGAAATAGTACGGTTTCATGCGTTCTTGATCAGACGAGAAAGTCTAAACCTTTGCCCTTCAAATCAGACGCAAAGGGATCCCCCACAACGGAACTGCGCAATTGTACAACGGCCGAGATCTTGTTGTTGTATTTAAGGTTTTTCATTTTATTGAATATAATCTCCACCAACGCGAGAGGAGCTCACACAACTGAACAACACATAATTCATTCTCGCCTTCCGCACGTACACGTATTTGAGAATCTTCTGTCCCAGACAGCGATTGGAGGTTTTGGATGTATAGAAACGAGTGAGATAGTAGAATGGAAACATTGTATGCGGAATGTCGCCCAGTAGTACCCGTAAGTGAGTGAAAGTACAACAGGCACGCGGCACAAGAGTTTGATCATAGATCACCAGCCGAAGTTGGCCATGAGGTTTCGCCGCTTAACGAAACTCGCTCGCCGGCGTCTGTCAAATGCCGCTCCAGCCGATTTCCCTGCGGCTGCTGCTCCCTCTCCCCCAGCAGCCGCTTCTTTTGCCTTCTTAGCCTTGGGATCGTCATCCTTCCCTTTGCCTTTGCCTTCAGGTCCTCCGGCGGCTTCCTCGGCAGGACCAGCGGCGCCCTCGACGCCGTTGTCCTTGGCCTTTTTCTTCGCCTCAGGGTCATCGTCTTTGCCGTTACCCTTAGCTTTGCCATCTGGACCTGCCGGCGCAGTTCCGTTAACGGCCGCTCCTGGAAGAAGTGCCGCCTTGCCCTTTGCCTTCTTATCCTTTTTGGCTTTCTTCGCCTTTCCATCCGGTCCAACAGCTTCGGTGCCGTTACCTGCGGCTCCAGGGATTGCTCCTTTGCCCTTTCCATCCTTCAACTTTTTCGCGTCTTTACCCTTCGCATCCTTGCCCTTCTTGTCCTTCTTTCCCTTCTTGCCGGGGGGTGCAGGTACCGTTCCATTGGCAGCAGCCTGGCCGGGCCCAGCAGCACCTGCTAGCTGTCCTTCAGCCTTCTTCTTGGCGTCATCCTTTGCCTTCTTAGCATCGTCCCTTGCTTTCTTTGCGGCGTCATCCTTGCCCTTGCCCTTCTTATCCTTCTTCTTCTTCTTTCCGGCAGGATCAGTTCCATTTGCTGCGGGAGGAGGAGGAGGTGGAGCTTGAGCTGCGGGGGCAGCAGGTTGAGGAGGAACACCAACGGCCAATGGTCCAAGAGGCTCACCGGCCACGGCTGGAGCAGCCTCAGGTGGCGGAGGAGGAGCATTGGGATCGGGAGCGGGACCTCCATCAGGAGGCGGCGGAGGAGGAGCGTTCGGGTCAGGAGCTGGTCCTCCATCGGGGGGAGGTGGTGGAGGTCCATCTTCAGGAGGAGGGGGAGGTGCCTCGCCATCCGGAGGTGGCGGAGGAGGAGCATTGGGATCGGGAGCGGGACCTCCATCAGGAGGCGGCGGAGGAGGAGCATTGGGATCGGGAGCGGGACCTCCATCAGGAGGCGGCGGAGGAGGAGCGTTCGGGTCAGGAGCTGGGCCCCCATCAGGAGGTGGTGGCGGCTCCGCGTTCGGATCAGGTGGCGGCGGGGCTCCCTCAGGAGGAGGTGGTGGAGGCGCGTTCGGATCCGGAGGAGCAGCATTTGGGTCAGGAGGTGGTGGTGCCCCGTTAGGTGGTGGCGGCGGGGGAGCACCGTTTGCTGGAGGAGGAGCCGCATTCGGGTCAGGGGGGGCGGAGGAGCGGCATTCGGATCGGGAGGCGGTGGTGCTGCTCCATTTGCCGGGGGAGGGGGCGGAGGAGCTTGTCCCGCAGCTGGTGCTGGTGGTGCTGCCGGTTGAGCTTGAGGAGCGACGGGAACGGCCCCATCAGCAGCGAGAGGAGCTACATCAGGAGTAGTTCCATCACCTAGGAAGTAGAGTCAGATTTTGGTTCCCATGCGGTACAAAAGCGATCGTGATGACGAACCTTGTGCTTTGTTATTACTGCCGAGGGCAGATAATACACTGTCAACATCCAACTTTTGTACAAAGTTTCTGAGATTTAGGCCTCGTGCCTTGACGGAGGCAACATTCAAAGCCCGCTTTGTATCTTCCGAGGCTTCATTATTTCGTCGAGTATCGTAATTGGCCGTTACCGCCGCGTTGAACAGCAACGCTGCCACGGCAACTTGGCGCCATGAGAGAGTGAAAGTCATCAAGACTTGGTGTACTAGACGAACATAGAGACCAGGTAATTGTTTTCAAGTAAGAACTTCTGTGGCGTCAAGCCTAGCAGAAAAGGAGGAGGAAAGGAAAGGAAGTCCACGCAGTAGACTATAAGAAGAAAAAGAACGAGATGAAGAGAAAACGATGAGGCGAACGAGTAGATTGGGGGCAGAACATCCGGACCAAGAGAGAAGAGACGAAAGTCTTGGTCTAGATATAAAGTCGTTCGCCGAAGAGGTGTGGTTGCGTGATGCTCCACTAGGCTTAGTCGGCTGAATCTCCTCTTCTCCGGACAGCCGCCACGGCGATGGTCATCCGACCCAGACACGACCAGACACAGCTAAATCAAGTGCAGGGGCCTGTTTGAGGAGCGCGCTGAACAAAAGGATCGTGAGTTCCAGGATGACTGGCCCCCAGGTGGACCGAGTGTAAGATCTAGGCTCAAGGGGCAAGCTCGAGGGGGCAAATGAAGAAGAGCAGCTCGCCACAGAACAGTTCGAAGCCACGTTCGAAAGTCTCTGACTTGAGGACAAGTGATAGAGACGGCGCTGTGACAGGCTTCGACAAGTCGGCAGGTCCAAAATTAGACCCAGAGTCGAGACGATCCGGACTCATGGATGGACTGCACAGTAGGTGCTCACAGACGACCGTCAGGGCAGTATTACCCTTGAGAAAACACACGGACAGCGCGAACAAGGCTCATAGACAAGCTTATTCATGTCAACGTTGCGGCGGCCCGCGGGGATGTGCGCTAGGGTCCCAGGCAGTCTTACACTAGTGAAGTGCCTCAGAGCAGAAAAAAGTGCCACTTTCTCAAACGAGTCGTGCGGGGAGTTTTCAATTATGTCAACACACTAGAGATGTTAACCAGGTGTAGGGGAGGAAAGCGTTCGCCGCCGTGGAGGGCAGGGCTATCCCGTGCGCAGCGGGTCAAGCAAGGCATGAGAACCACACCATCGCGAGGATGGCGGATACCTCGTCTTGCTGAGGAGAAGAAGATGGATTGTCATGATTAACCGTGCAGTAGCAGCACTAGTGACAGATTCGGAATGGTGGAGGAGAGTTGCTCGAGGGAGAACCGTTTCAGCTACGGGGCCATCTCTACCCGGAATGCCTTCTTCGCTGAGAGCAAACTGTCGCCCTCGCGAGTGGCTGAGCGTGCTGTCACACCAAGTCGCAGATGTGTGCCAAGAGGGGTTGACATTGAACAGCAGTGAACCTTGGAGGAAAACTCAAATGCTTTCAGACGACTATTTAAAAGTCGGCAAACCCGTTTCAGCATGTTTCCTTGGGAGCCTTTAGCGCCCTAACAGATCTAGATATAACTTTGAGGACTTCATCTTAAGGCACTATCACAGCCGCCCAGCACACAGGTCGTCTCAGACTTGGGGGCCACGGGGCCACATGCCTGGAACAGGAACTCTGTACAGCCGGAATACTCTGGATTCAGGTTCGTGGGAGAGATGGACTGATTTTATCCGCTTCGGTCATCTGAAAGATCAGTCTGTCAACGTAAAAATGCATGCAACCTCCAGCCTCCATTTCTCACTCCAAGGTTTTTGAATGACGAACGATAGACAGATGACGACTGCCACTTACCTCAGTGTCAATTGAGGCCCAGCCAACTGGTTACTTCCATCGACCTGCACACATGGAACATCCACGATCAAGCCGATGCTTGACATCTGCGAACATATTCTCATCATCTCCAATTTCCAAGATTGAGCGACTCAGCGCGGATGTAAAGTGCCATTGACAAGGAAGCAATGACCAATCAGTCCCTACCACAAGCCCGTGAAACACCTCGCCTACAATCAAGTGATTCGATGTACTTATAAAGCTATGTGTCATTCTCGACTGCTCCTCAGCATTTTCAGTGATACCGTGATACAGTAACAACTGTATTGCTTTCCCGTAGCAACAATGGCACTTGGACCAAGCGGCAGATCGCCGTTGGATGTTTGCGATGCGCAGGGAGATTCACGCTATCCATGTCTGCGAGGTGCTCGTAGCCATAACCCTGGCTGTTTTTCAGACGCACGCTGTCGAGAGTTGCCACAGCCACATTTCAATTGATGACAAAAGTCCGCAACCCTCATATCTTCCATGTACTGTCCGGCGCAGTTTTATGGTTATATCGGCATAGACAAAGTCATCTTCAGCACGGCAAAGAATGCTAGTAAGGTCGTATGGAACAGAGACATCAGATGTGCACGAACAGCAGTTGACTAGGTACCACCTCATTGAGACCATCGGCCAAGAGACGCCCAACATCAGGCGCCAAGAAGCGCACAGATGAGCGGATTTAACCATAGAGAGATGTAACCAGGCCCCATATCCATCGCATAATTAGTTTCAAATTCGATGGGGCGAATGTGCTTTTAACCCTCGGCCAATATGGCTTCTACCTCACATAGGCAGCTCGCGGCGAAACATGCCGACAGTAGCGACGCCCTACTCTTAGCCATAGCGTGATGTAGAATGGCGCGTCACATTTTCATTCAGATCTTGATGATTTTGCCCGACTTACTGTGTGGCGGAGATCAGTCAATTAAGCATTCAGCTAAAGCGGCGGCCAGGTATCAAGGATTCAAGACTCAGGCTTAGTTGAACATGAATTCTTTTTATTTCGGTGTAGTCAATTTGCTAGTCATGCATAATCTCCCCAATACTTTCCGAGAGTAAAATTGCACATTGAATTCACATTCGCTTGTCAAGCTTCCTCTGGTCTTTTTGTTTGTCTCGGAGAAAGCATGTTTTTGAGTTGTGGCCGGCTCAAAGCACACTCGCAAAAGGCTGCCGATGGTATACTAGACAATACTATGTTGGGGGAGACAAGAAGGGCTCGCGACCTAATGTGGACGACAATTTGGAGATTGGTCCCAGATCTCTTCTGATTGAAACAAGGCCTAACGTTGCAACTAAAACCCAGTCGTTAGCAGAGGGCCATGTGAGGATGCCCTCTGCCAATTTTCATTCAGGTGTTTTTACGACCAAACAATATGAAACTGAATCAGGATAATTACTCACCGGTACGATACATCAGCCTTACATCCCGGAGCAACCTTCGTTTGCGACTCGGTGCTCAACAGATAAAGCACTTGGTTGTTCCGTTGCCGAGAAAACACGACGCTATCGGGAAACTCTTACTCGCAAGAGTCACAGCCTCAACTATTTGGCTGATGTTGTCTTATGGCCAAAGGTATTGCACCAGAAGACGGAAGACGGTATTGTTCCCCAGCTCATTACAGTGTTAACCGTGCACTTGTCGCCAGTGTCAATACTTGCAACCCCCTAGTCACTCCCACACCCGATACTCTATCAGGCTCGTGATGCCGGTATTGGTGAAACGTGCGAAACTCCAATTCTCTGTCTGTTGCCTCCAAGAGGATCCGCCTTCGTAGCAGACCTCGTTCTCGCTATCCGAAGCGTTAGCTGAATGGAACGATGGAAATTATCCACTTTATGGAATTCTCTCTGTGACAATAGACAATGCCTCTTTTCTCGTTTGGAAATGCCCCAACGCTTGCAAAAATGACCAAGTTCTGTTTAATGAGAAGAAATACTGCCGCTCAAGTTTCCTACAAATTCATGGCAACAGAGTTCCATTCTGCCCGATCACTCGCGGCCCCGAAGCTTAAAATAAATGCGGGCGAACGCCATATGCTTGATTTTGGGTTTCACTTCTGCAGTGACACTGACAGGCTCACAGACGTCCGAACATCTGAAGTCAAATTACACGCAAACATCCTTGAGGCTCAATCATGGGCATACCTGGGACAACTCCCGCCTCAAGCTGAAGGGGCAAAAAGTCTCACCATCATCCGCGGGAGGCCACTTGGGGTATGCCCTGTAGGAAACGGTCTGGCATAATCCGACACGTAACCTAAGGTGCCTTTTGGCGTTGGTGAAGAACCCTCCGTCCTCCGAATTTTCCCTCTGGAAGTTTCTCGCGAATCATGGCGTTGCCTTTATGCCTGGCCCTCCTCCAAATCAAGGAACAAAAATCTGCAAAGCGTTTCCAGCCTCTTCCTCCTGTTCAACTGCACCTAACCCTTTTGATCAACACCATTGGCGCTAGTGTCGACTGTTGCTTGGGACAAGCCCTGCGCCAAGAGAAAGGTCATCTTGTAGATAGATCAGCCCATTCCACAACGCTAGCTTGTTGATAACCCTCTTCGTGTTCAAAAGAACTCTGACATGGCGTGTGATGACTAACATCGACTAACTACTTCCTGGGGTCCCCCGCAATCTGCTGCTCCCCCGGATTCAAGGTGGCCCCGTAAGCCCGGTTCCCCGCAATCCGGATGGCCCCCAAATTAAGTCCAAGGCTGCTTCTGCATCGTCCAACCATCTTCGTCCCATTGTAACCTTTGTCGTAATATTGCAGAGGACGCCTCGTGAACCTCGTCTGCAGTCGCAGTGGCAGCAAGAAACCATGGCAACACAACAGATAAGCTCGGCGACACCCATTCCTGTGGCCGATGACGCTGCGTCTCGTCGCGCGAAGAAGAGGGAACTGGACCGACGTGCGCAGCGGGCTGCCCGGGAACGGAACAAGAATCGCATCGCTTACCTAGAAGCGACGATCCAAGCCATGAGCGAGCAGGAGCAAAACGGAAAGATCGCCAGCTTGATGAATCAGCTGTCTGACATGACGAGACAGAGAGACACCCTGTCGAAAACACTGTCCTCACTTGAGACAACAATACAAGTCCACCGTGAAGTCGAACGCGCCGATACTTTACAGGACCGAGCATCACAACCTAGGGATACAGCTTCCAATTGTCAGCCTTGGTCCAGCGCTCATGAAAGTTCAACCGCATTCGACATTGACGTGGAAAATCTGCCCTTAGATGTCTTCACCCCTGGCATTTCTGCCATGACTTGGGGACTCCCGGTATCTGACGCAGCCGGTCATACTCTTGCAACAGAGACGGAACTGTCCAACAGAGTGCCCGCTCCATCTACCCTCACCCTGGCAGGGAACCCTAATCTGGAATGTCTATCCGACTCCCCTCCTCCTCGACGTCGAGGCGATGGTGTGATCGTACCGGAGCCAGACAGCGCCTGTGAGTGTTTGGGATCAAGACAGGATCCACAAAGTCCCGGGTCATCTACAACAAGTCTATGGAGATCCGCAAACGAAGCTCTTGGCGCCAGCGAAATGCTGTCGAGGAGTGTACTGAATATGGAAGACGAGATGAGCGATGACATTCCAGTCCGCGTCATACTAGAGGGATGGGATGCCGTCGAAAGATTAGGAAAATTACCGCCCCTGTGGAGAAGGCTGCGTCACACCGATACCCTCCAGTTCAAAAACTGTCCGGATACCGAACGGCTGGCTATCCTGAGACTCATGCACCGCCTCCTCCGGTACCAAGCCGAGCCCACGGTCGAACAATGCGCCAAGTTACCAGCATGGTATCTCAGCAGGTAAGCAACTGGATCCGGTCGGTAGCTCTTGTGGGATTGCCCTGACAAAAGTCCAAAGACCGTCACAATCACTACCTCATTCCTCCGCAATAGATTTCTTCGTCTGGTGAGTCTAGTCTTCTCTACCGATTAGATTTCCATGTGATGAACAGTTATTTACCTTTGCCCCGCTTTCTAAAATAGGCCAGGCGTTCGAGAGCGCTTTGTTTTCTCACAGCATCAGTACTGTTCAAACTTATTCTGGGAGGTATTCGCAAGCAGCTTTCGAATCATGTGGCCTTTTGAGTTCCGTGATTGCTACCGGCGAAACATCGAGACAAGGCGATACTGCGTGGCCCCGGAGTTCGAGGACAGGATTCGCGATATCAACTCCTGGACCATGTCGTCAGACTTTTTCAACCACTTCCCAGAGATGTATGCCGACATCCCGGCTTATCAAGAAGTGCCAAGACTCTTAACTTGGAAAGATGCTCGAGAGAGCAGGCTACGAAAAAGTGGACGGGTCAAAGAGCTGGAGACTGGAAGCTCTCCGCGGAGTAGGAGGAACTCTGACATGGACATGCTGAACCTGACGATCCGAAATTGGCCAGTGGGTGACTTTCTACTCTCAAATCCTTCAGGCACACAATAGGTTTCTTTCTTAGCATTACCTGATGTTAAATACACAATCTACCGCTACTATTTACGTGCGGCAACTGTATTCATAGCCATGAATCGGCCGCCTCTTGCTCGCAACCGAAGCTCGCAGCATTTTTTAAGTCCCCAGTCCCTTTGTATTTGATATATTGGGGATGAGGACAAAGATTCCGAGTCGTGTTGACGCCGTCCTGTGTCGTGATAGCAAACAAAGTGTCGGGCACCTTGCCAATTTCGACCCAGTCGACGAGAACGGAGAGTGGTTCAAGAGGGACGGGGCCGTACCCGCCACCGCAATGTCCCGCCCCCGGTGCCAAGAACAACCGATAGAAGCTCTCCAGAGATCTTGAACCACCCATCTTCTCTTGAAGTCTGTCCCAAAATAGGATTGTTCCGAGATGGGTAATGAGAGGGTCACCCATGCCGTGCCAAGTCAATAGCTTCCCACCGGCTTGCTTGAACTCTGTGAGATCGGGATCATCGGATCCGAAAGGCTTCGTGTACTTTGCCACAGACTCGTTGAAAATGTTCTCAAACTCCGCAAACGTAAGAGACGCAGTATCAAGATCGGGATCCTGGGATACAAAGTATCGCATCCATGCTTCGGCCGCGGCGAAGGGTACAGGCACGGTGACACCATCAACCGTCTTCGTGTCTGCGAGACCCATGAAGGGCGCGCCTGGTGGGTTCCCATACCACAAGTAGTTGCCTGATGTCGTTCTTGAACCTTCCAAGATTTTGGCAACAACTTCCGCAAAGTCTTCCGTGATCACAACAGGTTCGCCAGTATCAGTACAGTTGAGATTTTGCCCCACGAGTTGGCTCGTATCAAATTGACACTTCTCGGGGGCTGATATGAGGCCATCTTCCGCGCCATCCTGAGAATCGCACTCCGAAATGATTGCTTTTTGAAACTCCGAGAACACACATTGCGGCGGTGCGGCAATATTACCCATGACCACTGAGGGCCAAAAGTCTGCAGGAGACAATTGGGGGGTGTTGATGGCAGGGGCATTGGCTAGGATACCATCGAAGTCATGGGGACTGTATTGGGCAGCGAAATAGCCCTGTCTTCCACCTTGAGAGCAGCCGCTGTAGTAGGAGTGATGGGCACCGGTGCCGTAGAATGCCTTGACAGCCTCTTTGCCAATAAGTGCCATCTCATGAATGGACCGGGTGGCAAAGTTCTCCATCAAGGGCTCATTAATGCTGCCGTCGGCCCTGAGAGCCCACTGCCCAGAGTTTGCATCAATGGTGTGATTCAACGTCAGCCCAGCATCCGTAGATCCAGCAGCGAAACCCTTCGAAACGGGGCCAGCGAGAGCTGAGGCAAAGGTTCCAGCTGCAAGTCCGCCACCACCAGTGGCGAGAAAGCGGCCGTTCCAAGCATCCTCAAGGGGCAGCCAGATGCTCACGTACACAACATCATCTGCGCCATTGTGATTTAGTGTCAGAGTAAAGTTGCAAAAATCAAATTTCGAGGCTGGTTGAGTTGGTAGGGCGTAGTTGTGGACCTCGTTTCTTTCGACATATATGACATCAAGGCCATCGATTGGCGGTATCTCCAATTTGTTGCAGACCAGCGGCTGAGAACTGCCACAATCTTTATTGTGCAAGCCAAACACCCTTTGGCCTAGGACTGTCAACAAAAACCCAAGTAACATGGCGAATATCAAGCAAAGGGTAGGAATTTGGGGAATAACACCTATCGACTTGATATGTGGCTTGAATATCCATCAAGAGCAACAGCCATCACCATATAAGGTTCCTTTTGTATGCCCTCTTCCACGCCTATTGCCTATCAACTCCACCAAAGCAGATGTTTGCGAGGGGAAGTGCTAGTGAATTGCCTCGGGAAGCCGGGTAAGATTGCGGGGATCTTACCATGTATGCCAAGTGAACCCCCGAGATTCCCATTCAAAGTGGGAACTCCAAGTTGTCCCACGCATCTCTCGAAAGTGGTTGGGTGGTAGTTAGTCACAAGAGCGAGAGTGCGTGGCTCCATGATGTAACTCGGTGACTTGGTTAGTACTACCCCGCTGATTCAACTGTTAGTCCAGACAGTAACCCGTCACTGTCACGAAATAGGAATAGCATGAGGACTTATGAAACATTCCAGCACGTGTCATATCACGTGGCCTTGACATTATCTCGTGGATAGATTGTCACTACAAGCAAACTTCAATCCACCTCATGTATGTCTCAACTGCTGCGTGTCATAACTTGTGACAGTTACCAACATGACCAAAAACCCCCGAATGCTGGAGTCAACAAAGCCCCTTGCCAAGCCAGGCCGTGTGGTTTTGGCACGAAAATGAGCAAAGCATTCTCAGTTAGATTCATCCCAACGGATGTTGAAAGGCGTTAGTGTACGCACAAACTTCCCCAGTTTTCTCCAATTCTACGCTTTCATACGTTTCTTTTAATTCGTAGTTCGACCTCTCTGCATAGACTTCCATAAAGGTTGGAATTCACATTGCTACAAGTTTCTGTCCACTAGACGTGCAGCACCCCATACAGTATACTACGGAACTGCAACAGAAGAGCCTAGACCAGTCCAAAGTGTACTTATCTGCATTGAAGCCATCATAATTCGTGAGCCAGGCTCCCGGGTTTCTTCTCCCGAGTAAAGGGTTAACCAACTCTGGCTGGCGATGATCTAGCGGCTGCCAAGGTGTGGTTGATGAGCGGAGGTTGAGCTACTGACACATGGTCGAAGAGTCTGCGACTCTGACTCTAGCGCCCTGACTCAGTGGCGTCGTTCTCTCTGCACTCTCATGACAGATGTCCAGCGAATCATCGAATTGCTTATGAGACTTTGCATCTTGCAAGGCACGTTCTGAGAGTCCGGATTCGGTGCTAGTTGTGCAGGACGAGACTAGGTCCCCCGCACTACCCCGGATTACCCCGCATCCAACCTATCTCTCGGAGTTGCTAGGTGTTGAGCGGAATGGAGGCTTACTTCAGTTTGAATTAGGCCCATTGCTGTGTGACGGAAACAGATCACTATCGCATACTGATGGATACGTCTGTCTTGGCGATGACTCCTGTTGGAGACCCTTGCGAATACTTAAGAAAATGACCAGCGAGCCTTGCAGAATGGATTTTGGGTTTGATCTGTGGCAGGAGTTCAGTGTCTTGCTTCTTCTCCCTACAGCTTCAACTCACAAGGCACAGGTCAACTAAGATGGAGCACTCAACGGCTTCTAACGATCTTTCCCAAGGAGATGAGGAACTGGGCACTCGTGTCATCGACGAAAAGACCCACGATCCAACCCACGTAGAGGATGTGAAGGGACAAGATGTTGGGCAGATCTGCGGGCTCACCGAAGTTGAGCAGAAGAACATCATGTACGCCACCGTGCCACGTTCATCATTTGCAACGGACAGCTCTAACCAAGAAATCAGCCGTCGTATCGATATTCGTCTGCTTCCGATTTTAGGCATAATGTACTCGATCTCCCTCATCGACCGAACGAATCTCGGCCTTGCCTTAGTTGCGGGCATGCAAGAAGATCTAGAGCTGGCTGTGGGCAACAGATACACTGTCATTGTGATGGTGTTTTTTGTTGCATATATGTTCGTGCCCCTAGCTTGATTCGATGGAAATTAACTTTGGCTAACGAGTTCCAAAGTCTCTTCGAAATACCTAGCGTACGGCTTCGCTGTTTCCTTCGATCTTGAATGTCACGTGAGCTAACCGGTGCTGCAGAATCTCATGCTCCCAAAAGCCGGACCCGCCAATTGGCTTTCGTTTCTCGGTGTAGGCTTTGGGGTGGTGCTTATTGGCATGGGCTTTACCAAGAGCTGGGGTGCGATGGCAGTCTGTCGAGCTCTCTTGGGAATCCTGGAGGCAGGGTTTCTACCAGGTAAGGTCGCCTTCCGCCAGACATTGACGCCTACATTCGGAGAATCTGACGTTGGATATCTGACAGGATGTACCTATCTGATTACGTGCTGGTATACGCGCTTTGAAGTGGGCAAGAGGCTTTCCGGCTTCTGGATTCTCTCCGTCCTTGCCAGCGGCTTCTCTGCGATATTCGCATACGTCCTTACCCTTCTCCGCGGAAAGAGTGGATTGAATGGCTGGAGCTGTGAGTTAAGAGCTTGAGATAAACTTACTAAAAGCTGGAATCATGGTGCTCATCAGATATAATAGGGATCTTTATCATCGAAGGCGCCATCACCGTGGTTGTCTGTGCTCTAGGCTGGTTTATCATAATCGACTTCCCAACCCAGGCCGGCAAGTTCCTGAAGCCGGCTGAGCAAGAGTTCATCATTGCCCGCATCAACCGAGACCGTGGCGATGCCGAAGAAGATCACATCAATCTGGCCAAGATTCTGCATCACCTCAAGGACTGGAGACTGTACTTTTGGGCATTCAATCTCATGGCTTCAACGCTTCCCGGATATGCTTACTCCTACTTCCTTCCGATTATTCTTCGCAACGGTATGGGCTTCAGCAGCACCCAAGCGCAACTTCTGTCCGCGCCTCCCTATGTCTTAGCGGCTATTGTGGCCTACATTTCCGGCTACCTTGGAGACAAGTACAAAATTCGAGGGCCAATCATTGCAGTACATCAAGCTTTGACTGCAGTCGGGATGCTTATCACCGTTTACGGCAAGGCTAATGGTGCTCGCTACTTTGGAGCGTTCCTTGGTCAGTTTTTCTGTGCAATTGGGGGCGATTATGTACCATGACTTACTTGAACAACCCCTAGGCATCGGATTTCTTCAGTTCTGCGTCCCTGGTGTACTCACCTTTCAAGCGAACAACATCACTTCGCACTCGAAGCGAGCTGTCTCAAGTGCCACGTGTCTCATTGGAGGCGGCCTCGGCGGCATCATTGCAAGCACGGCTTTCATGTCGAAAGAGAGTCCCCACTACACCGTAAGTTGCAGCATTTCCAGGACCTGGCTGGCAAACCTCGTTCTCTGACCTTCATTATCTAGACGGGCATTTGGACAACGTTTGCCATCTCTATGGCTAGTATCACAATGATAATCATCATGGATATCTACTTGTGGCGCTGCAACAAGGCAGCAAAAGCAGGACAGCGCAGGAACGAGGGCATGGAAGGCTGGCTGTATACACTGTAATAGGACCAAGAATTTGCTCAGCCTAGCTCTGAGTTTTGGGTAAACTTCTCTTCTGTATGATACAGCCTATTCTTGGGTTGTAGGTAGATCTCAACGCTACCTGTCTGTTACTTTGGTAATACAAAGCGATTGTGTTCCTCCTTAGTCTTATGGTTCATTTCTCTTTGTTCGTAACTGTTTTCGAGTCATAAGAGTTGTCGCTATCCTTCTAGACTACATTGATCTTTGAGCATTTCGTATAAGTTCTTATTCGTTCCTGTTGAGTCTTTGACAGCATTTAACTGGCTTGGGCTGACTTACAGAGAAAGCCTGCTTGTCTGTCCAGTGTTTTACCACACCATTGTGTTCCAGTGGTATTGAACTCAGTTAAAGTACTAAATTTATACCTTTTACATTATGCATATAAACAGGCGGCCCTCGTTCCTCTTCGTGTCCAAGTCTCAGCAGCTTTCCATAATTCCAAACACTCTTCATTCCATTCACAACAAGCACGGTCTTCGTATCTTTCAGAAACCTGCCATAACTCAATGCACCCACAACTTTACAGCAAAACTTTTCCCTCGACAAAATGTGTCAAGAAACCGAGATCTTGATTGTCTGCTTCGCCAAGAAATGTCTTTCTGAGAAGAACGGCATTCGCCTTCCGCTCCTGTGTCTCATACCCACGCCAGAATCTCTGTATTACCTCTGCGAAAAGGCAAAGGGAGTAGGATATCGCACAAACGGCAGCCTCCTCGGCCTTCCCCTCATGACTATCTACCCAGATGAGTGTCCAGATGTCGCCAACGCTGACAAGTTCCGGCTATGCCTTTCCCACGCCGTCTCGCGTGAGACCTCGCAACGCGCCGGGTTTCTCATTCAATGCAAGGAATGCTGTAACACAGGCCATGCACAGAATCACACTCTTAGCGACCGTCCAGGTAACTTCCCTAAGTTCAATTCACGTCCACTGGCTTTTCCCGCCGAGTCTTCCGCCGAGTCTTCTACTGAGTTCCCCCCGAAGAATAAGTATTTTACGAGTGATTGGACCTGCTGTGCGGTCGGCGAGTGCAGCGATGATGATTTGTGTCAATACCGCGTGGCTGCTCTCCTATGTGGGATGTCGACGCAGTCTCGGGAGGCTGAGCAGGCCATCATTGACACATGCAATCAAGAGACAGACGAGGGTTATGATGGAGATGTCAGCGATAACTCCACTTAGTGGCAGTTGGGATGGATTCGCTCGATAACACAACCGAGACCTCGCTGGCTGTTTAGTCAAGAAGGACATTGACTTTGTTTGGGGGTGCAGGCTTAAGAAATGGGTGGTTTTTTGTTTAGACTAGATATTTCATCGAGTGTTATGCACTTACAATTTCCACGTCCCACAAGAACCTATCTCTGTGTGCTTCTGAGAACTGAGGCCGTCGCCGAAAGTAACGCCTAATTCTGTCTAACCGGGTCGCGAGATTGTTAGGTAGTCTTGATACTAAGATACGGATACAAACACATAATTAATAGACGACAGAACTTAGAACGAAAAACAGTCAAAAGATACCAATCAATTCAATTCAACCCACTACCCGAAGCTGAAGCCAGCACAGACATGGCGCACGGGGGTGGACTTGACGTGACAGCGAACTGACGTTGTAAACAGTGGACGCGCCGAGACTGCCGACGTCGTAGTGAAGAGAGTCTTAGCGACGTCAGAGCACATGGCGGTGGGTGTCATCCACTTGTCTTGGGGGATCAGCAGCAGCGATAGGATGGCTAAGCTTTCAAGTTGGTTGGAGAAACGGCGAAGATATGAAGTCATCGGCTACGGTCTACATGTGCTGTCCGTTGCAGCATGTCTAAGATATTATCATCACGCGGAGCCGCTAGCACACTTAAACTCGGTTGCTGCTCATACTCCATGTCTCCCTCGGCTTCGCATTTTGGACGCGTGGTTGTGCTTGTCGATGGTGTTTCCTGCGTCAAAAATAGAAAAGAAATTTTTTTTGCGGGTGTGCAAAATTCATCGATAAGGAAAAAGGGGCTCTGGGGGGACTCAAACAACTGGGACCATCCTATAGCGAAATCCTCCGCCGCATTGGCATCTCATGTTAGGAGGTTCATGCGCTGCCATCTGACAAGTTGAACGCACAGAAATGGCGTTCGTGCTGGCGCAAGGGAGCGGCCCGAAGAACTCATGCACAAAGGGAAAAGGGGCATAGCAAATAGTAAACTTCTGCGAGAGCCTTATTGGGGACAGCGGTCAAGTAAGACTTGAAGGGATTTCTTTCCCATTTGATGTTTCCTCCGCTTTCTCGAGTCCGAGGCTCCGTCGTCGTTCAACGGTCCCCCCATTCTTTGCGCCCGGCTAACCCGGCCACGCCGTCATCTCGCGCCGAAAGCCAGATGACGAGGTTTTGCAGCGCCTCCCGTGCCACCTAGGCACCTTAGAGCGCTGAGCTAGACCATCTTGGCAAACTGCCGGCAGCCCACCACGCGGCCAGTTGCAGCCATTGACACCGTAGCAAAGGTCCTGCAGGCTGAGATTGCTAGGCCACTCGAAAACCCCTCCAACGGCTTCAACGCTCTTTGATCACGCTGGTTGCCTTGGGGCTCCACTCGTGACTCGACGAACATGGCCGGTGGTGTGCAGCGCAGGGTGCAAGAGAGCAGAATGCCCTTGTTCAGCCAGCAACGAAAGCGCCGGGCCACACGGCATGGTCCCATTGCCTGTGGAGTCGAGAAACGGGGCCCTTCGGTCACTTCGCCCTCAATGCGACGGCACCGAGCAGCCCAGCCCGCTGCTTACGGTGCTTAGCGAAGATGGTGCCTGGCATTGACCCTTTAAATTTGGGTTGGTTGTGGTGGATCGCGGCTAGCTGTGCCCGAGGGATGCGTTCATCGCCCTCGTCGGTCTACGGGTCAGTTGCTTATGATTGACAATTGCCTTGGTCTATGTCGGACTATTTGAAGTGGCCGATACCCCACACGCTATTGCCTAGTCTTTCGAGAGGGCTTTCGCGATGGTGTCGTCTCGTTTACCCAGCTCTCGGCCCTCAAGATGAGGTTTTCAATCGCCAGCATCATCGCCCTAATTACCCCGCTGGCGCTCGCAGCTGACTCTCTCGAGTACAAGGGAACACCAGCAGGACAAGTTATCAAAGATGGTGTCAAACTCAGGATCCTTCCCGTGGGTGATTCCATTACTGTGGGATATCTGAGCAGCGATGGAAATGGCTACAGGCTTAAACTCGACGAAGACCTGTCTGGTATGTTCACTCACCGCACATGAAAAGTTCAATCAAGCGCTCTGCCAAAAACAGCAGACAAAAAGGATCCATGTCTAACGACCACAACAGTCAACGAAGTTGTATTCGCCGGTACAGTCTATGGTGGAAATATGAGCGATGGATACTATGTGAGTCAGCAGGACAGATTCCAATCCAACGTTCCTAGTTCTAACGAATTGCCTAGGCGGCTTGGTCTGGGAAAACAATTCAGTATATCGCCGACAACGTAGGCCCATCCCTGGTACAAAGACCCAACATCATCCTCCTCCACGCCGGCACCAACGACATGAACCCGAACCCGGCAATTTCCACCGAAGGCAACGACCCAGCAGCCGCAGCCGAGCGACTGGGCTCCCTCATCGACCAGATGATCACCGCGTGCCCCGACGCCACCATCCTCGTCGCCCAAATCGTCGACACCTGCAGCGCCGAACAGGAAACCGCGACGGCCGAGTACCAGAAACTCATTCCGGGCCTTGTCGAGCAGCGCAGAAACGCCAGTCACCACGTCCTGGCCGTGGACTTTGCGGCTTTAGGTACCGGCATTCTGAGAGATGATTGCATTCACCCGACCGATGATGGTTACCGTACTATGGGCGACTATTGGTACGACTTTATTGCGCAAATTCCTAAGGATTGGATCACTCAGCCGGTGGGCGATGACCCAGATCGATCAAAGGATGAGGCTGCGCGGGCGAGTAAGAGTGTATCAAGCAGCAGCGCTGCCAGCTTCTCGTCGCAGAGCTGGATGATGCTTGTTTTCATGCAGCTCATCATCACGGTTGATCTAATGTGTTAATGAATTAAAGTAATATGATAGTCATGAACAAGCGATTTAAACCAGACAAGTCTTGTACAAGCCGAATCTGCCCAGTATCAAAGACTAGTTGGCTGCATGTACACCAGCCTGTAGTACTTGATATGACTGGGCTCTGAGGAGCGTGATGTGTGTCACTTACCTAAGTAAGGTAGCACAATCTGGGTCAAGTAAGAACTTGAACTTGATCATGCCAGAGGATCATCAAGAAAAGCAAGTCCGGGCGGAACAGTCGAGAAATGTCACCACAGGCTCTTCTGGCCACGTGCAGTGTTATACACCTCAATATCTACACTAGCTCATATCAAACCTAGACTATCGATGCATCTTAGAATTATCCAAAAGAATTTGAAAAAAAAAATAAAAATTGAAAACATCGGGCCTACCTAATTGTCTTAATTCGCTTCTACTCTTCTCATATCAGCCGCATTTGTGTATGGTATTCTTCCCGAATCCTACTATTCGCATAAGCATCCTCTCAGGACGTTATGCCCTCGCGTAACGACTGATGGAATCAGTAAATCTTCTTTCATATAGCTTGTGACCGTGAGTGGAAGATCAAGCTCGGGAGGCTTATCCATAATTCTAGAGATCACCACTGACAGACCCGATCATCTAGTTGCCTTCTTCCCTCTTCCTTGTCTCCGCAACTGCAATTAGCTTTGAAGAACAATAGGTGCATGTGTTTACGATTGGTTGTGAATCAGTCCAGCCTGATATGGGCCGTCATGCTGAGCCTGACCCCGCGATTTCACGGCTGTAGATGCCAATCCCGATGTCTAGTCATCCTTGCTTGAATGCCTTGGAGTGGACGAAACATCGTGATGAATGCGGGGTTGCTCACCGTGCCCTCACTGATGGTGGTGTACATGCTTTGCACGAGGAACCATGGACCCCTCACTTCGATAGCTCCATAATGTCCAATCATATTGGCCGCGTTGAATGTTATAAAACGAGGAAGAACCCATGTGGTCTGTAAGATACCAATGCGCCAAACTGTTGAGTGAGACTTCTTATCGAAAGTTCTGATCAAGAAAATCCATCTTATCGATACAACACACCCCGAGATGTCGAACAGAAAAGATCACGGGCTGAAGGAACACGGTCTGTCGGATGACGCCGTGGAGGCCGGCCATGACTTCATACACGATGCAGAGGTTGAGGAGGAAAGGGTAAGTCTCCCATTGGGGTTGGCAGGAAAGCTCTTTGGCTGAAAGATCTTTAGAGACACAGCGGAGACCCAAACACGATGCCGTCGATGTCTTCGCAGCAGAAGAAAGGCGTAAATCTGGAAGGGATGGAGTCGAGCAACCCGATAGGACAGGACAAAGCTGGCAAGAAGGCTTGATCGCAAATGCTTCTCGATTGAGATGTGTTAAAGGCAAGGGATTTTGCAGAAGGAGTTTCCATACAAACAAATTGTCGTTAGTATTTTAGGGTCATGATATTTCTTCTACAAAAACCTACTGAGTGCTCATTAAGACAAATTCGAGTCCACGCATCTCATAGGAGCAACCCATGTGTCCAGAATCAGCGGAAGTAATTATGTCATCCATCCGCCTTCGCAACACAGCATTGAACTGATCTTAGCTAGTTGAGCCTGAGAAGTGAGCTTTCAAGGACGTCCAACATCATTTCCGTCGATTCAGTGCTGTCTTTCTCTGAGTATGCACTTTTACAACTTGGCGCTTTTCAGGATCGGGCGGAGTGCTGTGTGGATAAGACATATCCTTTCACAATCGGCGCCGATGCGCTGCGGCTTGGGCCGACTTCGGACATGTATTGTTAATCAGCCGTCAAGCCCACCGGCCCGGACCGGAGCTGCTCCAATAACTACTAATAGATTCCGATCGAATTAGGCAGCATCAGTCTCACCTCCACCAGGCACTCATCGACTTTCCACACAATGGCGACTCCTACGCAACACTTCGTCGTCCTCGGCGCCGGCGTCATCGGCCTCACCACGGCACTGACCCTCAGGGCCGAGTTCCCCTCTGCAAACATCACGATTGTGGCAGAGTACTTCCCTGGCGACTACAACATCGACTACTGCTCGCCATGGGCCGGGGGTAATTGGTGCTCCTCGGCCAACGACAACGGTCTCCTCGAGTCTTTCGACCGCGTCGCTTTTGAGCGTTTCAAGAAGATTGCAAGTAGTGCACCAGAGGCGGGGGTCAAGAGTTCGCCACTGCGAATGGTTTTCGACCAGAAGATCGAAGATGCAGGAATCCTCAGCGTAGGAACTGGCAAGCTGTGGTACGATGATTTGGTCGGGGGCACTGTGCCACTTGGGAAGGACGAATTGCCTGATAAGGCTGTGTTTGGACTTGATGTGCCCAGCACGTTTGTGATCAACACTCAAACATACTTGCAGTGGTAAGTGACTCGTCCACTCCTGTGTATCTCATGGTGCGCAAAGTATCTGACTGTACTAGGCTTCTTGAACAATGTAGACAGAGCAAAGTCATTCTGAATCGTCGGAAAATCGGCCACATCAATCAGGCTCGCATCTCTTCAGATGTCACAACTGTTTTCAATTGCACCGGCTTAGGATCCTATTTCCTTGGTGGTGTGGAAGACAAGTCCATGTATCCAACCCGTGGACAGACCATCTTGGTTGAGCAACCGATTCAACCCCTCAAGAGGATGTACTTCCGTTCACCTCGAAGGGTAGACAACGACACCACCTATATCTTCCAGAGGCCTCTAGCTGGCGGCATTGTACTCGGCGGGTGTCGTCAAGACGAAAATTGGGACAAGGAGGTCGATCCTGAGTTGACAAAGACCATCCTCCAGCGTTGTTGCGCGCTGGCACCTGAGCTCGGCAGGCCAGAAGGCCTCAAGATCATCAAGCACGGTGTTGGATTGAGACCGAACCGCAAGGGCGGGCCGAGAATCGAGGCTGAGAAGACAGATGAAGGGCTCGTTGTGCATAATTACGGAGCATCTGGGGCAGGATATCAGGCATCTTGGTGAGTTGATACATAGATCTCCCTAGTCTGCAAGAACATCGCGTTGCTAACGTGGGCGTAGGGGGATGGCAGCACATGCGGTAAACCTCGCAAAATCGCAGCTAACAAGCGAGACGCCCTCATCGAAGCTCTAGGTCCAAGGAACACATTCTGAATCGTAGCGAATATGGCATTACCAAATCATCCAGTTCATGCCAGGAGTTCCCATTATTTATCATGGCATAAGATGCTAATAGCTACTACTTCTGACCTGAAACCTCAAAGGTTTTAAACACTGGGCCACTTGTAGTTCAGCCATTTTTCGAGTGTGCCGTTCCATGAACCGCTTCCAAGCTGCACATGGACCCAGGCATCAACGAAATGCTTCCATACAATATCCCTCGGGACCGCATATCCCAACTCCTCAAAGTTGAACGGCGCATCAGGGTTGGCGATGCAAAGCTCTCCCTCGTGCAGCTTGACCTGCAGCTCGACCTCGATCAGATCAGAAATCATGACATCAGCAGTGCCGTCTAGAACAGCCTGGTAAACTGCATTATTATCCTCCACCATGACGATCGTCGCAGACTTGAGATTCGCCCTGTCAAATACCTCATTGGTTCCGCCTGGGTTGACAGCGACCTTGACGCCGGCCTGGTCAAGCGATACGAGGTCGTTGTACTTGTCCGCGTCGGCGCAGCGGATGCAGGCCGTCTTACCGACTCTCTGGATCGCGGTGGAGAAGAAGGCAGTTCTAGCTCTGGCGAGAGTCAGACTGACACCGCCCATGGCAATATCGAATTTGCCGGCGGACAAGTCGCTCGTGATGTTGGCCCATTTCGTCGCGACTAGGCGAGGAGGCTTGGGCAGGCCGAGGGCGTTGGATAGGGACTGTGCGGCATCGATGTCGGCACCGATGTATGTCGTGTTGATTGCCGTTGTGTTCGGTGGGATCGTTTGGTTCGTGACAAGGTACGTGAACGGTTTGTAGTCCCCAGTTGTGCCGACGTTGATGTACCCGCGAGCAAGGATGGTGTCGAGGAGAGACGTGACATTCGCATATGACACCAGTGATGTTGTTTCGCCGAGTTGAGCTTGAGCGTACGCGCTCAATGTGGAAGCGCCGAGAAGGGCGGATGTCCAAATGTTCACCATTGCGACTGAAGATCAAACAGGCAGACAGATTCAGTGCCGGGCGTGATTGGAGATGAGACGCAACAGCGAATAACCACAAGTTTTATTGTCATCGTCCAGGGCCGATCCCGGGGCCCCGCATGCTCATTTCGGAAATCGGAATAGACTCTTATCATCGGCTTTGAATGTAAATTGCGATAGCGATAGCGAGTAATTTACTATTGGTCAATGGGACCTGTCAACTCACGCCAAGTCCTAGCTAGTCGAGTAGCTTGCGCAATTTGATTGTGCTTGAGTAAGGTAAAGACTCGTGTAATATTTTGCTCTGCCTTTGGACTCTTTATAGAAGAAGTAGTTCCTGATGTCGGATAGGATTGGCATCGTGGACCTGGGATGGTCTTGATTGCGTCAACCCATCGGCATGTGGCAGATCCACTTGTCAACCAGGGCTTCCCATGTTGTCGGGTTTCCTGGATGTTATACATAGATTCCTTAGACGCGACCGCCTCCTGTCAGGAAACCCGATATCCTAAGATGAATTCTGTGAACCTTCAATCACTATCTCTCACACAACGTCAAACCAATTTCCAGACGAAGTTCAAATGCAGACAGTACAGCCTCAAGAATTCCGTCTCTTCCCGCAACTCCCTTGGGAGCTTCGCCGAGCCATCTGGGATGAGTGTCTACCAGGCGCCCGCGTTGTTGAGATAAACAAACCTCACAGAGCAGGGTATATTTACAGTAGATCTTTGCCGAGAAATCATGGAAACGAGGAGTGCAGTCATCAGATGACGTACGGACTCAACTCCATCCCTCCAGTCATTGCGGCCGTCTGTCGTGAATCCAGACAGGCTGCGGGGTTTTCAGTACCGCAAGATGAGGAATGGCGGACGAGGAATGGCGCAATTGCCAACGAAAAACCGGCAGTCTTGTGGTTTGATCGTGCTCCGAGCAGGAATATCATATTCCTTGACTGGGATCCAAGTTGTGGTCATTACTGGTCAGCTCGTTCTCCCTTGGGTCCATTTAGATACCTGCCTCCCGTTGCGGCTCACGCTCAAACGGTATGCGTCACAGGAGAGGTTCTGCATATGCTCTTCCCACCTTTTAGTGATTGGGAGAATTTCCGCACTCTTTGGGGTATCAAATCTTTCTTGGTATGTCAAAAAATAGTTGCCATCCACGCGAATATCGATGCTGCAACACAGTCTGGACTCTGGGGATTCAACGGTGAGGAGCGCATCGGTAAGACCGCCCCGACTCAGTTGGCCCTGTTTGCTGAAACTAACTCAGACACAGTCTTGGTTCAGGTGGAAAACCTTGAACATGTAGAAGAGTTTGCCTGTTTCAACAAAGCCTTTGGCTCCGAAGAAGATGGCTAAACCAAAGATTTCTTTCAAGGGCTGATTGAGGACTCAACGCAGTGCTCAATGCAGCAAGAGCTGCTTGATACCTGGAAAGCGCGTTTTCTGCTGGGACGATGGCATGATCAACAAGCCGAACTCGGCTTACAAAAGGCAGAAGACTGGAATGTGACGCCAGCTCCTGGGTTGTTCGGTATTGTTGATAGTGTATTAGAGAACTGGAAGCTGAAAGAAGACAGTTCATGGGCAAAAGCGACGCTCTCAGCGTTACCACAAGTTCAGTGGGTGTACATGTTTCGCCTGTGCGTAGATACTTGCTATGTAAAGACAGAGGTTTAAATAGCAACTAGTACTCAATTTCAAGTTCTGCTAAATGCACAAACACCTGCAACAGCCACAGCTCAGACGTTCGTTTGATTCAAGGTGACAAAACTTGTTATGGGCGAAATAGAATCTCGATTACCTTCGTAATAGCATAAAGACTTAGCATGAAGCTAAAATTACTATCAAGATAACTGAACGTTAAGTGCTTCAATGGTTTTAAAAGTCTCCTTTTGCTCTTTCGCTCTTTTGCTCTTGTCTTTTCCACATTAGCGGAAGCACCCTACTTGATCAAGCGGGCTCATGGAGTGTCTTCACCTTTGAGCCTTAGGTATTCTGATTTCAGATAATAAGCAACTTGTAAGTATGCAGCCTTGAGCCACACAAACACTATATCTGCGGTCCGTGGCCTAAATGTACTTTGGCGCTGCCTAAATTGCATGCTTGATGTCGAAGAGGTCTGTCAAAAACCTGGCCTACGAAGCTTACACAGAGCCGTTTTGGTTCATAAGGTCAATTTGACCAACGCTACAGAAGTTCTGTGTGGCGTCTGTTGGTTGCAAACTCCAGAGCTTGCCCCTGTCTTCCCATGCCACACTTCCCACTCTTGTTGATTGGACGATTCCAGGGGCGGTCGCCCTGTTGGTTCTTCGTTGGACATGGAACTTGGTCATTACCTTCCAAAAACTGCCTAGATCATGCATTTTGGGTGCTGTAAGGATTTATCCTATTCGTTCAGGTAGGCAGACGGAGCCGCCGAGAATATTGAGTGGATAGCTTTGAAGCAAATATCGGTAACAGACCAAGGTGGAACAGCTCATCTATGTGGGGGTGCAACACATTCAGTCTCGGTCATGCTGTTTCTACATTCTCTTCCTCTCGTTAGTTTCTAGTCATTCACGTCATAATTCATCGAACCCGTCAGATCACGCCGGTACGCATCAGTGAGTGGGGAGAAATGCAGACGCCAGATGTCGCCCCCGTAGCGGTTGCCGCTACTACGAATATAGTCATATCAACCACAGACATGAACAGGAACGTGAGTTATGTCGCTCTTTGCAAGGACAAATAAACAGGATTTGTCATTCAAGTTGATAAGTTGTCCGATAGAGATAACTAAGGCCAAGGCCGTGCTGACACAAGTATAGGACAAAGGCATTGCAGCGGATGAGAAACAAGACTCACAGGCCGATACGGAAGGGTGATTCCCACTTTTGCAATTCAAGAAGACCAAGCACATCTTTTAGTTGAGACTAGCTACTGACTGTTTGAAACCCGGTGTCTACAGTGCTCAAGCTTCCTCTACAAAGTCTTTAAGCAAAAGCATCACGGATTATCGTCGTATCCACGGTCGAACTTATTCCCAAAAGACAGATTACTGGGGTCCTAACGACGAGACGCAGAATGAAGCGCTGGAAATTGCGTAAGTACAAATGATGTCGGACAACTGCATCCTTGCGCATTCGAACACTCTTCAGGCCATCAGAGTTAATGGGAGTGCCTTGGCTGTGGAGGCATTATTGGGAGACTTTGTTCTTCGACGACCGACTTTTCTTAGCGCCGCTTAACCGCAGCCCCCAAGTGAGTTAATTCAATTCAACAGGACAGGCAGCTCTTTGATCTCTGGTTTCTGACAAGCTGCATAGAAAGTTCTCGATGTCGGAACTGGCACGGGCATCTGGGCCATGTGAGTGCCCAGACCGGGATTTAACACGTAGCAGACCTTGCTAACATCCGCCGCGCTCAGCGATTTTGCCGACGAATTCCCATCTGCGGAAGTTATCGGTGTAGATATCTCGCCCATTCAGCCCCCCTGGGTCCCTACGAACTGTAAATTTTATTTTGATGACGTTGAGCAGCCGTGGACATTTGCCCAGGAGTTCGACTTCATCCATATCCGCCATCTCGAAGCCAGCATAGAGAACTGGCCGGTCTTGTACAAGCAAGCTTTCGATCATCTGATCCCAGGAGGCTTTATCGAGATCAAGGAATTCGACATCACTACGCGGTCGCAGGTTTTTGGTGATGAAATTCCCGAAGATCATATTTTCCATCAGTGGGCCAAGGTCATGTTCGAGGCGACTGATAGGCTCGGCAAGACGCTGGCACAGACCCAAAATCATAGTATTGGGATGGCTCTTGATGCAAT